GAAAGGGGCGATGATGTATTGGGGACGGAGGCAAGTTCTTCGTATACGTAGAATGCGGATTGGTATTTTTCACCCCCCTATATTTTGCCCGTGATAGTTAGAAGCAAATATCGATGCCGTTGCGGGGAATTTGAAGCATACCACTCTCAATCCCACCCAGGACTCAGCCAAATTGACGAGTAATGAATCTTGAGCCCACCGTCGAGCGGCCTGGACTTCCTTCAGGGCGAGGTCGGTGCGGTTTTGTTGGAGGTGGATTTGGACAATTAAGGCGACGCTGCGAGAGTAGGATACGAGATATTAGAGTGATATTCCAAAAATATAAAATGGGAAACATCCATTTCGGCAACAACAACAACGAGATAATGTCTCTAGTCACAAGATAGAAACAGAGATCTACTCACGCTTCAAGGTTCCCCTGGTGCTTCGACAATAGCGACAAGGCGTCCTCGCTCTTCCCTTGGGCCTGCAGCACCGTTCCTACAAGGACCTGAGCAGTCGCATTGTCCGAGTGGTTCGCTATTAGTTCCTCCACTCCCTTTAGTGCTTCAGCTTCATCCCCCGCTGCTTGTTGGGCCAGCACCTTCACAGCAACTAGATCAGGCACATCTTCGCCCTCGACATCTGCAATGACGTCTTCAGTTTGTCCCAGGGCAATTCGGGCGCGCAGTTTGAGAACACGAGTAATGAGTTTGTTTTCAGGAGAGAAGGAGGAGGTATCGAAATCGACTACTACTTGATATTGGCCCTGGTGGAAGGCATTGTGGATGTTTAGGAGCTCTGAATGGTTTACGTGTCAGCTGTGAACGACCAATGGAAATGGATTTCACGAAATAGATAGCTTACCGCCTTCAGCTGAAAATGGATCCATTGCGTTTAATTAATACAAAATCTGTTGGTGTACTTGTGCGCACGGGATAACTGTCTTAATCTGACTGTCACAGTACGTACTGTCGGTCTTGTCGCTGTGAACACATTGGATGGTTTGATAACGCTCCGATGACCAAATTCGGGAAGGTGACGCGAGGCCAAACGTAAAATATTTAGGCAAGAACTGCCGAGTTATCCCAGCAGCATCACAACCTCATCGCATGAGCCTCAATCGAGATTCTTGCTTCAATCTACAGGCAAGCAGGAAAGAACAACAGCATAGAACAATAGACTGCAATTGTCGACCCTATTGCGATTTATTATACTATGTAGGCCCCTTTACACTCCCAACGTCAGTCAACAACCAAAAAACGAACGCCATAAACCTCGAAATTTCCGATTTTTCCAATCTTTCAAATATTCAGAACACCCAAACACCAAACTTGTGCGAATTCATCTCAGATTTAAAGAATTATAAGAACAACACTTTCCAAAGCACAGCTTTATCAAGCATGCCAAGGCAATTTTTCCGTACACATGTTTTTTGATGCGTAGTGCACACTCAATCAAAGTGTCATCTTCCTCTGAAAACATGACTCTCCACCTTAAGGATTGAAGACTCGAGTGGAACTGGCTGGCTGGCTGCTCCAGAGAGAATGTTAACTAATGTCGCAGAACCACGGCCGGTGGTATCAGTTGATCTGACCACAAATTTCTTTCGCCAATCTTCCAGCTCTCATTCTAGATGGGTACCGTTTGGTTTCGACTATGCTTCGTCCTTGGCGTCGGTGAAATCAGATGCTTTTTCGTGATTATATGATCACTAAAGGCTCATATGCGAAACACTTCGGTGCGGCCTTTTTCCCTTGAATCAAGAGGATAGTCTCTTCTCGAATCCTGGGTATCTCTATATGCGGAACATTCAATGTTAGTATGTTAAACAACCTAGCCAGCGCAGTAAATCCGGGGCTTACAGACACCGTGTCTCTCATTCCTTCGCCGACGAGGCTTTCGGGATATCTTCTACTTTCACAGCATCCGCACAAACTCCGAATTGAGCCCGGTTCTCGAGCGGCTGGTTTAAAAGAGAGTCTGCCAGCTCCTGAGTTATTGTCCTGCCGCATATTATAAATTCCTGCGTGATCGTTATTGAGAACATGGGTATGACGATATGAACTGGCCCTTCTAGGGTAATTTCTCACGGAGGGGTTATGGGAGAAGGCTGGGACAGCCTTTGCCATATTGACTAGGTACTCCAAGGTACTGTCCACTTCATGCACAATAGGCGGGAAGCCCCTGCGTTCAATATCGTTTGCCATGGCTTCCAGTACAGCATCTAAAGGTGGCAGAAACCTCACCTTAGCGCAGTTTTTGCCTCTACAGAACAGAGGACCCGGTAGTGGCATTTTTTCCCTAACACTGGTGGCTCCCATCGTTCCAACAGAGTGTGGGAGGCGTCTTAACATATCGTTCAAATGTTGGATAATCCCGTTCGCCTGATACTCAAAGCTTGGGTAACCGCAATTCTTAACGTCCGTGTCGATCTGGTTGAGTACGTCGGCAAGCGGAGGCAAATGGCGTTCCGCATCGATAACAGATCTGGGATTGAATAGGACAAGATCTCGTCTGCTAAAATCGGGAGCAAAAGACGTTGCCGGCCCCTGGCTGCTTCGCCTGATTTCCGGTTCCGTAGTGGAGAGAATCCGACGACCCTGCATTGATATACAAGGAGCGTCGGGACTTTGGATCATGTTCCGGCCAGAGAATGAATAATCTCCATTACGGTGCGCGGAGTTCGCCAGTAAAGGAAGCGGGCTAGAATTTGAGGCTTTATCGTCCTTGTCCTCATTCCCTTCCGCGCTGTTCTGGCCCCCCCTCTCAATTCTTGATCCCATTTTTTCTTGCTATCTCCGGTATTAAGATTTGGAATTGCGGCAAACTGTTCCAGCGGTCGATTCAACACGTTCTGCTAGACTTTGAGGGCTAGTTGCCTTTAAAAATATGAGGGAATATCGATGCTGGCTAAATACGCAGAAGTAGATAATGTGGTACAGGATTGTTGAATACCAGGGAGAATGATCCTAAAATACGAGGAAAAAAAGGAAGTACACAAGGTGATGATGGGAATGGCGACTTCTTTTCTCCGCGTTTGTTTTCCAAAGCGCGTTTATTCCCTTGCTAACCTGGCTCCAGTGATCCTGCTTAACTTTGGTGCTTAAACTCTGAGTTCTCCAGTTCTATTCTCCCTTCCTAAACGGGAAATGCAGTTGCGAAATGACGACATATATATTCTCCATACATTTCTTTTTTGTTCTCAAGCCGGCCCGAGCGTCCTCAAATCTGGAAGGCACGACTCCTCTGTCGAGCGGCATACGAATCTGGAAAGGGACGGTCTTCTAGCTAACCTTCCCTAGCAGGCATTCCAGATATAAATACTGTTGCTTCCGTATGCCGCAGCCCCCAAGCCCAAGCTCATCGCGTGCGGGACACCTTCTCCCGTCTCGAGGCAAGAAAACTATGACGGCTACAAGTGCGCTTCCCCACACAAGCTTTCAGATTCAAGGCGCCGTTTCTTTCCAGTCCAAGTACCCCGAAGCAGGTACCGCTAAGGTCGTTGTTTCTGCTACAGAACTTCTGTTTTGATTTGAAGGTCTACGCAGATATCGTTTGTTTAGATCAAATTATGATGAGAGATGCTGGCACGGCTGCTCTGGCGGGCCATTAGTCGAGTTATTCGTTTTATCGCTGCCCATCTACTCAAACGAATATCGCACTGTGTACATGTAATGTACGTGCATATCGCAGAGAAGGAACGACCGGCAATGAGGATCGTCGATTGTTGGCAATTTTATTGGACCGTTTGAGCTACAACATATAATTTTACACTTTCCCTAGAGATACAGCAGTTCTTGGGCTTTTACTTCATATCTTACACGCCTCAACTGTCGCAACGTGAGTTTGGTGCTCCCATGAAGGCCGCTAGGTACGATGAATGATATCATATCATGTATATGGGTCTTTATCTGGCTTGGGCCGCTCGAATATAATTCGTGCCATAGTAAGCGATCTATGCAGTATTTGCGGTAGAGATGCCGAATAATTCTTGGGGGATTGGACGAACCAGGGTTGATCATTTAGTCAATATATATTTTCATATCTATGTATCGATATAAAAGCACCATTCGTTTCCATGTGCCAATAAACTGAAATATTTCTTTTCGTCGCCTCAACCACCGGGAGATGCATGTAGAGCACATGCCCCTTTGGTTCATATTTGGGATACTTCTTTCAAAAATAGAGATCTCCAAGACAACTAAGGGATAGAGCTCACTCTTATATTCACAAGGAAAAGTATATGTGAAAACCCCGGCATGGAACTACCGCAATAAGAATTTAGCATTCAAGTTTGTTTCTCTTACAGGAAATTTGATAGGGTTCACGAAGTCTAAAAATAACCTTCGGAAAAAGTACTCGTCAAACGCAACACATGTTAGACTTTATAGACAGGAATATAACAAAGTTATATAAAAATAGTTATATAAAAATACTCACCACGGAGTATATATCCTTGAGATATAGAGGATGCTTCTTTTAATAATAGAATACCTACGTCTATTGTTGTGTTGAGATCAGTATGAAACCAAAAATTTCGTTGTTGACAATCGACAGGGCAGCGGCGCCAACGATTAATTTGGCAGCTCATTCAATCAATAAATGTTGAGTATTCTGTCTCTATACACTTGTTGAGAGACTGTTCTCGCTCCTAGATACATTACATGCCAGATAACTGCGAACTACATGTAGCGCAGATTATTGTAGATGTCGTCTAACCGCGCTAAATACTCCAGCTCATGAATTAGCTACGGTATGATTGTAGGCCAAGTATAGATACATATTTCACTGGAAAAGAGCTAAAGTCAAAAAATCAGCTATTAATGTATTTTCAATCCACTACTTCTTCATCTTAATATTTCTTCCAAGTCATATATTTTAAAGCTCTGAGCGGCTTGGGCCACCCACCTGCGGCATTCTCAGTGGATGAAACTTATCAGACTGATATCTTGCCCTTGAGATCCCAAAGGATATGATAGCAGACCCCAATATGCTTCAATCAGCGCGGGATTGCTTTGCTAGAGGATATTTCTATGATGGACTTACTATCAGCATGAATTGTATGAACCAGATCATCGACAGCGGGTGTGGGTGTGGGTTGTAATAGGGCAATCTTCAGCATCCAAATTATTTCAGTGGGAGAGGACAAATCCGGCATCACCTAGCAGCTCCCGGAGGTGGACAAGCTCGTAGGCGGCTTCGGAAGATGAGATATATTCAGCTTCGGTAGACAATTTTATCTGCTTGCAGCTACGCCACGCCACGGGGCCGCCTACCATATAACTATATGATCTAGTCAGTAGTCGATCGGGAACCCCAGGGGTCGTCGATGCCCATGTTACGATTCACAAGGTCGCGTTCGATGACTCCTAATATAGTAGCAACATCGGGGCACGAGACGGATCTGGTACTGACGGAGTGATTTATGTTAGCCTGAGTATTGTCACTGTTTTCCAGGTTATCACATACATAGAACAAAACTCATCGAAGGTTGGCTCTAGCATCATCGCCTAGATCGCTTCCTAAGGCTGGCACTTGTATGTACATGTACATCAGCTTTGTTAGTGTCAGATACCTTGTTTTCTGACGTCTGATGATACTGGTCTTTTTGCCAGCGGTGCTTACAGCTGGAGCTATGGACGCACTGGCATCTCCCATAGTTACACTATAATCTGTTGGTGCTAATGAGTTGTCTTATTGTATGTTCCCTAGCTACGAAGCTACACGGTGGAGGATTATGAAACCAGACGGATTGGTCTGACATGTAGATAATCACCGGGTGTTTCGATCCTTCGAGCAAACGACGGACTTATATCAGGATAGCGAAGCAGGGAGATGTCCACTGACACAATATCATCTAGAAGTAACCTCCATTCAGAGTACCCTAGCAAATTTCGTTACTAGTGAGACTTCCGCTGGCAGAGTTCAGAGGTTCTGGAGCGGAAATATGTAAAACTAAGTAACCTAACAGCTTTTGTTGAGCTTTCAATCAATGGGATTGAAACAGTCCATCTCACAGAGGCAAGTCTGTGATTAAACTTGAATGATATAGAACTCATCATTTGCACCACCCTGTCAAGAAAGAGTTCACTTAAGTAATTTCGTACTTCTAGTCAACACTCTACCCTAGTGTTTCAAAATGAAGAAAGCAGAAATTGTGTTCTTGAGTCCTTATAACATAAAGAAATTGATGAAGGACTGAATGACGGCGAATATCATTACTTCTATCCTTCATCCTTGAGTGAGAGTATGGTCTTTCCCCTGGATTCGTCATTGCTGTCATCTTGCAGGTGGAGTTAAATGTTGCCTGCAGTTCATGATAGCTTGCATGGTTTTTCTTCACCTCTTTGAAGACACACTTGCATGTAGGCAATTGTTGCAGAAATTCATTGATTGTGCAAGTGAATTCTTCTTCGTCTTGCATGATAGTGTATCTTGTTGCTGACTTTGTCCAGGTTGATGCCCATCAGGACGAGGTCGTCTACTCGAGGACCGCGGGCTCTGCATCATTTGATTATTCGAGGTCGAGCCGCCAAAAATCAGCTCACAGGGGGGGGACTGAATTGCCTGCAGCGCCGGATAAATTTTACGAGTAGAGGTAGTTAAAGGGCAGGAGGAAGGGGTTGAATGTTGATGCATAGAATGGTTTGGCCCCTTAACTACCAGTTAGCATGGCAGTGACAGAACTCTTTCCCCCAGCCCTTGCATTGAAAATGTTTTGAGAGCAAGCGGTAACTTACACCCTTGTTGTTCCGTGATTTGAGGGTCTAGGGTTGCAACCAGGTTATAAAAGCTTGGTAATGAATATAATGCTGACGTAGTTAGTTGTCGGATTGGGTGTCACGGATGAATATGTTGGAGACATATGAATCTTATGTGTATCAAGATCTGCTTGTTATATTATCCGTGCACTATCTAATCTATCTATTTCATACAAAAGATGGAGCTATTTATAGTAAAATATATGTGTGAGCCAAGAGAGCTAGCATAAGCAAGTATTAGATGAGTGTTGTAGTAAGCTGATGATGATGATGAGAAATATTGTAGTAATACAATGTTGATGACATTCAGTAGTGTATAACCTCTTTTTCCTGACACACCCCCTTCAGCAAATGTAACATGTAAATGAAAGTGTAAATGAAGCTGCAATAAAAAGAGTGTAGATGAATCTGCAACAAAAAGAGTGTAGATGAATCTGTAGAGATTACATCAAGATAGACCATTTATTCTGCTTGTGTCTTGATGATATCTGATATATCAACTAGGCCTAGCATCTTGACAAATTCTGTATGTTTCTGGCGTGGCAAAGCCTTAGTAAGGCCATTCACTGGCATCTGAGCTGTAGACACTCAATCAACTATAATATCACTGAATTGAACACATTCTCAGAGTCAGCTTTCATATATATCAACATGACAGAGTTTTGTGATTATAGATGAGTCTTTCTTCATAAGAATGTCAACAGTTTGACAGTTATCACATTAAATACAGATCTTGTGATCAGATTTAAATTGAATATGTTGAAAGAATCTATCTTATCAGATAGACTTCTTATCAGCTTATAAGATAGTAACAAGCTCAGCTTCTGTGATAGATGTAGTTATAATTATCTGTCTATTTGATTTTCAATCAACAGTCTCACTGAATAGTTTGAAGATATATTCTTATATAGAGCAGTGATTCAGATTATCTGTGAAAGAGACATCACTGATAGCTTCAATGATATCAGATTTGAGATCAAGTTGTAGAGATCTGTCAATGTTATTATTATATTGAATAGCAAGATTCTTCATATCACATAGATAAGATATCATTCTATTCATCTCTGATAAGTGATGTTTCAATGAATTTATCATGAACATAGCTAGTTTACTCACTACATATGTAATATCAGAGTGAGTCATCACTGCTGAGTAGATGCAGAAGCTGATACATTGTTAATAATAATGAATTTTTGCAGATCTAGCTGACTTATTAAAAGACTCTAACAGAGCATCAGTTAGTGAGGTATATGCCTTGCAGATGTGTATGAAATGATATATATCAACTATCTTATCAATATAGACATTCTGACATAGTCAGAGCTTTAAGTTGAAGTGATTATGTATTATTCATATGTTAAGAAATCATTTCAAATCTCTCATTTATCAGATCTTGTAGATGTTTTTAAGATCTTTGATTAGTTAATCTCTTTCTTTTGAATCTTCTCATTATGATAGAATGATAATATTATTTATATAGAAGAAGATGATTAATTGATTATTAGAGAAGAGACATTAATTCTCTGATATAGAGATGAAGTCTAATATTCTCAATATTGAAGATAGTTTATTTAATCAGAGAAGAAGTGATCTGTATAATCTATATAGTGCTCATAGAAGTTTTAGTATATGATTTATATACTTTAAATTTTGTATTCTCTTCAACTTTCATCATTCATTGAGTAGTTCTATATATACTAGCTCATCAATATCACTATTAATAAAGACATTGATTTCATCTAGCTGTTTCACATCTAGATCAAATGCTGCTGTTAAAGCTAATAAGATTTGAAGATCTCTGACTGCTAGAGTGTGAGCTTTTATAGTGAGATCTATGATTGATTGAAGATCTTCACATATGCAGATACAAGCTTTGTATTTCAAAAGAAAATCTTCATTATCAAATTTATAGATGAATACTTATTATAGAGAAATAACTGAGACATCTCTCTGTAATCTGCTAATAATTTCATATGTATTTTGCAGAGATATACTATCTCATTTCTGTTTAACAGTGTTCTCAAATTCTTTGTAATATGAGTGTTTTTTGACATCTGCTCAGTGATTCAGTGAATCTGACATTTAAGATCTATGAATTCTTGAAGTTAATATAAATGCTGTTGATGTAGCAGTATTGTTGATAACTGTGAAAACAGTATTTGAAAATAAATGTTGAGACTTGTAGAAGTCTGAGTGTAATTGAGAGAATGTCTTATTTATCATTTATAACAGATTGTTTTTAACATTTGAAACTGTTATAAGATGAGCAGCTCTGTATTTTCATATTCTGTGATCTTCAATAATATTAGCTTCATTAAAATCAGTACTGATATCTTAAGCTCTAGATACAATGTTCTGTGTTTAATTATCTATCACAGCTGAATAAGTATTAATATTAACATCAGAACCTGTTGACTCTGATGTTGAATCTGATATAGAAAGAATTGAAATGTTAGAAAGAATTAAAATGTTAGAAGGAATTGAAACATCATAATGTTTATACTCATTATTCTTCTTCTCTATTTTTTCAGAGCTTTGAGTATTTTCTTCAGAGTGAAAAACATTAATATCTGTATCTATAATCTCTTTCAATTGATTTATAGTAGTTATTGATAATTCTCAAACTTTCATATATAGAAGCTTCATCTTCTTAGATACTCAATCTCTTAGTTATCTTTCAATGTAGAGATCTTCTGAGTTGAATTTTCTATTCTTATCAAACATTATATCTCTTACTCTTATCATCTGTTCTAAGTATGAAATTCAAATTTGATAGATGTTTGTTGAATCATATTCAACTAGATATTCAATATATGCTCAGAAATCTAGCTTCTGAGAGTGATTTCTATTGAGAACTTCATCTGATATCTTTGCATAGATGCAACATCTGTAGATTCAAAGATAAGCATAGAAGTGAGATTTGATTTGTAGAAATTCTTTCAATACTTGTAGAGATAACTTTCAATCTAGAATTCTAGTAGAGGTTTAATTCACTAGATAGGTGACAGTAAGTGCAATCTCAGAGAATAGTAATTATAACAGAAGAGATTCTATCTGTAGAGTTCTTGTCTTTATTATTAATATTACTTCTACTCACTCTGCTGCATCATTTTATTCATGAATATACTCTGAAGAATACTTCATCTCTAGATCTTCATTATTCACTTAATTTATGAAATCATCTGCTTTCTTAATTGCAGTATCATTGTTAATACAAATAATCTTTATAGTATAGTTGAATTAATGTTTAATTCAATTGATAGCTTGCTTAAGAGCTTTTCAGATATCTGATTTTCAGATAGCTGTTATAGCTATATGAAAATGTAGATAATCACACATGAAATGTATGAGATAATACTCACTATTATAGCACTGTGTAGAGTCATATATGATATTCATGTATAGGTGTTCAAATGGTATTTGAGATTTAATGTGAGAATATCTAGATATTTGATTTTTTGCATTAGATAGATGACAGGGTTTACAAAGCTCAGTGATAAGCTCATCTGCAGCATCTTCTAGATTGATGATTTGAACACCAGTTGTATCATTTATAAGTTTTTATATGATGATTTTCAATGAATGTTCTAATCTCTTATGCCATGTTAATTGAGTAGCTATAGAGATCTTAGGTTTTTGAGAAGGTTTTATGCATATTAATAGGTTGAAAGAAGAATTTGTAGAAGTTGAAGAATTTGAAGATATTGTTTTTTCAGATATAGTGATGTTAGATGTGTGTGATGTAGTAACTGCATCAGCTTCAGTAGTGAATTTTTCTGAGATAGTTGAGAAAACAGTTATATCACTATATTCTGTAACTAGCAATCTCTTAAATACTTCAATATATGCAAAGATTGTATTATCTGCATGTTTTTGCAATCTGAAGTCTTTTTCATCATAATAGATGCCTTCTATATGAAAACATGGTTTCCATGTGATGATATTTGTATGGAAATTTGAGATATAAGCTGTGTTGATAAGTTTGACATTGAACTGCTTTTCTACTTTATTTATTATAATAGTTCTAACAGTTCTATAATCTTCAACTTTAGTGCTGGAATTATCTGTATAGACTTCCGCATTCTCATTCACAGGTGTAAAGAATAGAAAATGTGTTCAATTATTACATATATGCTGTTTCATGCCAGTATCAAAGATTCAGGAGTTTCAGAGATAGAAGTGAGAATATGAAGAGTTTATCAATATTTTTTGAATTTACTGATTAATAGATTGATTATTGATAGATTGATGATCAATAGATTGATAATCAATAGATTGATGATTGATAGATTGATGATCAATAGATTGATGATCAATAGATTGATGATTGATAGATTAATGATTGATAGATTGAGAAACTGATTGCTTCAGAATCATTTCTTCTATGACTACTTCATTGACATCTATTATATCTGTATTTGTGAATGAATCTCTAGATATCACACAATTAACATGTCTCTTCAATTCTTGATTTTTAAGAGCTTGATTAATCTGAGTTCTCTTCTCTCTATTTTTCTTTCATTCAGGTGGCTTTCTTGATGAATTGAGATAGTAGCACTGAGTGTATCAGTGACAGGCTCTGCAGATGCAGTTTCTGAATGTCACTGATAATAATTGCTGAAATCTTTCATTAAGAATAGTGAAGTTCATAGATTTATCTTCTTTAAGAATACTCATTTCTCTATATCATTTCTTGAAGTTCTTAACTAACTCTATCAAAGATATAACATCTTTATTACATTGAACATTCTTTGTTCATACTTATACATATTCTGCATCAATAGCTAGGTTTGCATTTAAGAAGTCTTTCTTCAAGTTAAACTGTTCAGCTATATTCATCTCTTTAATATCATCTTTGATGAGTGATCAGTCATTTAATCACTTTTCTATACCTCTATTTTTCAGTGCTTTGCAGAGATCATGATATTGAGTTCTTACATTATCTTGATAATTCACAGTTGTGAGTGAGAGTTGATCTCTTAATAAATGAATAATCTTCTTCATATCATTATTCTTGCTATATATATGTTATAGCTCTGTGACATTCACTGTTCTTTATATGATATCTCATATCTTTGTCATACCTTTATTCAATTTCTCATATTTCATATATTTGATTTTTCACACAGTGATCTTGATATCATATGCTATCTTGGCCTCTGCAGTGACTTCTTCTGAATACTCAGATTTCAGAGATTCTTCTAGTTTAGAGAAGATATCAGGTTTATCAAGATTGATGAAGTCTGATATCTTCTTATTCTTTGCATATTCTAGCATATGCTTGTACTAAAGTTTTCAATCTTCAGAAACACTAAGATGTACAGTTGCACTAGACATTGTCTTATCTATCATATCAGTTATATTGAATGAATTGAGGAATTGGTTCAAGTATTTGAGAATAGATATGATCAGAATTCAGAGTGTATAATAGTCAAGTATATCAGAACATATACAAGTGAGAATCTATTATCTCAGTTTGAATGATAGTTATCAGTTCAAATGAGGATTGAGATTGATAATCAATCATCTCAGTTCAAATGATAGTTATCAGTTTGAATGAGGATTGAGATCAGTGTATAATCATCTCAGTTCAAATGATAGTTATCAGTTTGAATAAGGATTGAAATCAGTGTATCACACTTCTCTTCAGATGCTGCTTACTGGGAATCAGGTATAACAGTTGAGTAGATCAGACTGTATACAAATGAGAATCAATTGTCTCAGTTCAAATGATTGTTGTCAAATTTGAATGAGGATTGGAATCATGGTGTATCACACTTCTCTTCAGATGCTGCTTACCAGGCTCATAACTGTTGGATTGAGTGTCATGGATGAATATGTTGGAGACATATGAATCTTATGTGTATCAAGATCTGCTTGTTATATTATCCATGCACTATCTAATCTATCTATTTCATACAAAAGATGGAGCTATTTATAGTAAAATATATGTGCGAGCCAAGAGAGCTAGCATAAGCGAGTATTAGACAAGCATTGTAGTAAGCTGATGATGATGATGAGAAATATTGTAGTAATACGATGTTGGTGGCGTTCAGTAGTGTATAACCTCTTTTTCCTGACATTAGTGTAACTAAGTTACTGACTGGGCTCCACCCGAGCTTCCCCCATGCTAGCTAACTAGTCAATGAGCCGAGCGTAGGAGCCCTCATATTACCCCAAGGAGAAGAAGGGTTCAATATGGAAAGAACTCCTAGAGAAACCCGTCACGACGCGATGCATTCGGCTACATATTCCATGATTGCAGCCTTGGGCATTTTTGCCTTGTTTACTTCGTACACGGTTTAACCTATCATTTCAACTGCGAAATGGTGATATCATCCCATCCGCATAATTCCTAGCCCATTTGCCATTGTAAAAGATAGAATTAGCTGAGCATGTTTTGAGCCCTATGCCCTAGCTCCATATCTCGGTGGAGTAAGTTATTAGAGAGGTGTCTCAGTGCTCCATGTCAACCTGGAAATCCATATCACGGTCGGTTTTCCCCTATCTGTATTTTCCAACGGCACTTATGAAATAACAGGATCCTTGAACTTGAGCTTGGGTTAAGTGAGACAAAGAAGTGTCTGTTTAAGCTTCCTGTGGCCTGGTATGACTGACACGGAGGCAAGCTCGTCCCTGAAGGTCCTCTTGAAGATAGAGTGGCTCCATAGGTGTGGTTCCCATAACGGCCTTCAACGGGAGAAAGATGTATAAACGGCTTCAGTGACATTACCATCAGGGGATATGAAGCCATTGGCAAATGACCAGAACTTGTTTGGGTATTTCCCAACACTTGGCAGCTTGCAACTGCGCGTCAGCGGCTCCTTGCGTGTAACCACCATTACCACCCTTCCTCTCTGACCGCCGCTTGGGGTTATTCCTTGAAAGGAGTCAGAGAGCAAGTAAGACAAAAACTAATGGTGTGACAGCTTTTGTATCCATGGCTTTTGAATGTCCTTTTGGTATTCGCGGATCTCAGGTTTCAACAATCATCCACAAGGGCATTGCTATTTTGATTCTGTCGCGCTCTCATTCTATCACAGAGGCGCGATTGATATAAATTTATGATCTCGTGGCCATCAATAAAATAATAGTCCATAGAAAATATCCGTAGCGCACCCAGGTTCAGATAACCATCATCAGCTTTGGATTAAACCAGTGGCGTACACCTGCACCTCCTGAAAAGTTAGCCGGAGGGTCTCCTATTTTACCATCGCGACTAGCTTTATGTATAGTTATAGGCCTCAGGGGGGAACAAGCTAGAACGGAGTTTTGTGAATCAACATCTACCGCCGCTCTGTGCTGGACGCCTGCGCGTTGGCCCCTAGAAAGAACACCAATAATGTCGATATTGATTGCTCGCTGCTGACACCCCTCAACAGTTGGTCAGATGAAACTGACAACCTTAAAAAATGTTCCTGTTGGAATTAGACGATTTATCCACTAGTAAAACATTTTTATATAGGGGAGGTTTGCAATGATTTCACTAGTGTGTGGCATTCGTTGAATTTTCTGTGGTAGTTATCTTGAATCAAAATCTCTTGCAGCACCTCCTGGGACAGGGTTTCAAGTCATCGGCTGTGAGAGAATTTCAAATGAATAGGGGGAGGAATCAAGACAGTGGAGCGATACCCATGCAGTTTATAAAATAGTCCAATATAGTAACAACACCAGCAGCATCAATGGTATATATATCTATACCACAGAGAGCAGTAGTTGAAGGGTTATTTCCCAGACATCTGGTTAAAAGTAGGAGTTCGAAGTGAAGAAATCATCCTAATTAAATGTTGCATCAATAAATCGAGAGTAAGTTAGTAGTCGACAATTAATAATTTTTAGAGGGAGGGAAAATATGGCCCAGTATAAAAATTCACCTCATACTTGAGATAAGAAAAATAGGATATAGATCTAAAGCAGGTAATAAAGTAAAAGTGCAGTTGGCCTGGGATGTCTCGATGTGGGTATTCATCAAGGATAAAAGGGAGGGAGGGAGATCTTAACTTCCCACACAAGTGATGCAGTGGTATCATGCTATTCTCGTGTGAGTGAAATGCACCAGCTCACATTTACTTTAAACCCAGTGGTTTCACCCTGAGTTCAAGAGAAAGCTTCACTTTTTAAATCACTTGTTGGACTATGACTGTCCATGTCAGTACTATGCTTGAGGATTGAGTCATGTCATGGGAGTGATGAGTTTGGTGAACGAGCCGGAAAAGTCACAACCAAACACGACAGACCTGAAACTTGATGGTCAGCAATAGCACCGGAGTCAAGCTCATACAAGCTCATACAAAGGGACTCGTTTGGGGCTTAAAGAATTACGCCGAGAGTTTCCGCATCAGAGCCCCGGAGAAACAAGCTACTTGTTCGTCGAGGAGGCCTACCCCGGATTTTAAGGTGGAGAACCTAGCATGCCTAGCCTAACCCAAGGGAAAAGACAACTGGGGACGCCAGTGCGTAGGAGCAATGAGAACAAGGGAGCCAGACTCCCCAGTTGCTCTCAACCCCTCATCTCCACGATGCGCCGGATCCGACCCGCCTCGTGAAGTTAGTGGCAGTTAAGCAATTATCGTACCGCTTAGGGAAGAGCTTCTGACGATCCCTGGCAGGTTTCGGGCGATGTTACCCTGTCTATCCTCATGTCAAGCTGGATGCAAATTAACCAGGGCCTCGTGGCACAAAAACCATCCGAGCCTTGAGCTCTGATATTGCATCCCTGCAGCAGACCATGTTTTTCCTTGGAGAGAATAGGTTTTTGGATATCGATGCACGGGGAGAGGAAGCCCTGCTAAAATAATCGTGAGCCAATCATCCCAGAATATTCCACAACATGTGTTAAAAGTGTACATCTGTACGGAGGACTGAGTAAGTTGCAGGTTCACATGCTGCACCTGTGGTACCGGTACCACCAAGGAGAGTCACCAACGAGGTTACACAGCCCTCGTATCTGATAGTGAAAAGAGGAAAAACTGTCAAACAGTTATTTTTGGTTTTTGAAGTCAATAATCGCTCTCAAAAGACGCTGGCTCTGAGATGAGATGAGGCATTTCCGCAGTTGGGGCGCCGTCGACTCCGAGACGCCAAGTACTCCAATGAAGGACTTCAGCAGATGCCAAACAAGACCAGGCCACTGGGGCAAAATTGGAATCATCGCTCGCGAACCAGGGATTAGGTTAACTAAAATAACTCCCTGCCATCAAAGGCCATTGTTTGTGCATAATTCTGCACAGTAAGTACTCCGTAATTGTTCAGGAACTGATCAGTGGCCGCATGTCTGAAAGCTCGTATTTTCAAGATAAAAATAGCGAAACTGATCGCGTCGGACTGTAGCGCAGAAGTGAAGCTCTTCGGAGCCATTATTAACTATAGTAGTTAGTTAGGCTTTGTCGTCGTATGATTATAATTTAGCGTTTGTACTTTATGATCACGTGATATCAATACACTTCAGGCATTTCATCAGACTCAACCCTTGGTTTGTGTATTAATTCGGTGCTCATGATGATGTCAACATGCCAAATTGAGCAAGAATGGATATTAACCGTCGCTCTAACTTGAGCAAGCTGATTACTGCTTTGGGATACATGCATCGCCCGTGCTTGTGTTATGAGGATGTGAAAGAGCTTCCTCTAAGGGGTCAAGCAGCTACTTAGGGATTCTCTCTGTCCATTGGAATTAGGGCTGAACCTTGTAGCATCTGGAGGCATCGATCAGCCATCGCCTTACGGAATTTCGTACAGTTTTCCACTGTCAACTTCAGCATGTCACCAAAAAGGCGCACCACGGCGCACTTAACAGGTTCTCTCAGAATGCATTCCCAATATCTTGACTATTCCACCACAAAATGGATCGGTATCTCGGGCACTGCTGATAGCCTTGGCCAAATATACACGAGTTAGACGCACATCCTCTAACGCTCAGGGCAACATTTTAACAGACCAGGTCAACATGGATATCTGACATCCAGCAAATCAGAGCGAGAAGTGTTTACCCATTAGGCCAATGAGCCTCTAGTTTCGCGACTCATGCACAGCCGGGGTAACAATATCGCTTCGTATCCAAACCCCTCGTTTCACTCGGCAAAATTACGGCACCACCGATACCAGGACAGGCATTCAGGGCATGTTTCGTTCCGGTTCCGGGACGCGAAAGATTTCAGATATCAAAAATCATGATGTATACAATGGACTCATGCTCCATGTCCGAAGATGGGGTCCGACACTTTCTTGCTGCCAAGACCGCCAAGTGGGCCAACCAATGCGTCCTCAATATCGGCAACCAAGCCTTCTGAAAAGCTTCGCTTCGAAAACAACGAAACGCGCATGCAGCTAGCGGATCCTTACCGTTGCTTTGTTGAAACCAAGATATGGTTGATGACACCACTACTTCTGAACGGGGATTCGACAATGTTCTGCTCTGTGGTTGGATCAATAACGGTGCGTGCGCGATTCCGCGGACCAGAACCTGAACGAAACACATGATAAATCAATCAACTCCAGAATCTTTCTCTCTTGAGAAACTGAGAGGGTTCAAGAGAAATAACTACACATCATCGGGCTACATTTTATCTCCAAGTTACTATTTTCCGTAGGTTCCCTAGTTTCCTAATAGTCTAGCACGACGTAGAACTCTACTAAATGATATTTCACTTTCCTAACAACGCAAGGGCCGTACCAAACGTAGCAAGAGAAAATCATCATTGTCGCGATTGGTTCCTGCTGTCATTATCGGAAACAGGCACGGTTGTCGTTTTGATATCAGAGATGATAGCGTAACTGCCTAGAGTGTAACACACTTCATTCAACCTTAAACCGCAAGGAGAAAACATAGGTCGACAACTGCAATGACACAAGTACTTAGACGACGCTCACAGCTGGCACAAGGAATTATTGACAAGCTTCCAGAGGAGTGCGTTTGTGGCTATCAGCGATACACCTGAAAACCCTTGCGCTATGCCTTGTCAAACCGCACATCCATCTATTCGTTGTCGGTTATGAAGTTACCGCCTTGATTTCAGAAATGGCTTCGTTTCTAGATATGATCGGCTGCTCCCCGGAGATCGTTCACTCTCATTCGTCAGCCGCACTTGGGCAAATAGGCTGAGAGGTACAGACAATGACCGCAGGCCCAAGCCCCCAAAATCTTTCCCCGATACAGAGACAAATACAGGGACGCGAAAATATGGATGTTACATACTTCCGACTTCTGCCCTTTCCCGACCAAAGCTAATTGACCATTCGGAGAAACGGAAAGTAAGAGATCGGTCTAGGAGAACTCTAGAACTAGGAAGCAAGGACAGAAAGAAAAAAAATAAACAGATATTTGCAATTTTGGCCATGGTAATTATCATTGCTCGCATCAACAAAATGACAAGACGAGAAGAAGTATCCAATAGGAAACATTCACATGCTCCCAGTCGCCAATATCGCCCTCATTGGTACCCCGTATCTCAAGGGTAAATATTTGGTGATCTATGTCTATCCTCGTTGACCTGCAGCAAGTACCCCAAAACGAGGTGAGGCCAATCAGGTTGGAAGGAACAGGGGCAATGCAAAAAGTTATAATTGTCCCGCAACAATCCAGAACTGTAATTGCACAAAGCTTAAGATCACTGGTGTTGTCTTATTTCCAGCCCAAGTCAAGGTTGGTTGCTGCTTGATGTGGCTAGGGGCTACCCCAAAAAGGTCCGCATTTTTTGCTTGTCTGATATGACAGGCCTGGAAAGGTGCTAGTACATCTGGGGTACTCCCCACAGCTTCGATGCAATCGAATAAGCAGGGTCCTTGTGTCGTCAAAGAGGGAGGACAATGTTGCATGTCGGCTGAGCCCTCCCAACTCACTCGCTGCGGACCTATTTGAACTCTCCCGTCTCCCTGTTTTCCTTTTTGCCCCAGTTCACTTCCGAACTGATGATGGTCCCTCGTTCAGTTCCTTAAAAATTCTGCCCTAGAAAGCGAACGCAAACGGACCGAGCCTGGCGAGGGTGAAACGTCCCCCAAGCTAACCTTCAAACCATTGCGACACTCCTTTTTGTTACGCTAGGCGATTTTACCCACAATCGCAGCCCGCCATGTCGAAAGCGGAGGTAACAGAAGGAGGAGCTCCTCCTTATGGTGAGGTCACAAAGGAAATGGATGCCAAGAAGCTGCAGTTCAATGAAGCTGCTGGCCTCTACGGCGATGCTGAAACTGCTGAACGCTATGGTTATGTCACTCGTGGGTGAGTTGTTCTCATTTAAAAGTTCATCGCAAGTATATAAGACTCAAAAGATAGCCTAGTTGGAATAACCTGCTGACAAACCTTACAGACTGAAATCTCGACACATTCAGTTTATTGCCCTGGGAGGATCTATCGGCACAGGCCTTTTCTTGGGGATTGGTCGAGCTCACACCCAGGGCGGTCCCCTCAGTATTCTGCTCGGTTACACCTTCACTGGCGTCGCAATCTTCGGAATGGTAAGTAAAGCTTGTTACACATCTAGATGGGTTGTGTCTGACAGTGGATCACAGATGATGTCTCTCGGGGAAATGGCGACTTGGCTTCCTCTTCCTGGTGCTATTCCTCACTTCTGCGGACGGTATGTTGATGAAGCTATGGGATTTGCTGTCGGCTGGAATGTAAGTGCCCTAGTTTAATCTATTCGGGGAATAAAAAAAGAAAATAAAAGAAAAAAGAATGGGGCGGAGGGACAGAGTGTAAACATCGCAGGTGCTGATTCGCGTGAATAGACCTGGTACCAATGCGCAATTACTGTCTGTGTCGAGATTGCTGCCGCTGCCCTTCTTATTGAATACTGGCCAGGCGCAGAAGGCATAAACGTCGGGGCATGGATCGCCCTAGTCTGGGTTCTCATTATGTTCTTGAATGTCTTTGCCGTAGCGATCTATGGTGAGGCAGAGTTCATCTTTGCCAGTATCAAGATTATCACCATTGTCGGTCTTCTCATCCTGTCGCTTATTATTGATCTCGGCGGCGGACCTGATGGGGACCGTCGAGGCTTCCGTTACTGGAAAAATCCCGGCGCGATGAGAGAGTATGTTGCCACCGGCGATAAAGGGCGCTTCCTTGGATTTTTCTCGACGCTTGTGAACGCTGCATTCTCTTTCGGTGGTGTGGAAATGGTCGCTTCTGCGGCCGGGGAGGCAGCAAACCCTCGACGAAACATTCCCAAGGCTGTACGAAGAGTCTTCTGGCGTATCATTACCTTCTATATCCTGGGATCCCTGGCTATCGGAATGCTGGTTCCTTACGACGATGAGAATCTGTTGAATGCTCAAAACTCAGATAAATCGAGCACTGCTGCCGCCTCCCCATGGGTTATCGCCATTAATCGTGCCAGCATCCCAGTCCTCCCTTCCATCATCAATGCTGTCATTTTAACATCCGCCTCCTCATCGGGCAATGCATTCTTGTATACCGGTAGTCGCTACCTCTATGCGTTGGCCCAGAACGGCCAAGCACCGAAATTCCTTCTCAAATGCACTAAATTGTGAGGGGACATTTGAACATCCGTAAAGTTGACTGTTTGTTGGGTGTTGCTAACCTTTATTGCCATATAGGGGTGTGCCGATTTACAGTGTTTTACTCACCGGATCTGTCGGGCTACTCACGTTCATGTCCACCAGCACCGGCGCCAACGATGTATTCCTCTGGTTCCAAAATCTGACCACAATCGCCTCGTTGTTCACCTGGTGTTCCATCTGTATCGCCTGCATTAAATTCCACCACGCAGTCGAAGCGCAGGGCGTTGATCGAAGTACAATGGCTTTCCGTGCCCCCTTCCAACCATATCCCGCATACTTCGCGCTCGCTTTCTTCGTTATTATTATCGTTTTCAATGGCTTCGATGCCTTTGCCCCCAAGTTCGAGTTCCAGAACTTCTTCACAGCATACGTTGGCATACCAATCTATTTCGGACTGTATCTATTCTGGAGAATCTTTAAAAAGACTAAGTTCGTCGACCCCGCGGAGGCGGATATTTGGTCAGGAAAAGCTGCTCTTGATGCTGTTGAGTGGCCCGCAGATAACCCGCGCAACACTATCGAGAAGATATGGTACTGGATTGCATAGATAGGGAATAAAGTGATTTGTGGAGGAAAACCCCCAGCAAGTCATTGTTCTTTTATTCCTGAATGTAGACGGGACATAGTTTATGCACCCATCATGCCTTTGCCGGCAAATCCCGTACTCAGGGGTGCATATTGACTCTTAATCTCCGCATATACTCATGTATATCTAATGCATTCCGCCTCCTTTGTTCGTCTTTCCCTTTCTCCATCCTCTTTCTAATTCAGTCAGCATTATCTTTTTAAGCACTCTGTCAGTGTATATATCCCATACCTTGTTTGAACCACCCATGTCCAACCACAAAGAATGATTCAATTCATCTCGTCCCATATGTACTATCTGATATTCCCAGCCCCTCATCTTCCGGGTGCGAGTTAAATCGACGTGGGATTCCCGGGTTGTACCATCCGAAGACAGGAAAGGAATATACATGTGCCATCCTCAAATAGGGACGCAAGATGCTTTCGACAACCATTCCTCATACCCAACTGGCGTGGCCAATGTTAATTGAGCATCCCATTGGAACACCCGAACGATTTTCACGCAGGACGTAGATAAGAAGGCGAGGCTAGTGTCCCTTTGTAGGGTATAGTAGCTGCTAAAACAGAGAACGAGAGTCGATGATGTTTACTCTGTTATCAGATTGTCCTGGAAGGTTGCTGGAAAAGCGAGCAGGCAAAAGGGAAGGGAAAGTAAGGCGAAACGAGCGCCCTCCAACAATGATCTATATATATATATGCCGAGATTCCGTATAAAAACATGCGCTACAGGCCTGCGGCGGGGTCATACGTATTTGTCTCTTTAGTCCAAACTAGCGAGATCCACTGATCCCAACTGCTTTTTCCCTTGGCTTCCAGATCGGAACTTTCTTCTCAGAGATGTGTTTAGTTGATTAGAAATCTATGCTTTAAATTAAGTCTTCTACGGATGAGAACTTTTTTAAAAAAACAAAAGTTGACCTCCTCTCTCCGCCGTGGGGGTTATGAGACACCCCTTAGGGCGTAGACGCTGGTCTTTTTAAGAATTCTCCGCTATCATGATTGGATTTAGGTTCAGAAGCTGAGGCCTTCTCATTTTTTCCCGTCTGACTTGAAACCTCTACTGACAATCAATTCGGAAATTCGGCTCGATGCGAGACTGGTGACCTGGGCGGAATATTCGTTGAGCGCTTCACCTACGCGGAACAGCGCGAAGTGAGGGATTGAAAGAGCGCTACGACAATTACAGTATGACTTGCACCGCGAAGTTATGCTGTATCAATCTGAGGTGTGAAGAGACTTTTTCATCTTCCTTGGAAACAGACGGAAAAGGAGACACATTAAATCTCAAGTAGTATATTGGAACGTAAAAGATTTATATCCATGAAACAGCTTCCGGGAAGGTACCAGTCGCCTGCTGCCGACGAGAGAGGATATGGGGGTCGACACACTGGACCATGAATGTATGAACGGAACAGAATATGGACATCAGCGGCCAAGGAAAGAGAACTAAATCGAAAGGGCAAAGGAAATATTAGGACATGACCCGCCCCCTGTTCCATCTTAGGATGAAAAAGAGAAGTAAATGCACTGTACTTGTGAGAAATGGGCCCTCCTTAGAGGCTTGCCCAACCATCTTCCACGGGGTATATGCCAAAGAATACACATTGCAGAGATAGAAACGAAAAGGTAGAAAAGAAAACAAATCTGAAGAAAACGAAACTGAACCAGCAAACTCCATTCCCAGTTCCTGAACGCCATGCATGCTCCATACCACAATGTATATCATCTTGTCATCGCACTCGTAACGAAATCTGAGAAATCCCAAACCGAGCTGTGGGAAAAATACGAATTAATCCGCACCGGGAGGGAGATCCTTGAGAATTTCCCACCCATACTCTTCCTCCGGCTTCTCAGGCTCCATGCCCAAAGCATTGCGGTACGCACGAACCTCATTCTGTAAACCGGATATAATCCGAATGGGGACCTCTTCCTCCTCGCAGCGAAGCCGGTATGCGGTACGGATCATCTCGGAGCATCGCATTGCTTTGGCGTGCCAATTGTCTCTGTCCAGGCGGCTCTCAAGGTGGGCGTCGCGCTCGGCCTGGAGGAGGTTGTTGTAGTGACGTTTCTGGGCGAGGTAGTGCATGTTATTGTTTTGGCAGTAGTGACGGATCTGCTCCACCATGATGCCGACGGCGGTTTCATATTCCCCAATCAGCTTGGTGTTTTCGACCTGTTCCCGCTTGAGGGCTTCAACGAGGGATTTTTCTCGTGCGAGCGAACGTTCGAGTTCTGCGATTCTGGCGGCTGTTTGGATTGATGGTTGATTGGTTAGATATATGGCAGTTGTAGTCGCGTTAATTATAAGAATAACCTACCTGTTACCTCTCCGTTGACCTGTTGCAGAGTTGGACTTGCACCCTCGGTCGCAGCACGTTTCTAGAAAAGAAAAAAAGCGAGGAATGATTAGTTTTAAATTGGTTCTCTTTGTGTCGCTGACGCCAACAAACTCATTGCAAGGGCAGAGACACCCACCATAATTTCTTCCGCGCTGTCAATAATGCCCTTCGTCATGTCGCGGTTATTCTTCAATACATCGCTGAGCTCCAGAACCATCTCGTAAAGATGATTGAGATCCATCTGGTGTCCGGCATTGACTGGCATTCCAACATGCATCGGGCCCATGGCCCCATTCTGAGTGGAGGGGGTGCCCGGACTTGGGCTCTGACGAGACATGCCCGCCATAATGGGGCCAGGCGAATTGAAGCTGTTGCCGTTATTATTGATATTGTTGGGATCGTAGAAGTGGGCGAAGGGGCCTGTACCGGCAGCAGAATTGGTTTTGTGAGAAGGGGGCTGGACTGTGGTGCTGGGGCTGCTGGAGCTGCTGGTGATGTTGCTGGCCATTGACATGCTTGCAGAAGAAAACGCGAGATTAAGCTCCGTTAGCTCGTCGTCCTCGTCGGCGGCGTCGGGCGCTTTGTCCGCTGCTCCAGTTGCACCTCTGGGTGGAATGCCCAACACCTCAGCGCGAAACCGGACCAGGTCCTGTCCGGACACTAGCGACCGGGCTCGACGGTGTCGAGGGACAAACGCTTCTTGGCGATCAACCGACGTATTGGAGATTTCGACAGCACACGCGGCGCTGTCTCCTCTCTGTCTATTTGTTCTTGTTGTTCTAGTAGTTAGCGATTAATGGGCTTTTCGTGAATCGGCTATTATCCAGTTTATTTTTTTAACTTGACAACTTGGGGGAACTTGAGCCGCAGTTCAAGATTCCAAGCTCTATTTATTTGAGTGGCTGCTGACTAACCTGCGTTCTCGGCACTGTGATTCCTCCATGTCAACAATCACTGAGAGGGAAGAGCCTATATAACTAGAGGTTGTTCTTGGGTTGTGAGTAGTTGTTGAGGATAGATGTCAGGCAGTTAACAAGAATATCACTGAATATCACAGAAATAGAGGTGAAAAGGATTGAGGAATTGTTTACAACAGTGAGTTGGTATAGAGGCATGGCCCATGGCGACAATCTATGAGATCACCAGCCATTTCAGTGCAATAACAAAGACAGGATTCAACTTCACTTCTCTTTACTATTATTAGAGTGCGCTTTGAAAGAAATATATGACTCCCCTCTAAACAGACATACAAGTACACTCCCATTGAAGTCTGAGAGCTGTCCTGCAAGTTTAGTATAACTCCAGGCGACCCAAAATCGAAGGCCGCACATAATAATACCCTCTGTACATGTACTTACTGTAAATGAACCTGTCTATCCAGCATCGAATCCATCCATCTGCGACAATCCCACGAAACAAACTTGAATGGGGATGTAGTGTTTGCTGCAATCTCACCGCCATACAGCGTGGAGAGCTAATCTTGTCAAGATACGGTCGATGAAATAGGCTTGATCTGCCAGCCACTTGAACCTTAATTCAAGCAAACATTCTCGACTTCTCGCCAGCCGCAATATGGTTGTAAAATTCTTTCTCCATCCTTTCCCAATAATGAATGGTCCGTCATTGCAAAATTGAACTCGTATGATTTGAGCTTCGGAGTGCCCTCCCGCCGCCCCAAAACCCCCATTTGAAAGAAATCATGTCAAGTCATATCCAACACAGATGAAAGCTTTGTCTCAGGGTCATCCATCGGCTGGGAATTCCCTTCAAGCTCAACATTCCTACCCGCCCTACCAACCCGACTTGTAACCTTCGCAACAAGCATTCTCATCCTATCAATCTCCTGGCCCAGCGGACTATCTCTGGTAACCAGGTTTGGCTGGATGTTCATTTGAGGATCCTTGAACGGCTCCAAAAGTTCTGCAAGCTGTTTATACTGCGCAAGCCGTTCTTGCTGCTTTTTGCGCTGGTTGTCCAGTTCTAAAAGGCGCTGGTACAATTGTTCGTATCTGTCCACAAGGCTCCGTTAGGGATAATATGTAGATATTATGTTATGCGCGGAGGGTTGCTGATATCGAACCTGAGTTTATCGTCCTCATCAATGTCGGCATCTTCTCTCCATTGTTTTGGGAGTCGAGCGATACTCCTGTACTCTTGTCAGTTTTGGCGACATCCACCCCAATGGCATCCCTCATGGACATATGCTAGCAAGTTAAAGTCCATACCTCGAATTTGTCAAATCAGTACCCTTTTCTACGACAAGTCCTTGCGATACGTCCCCAACAGTCTCTGGATCAATTGAGTTCCAATAGAGACTTTCGATTTGCCGGGCAACGTGGTGGATAGCTTGCGACGGGAAGACTGCGCGGGTATGTTTTTTCAAGACAGCGTTTACTTACGATGCCCAAAATTAGCTGATTGGAAGAAAATACAAGGAAAATAAAATAAAATATGCCCCAAACCTGTTTCAGAGGGTGTACAGGATAAGTCATACATTTCTGCAATACGTCCTCTACCGTCTTATTGGGGATGTCATCTTCGCAAACAGGACCATAGTCGCGCCAGTCCTCGGATGGTGTGAGAGCTGCAGATAGAATGCGGATTTGATTTCTGACGAAGGATGATTTTATCTCTGTGATTGTTTTCGTGGAATCCATTTCTTATACGCGCAAAGGCGGCAGCGGCAAAAGTATTGTTTCTAGTATTCATATGGAGATTCTATGCTTGATGCCTGTGCAATTGATATTGGGCGATGTCGATGGATAACTTTACACGTGACTAACCTGGCCTCCAATCTGATAAGATAAGCAGTTCGGCTCAGTAGAGTAGTTACGGAGTAGTTCGCCCAAGAAGCATCTTCGATAACTACCATGCATGATGCCCTAAAGGCTCGTGGGGGACGAAGTGAAGCCATATCGGGACATCTAATACAGTCATGGATTTATGATATCCAAAAATGCCTGAATTCCCTCAGAGAGATCGAGCAGATCGCAGACTGTCCCGTGGTTCTACTCAGTTATTATTGCCATTAACCTCGGTAAAAAACTCACGCTTCCAGATCACAGCTCTGTTCCGGGACTCGGGGAACAGATTGGAATGATAATTGCCTTAAATACTCATTTATCTGCATCCATTCACATTCATTAAACCGACGTAACTTTCAGCATCACCGGCATTACGTTTTAAGATTCGAAGATGGCGGGTAACAAGCGACCACAGGGGATTCTATTCGACATTGGCGGCGTTTGTGTAGGGATCCCGCAAAATCCAACGACGACTTTGCACTTTATCTAACTACTTCTAGGTCGTCTCTCCCTTCCAAGCAATCCTAGACTATGAAATCGCAAACAATATTCCGATTGGCTGGGTAAATTACAGCATCCAACACACCTCTCCCAACGGTGCATGGCATAGAGTTGAGCGCGGGGAGGTGACGTTAGATGAGGTTTTCTTCCAAGAGTTCAACAGAGATTTCCAACACCAGCATCTATGGAAAGCATTCCATGCCCTGCAGCAGAGCAAGAATAAACAATCCTCCTCCTCATCCTCACAATCATCGCGCCTCCCACCCCTCCCCAAGGTCGATGCAAAGTACCTATTTTGGGAAATGATGCGAGTGGCCCGCAGCCCAGATCCATATATGTTCCCCGCTTTGCGGAAACTACAAGCATCGGGCCAGTTCATCCTGGGCGCGCTGTCGAATACGACAATCCTCCCCGCAGACAACCCAGCAGGCCCGCCGGTAGATGTGAAGCAGTTCTTCGATTTCTTCATCTCTAGCGCGCATGTTGGGATGCGGAAGCCGGATCCTAAGATCTATGCGCTGGCGTTGAAGGAGATGAATGATGCGGCGAAGAGGAAGGGGTTACCTCCCGTTGAGCCGGATGATATTGTGTTTTTGGATGATATTGGGATTAACCTGAAATTCGCGAAGAAGGCCGGGTTCCGGACTATCAAGGTTGACCTGGGTAAGTCGCAGGATGCTGTGAGGGAGTTGGAGAAGGTGACTGGTTTGCAGCTGTTGGAGGGTGATGGGAGAGCGAGATTATAAACGCGGGGAGATCGGTATTTTGGAGCAATTTGTTTGATTTTGTCTTTGGATAGACTGTTCATTACGAATGTAGACACAGATACTCTGTAACTAAGCCGGTGCTATTATGACTGCGGAGTCGGAGTTAGATATGATACCAATAGAGATTCATGCAAACGAGCTATTCCTTGTCAATTACCAATTCCGTATCCAACTAATTACAATATACAAATCCATTTGTTTTTTTCATAATAATAATAACAATATCCCTTTTAAAATTACCTGATTGCATCTCGTGTATACTTTTTGGCGGCCCTCGTCGCCGACCCCAGTTCCGCCCTCAGCTTTGGGCTTGTCGCGCTAAGCGAACACACAAAACCAGCCAACAAAATCCCACACAACCACGCTGGAAACGAATCTTTTCTCCTCGTCCCCGTCCAACTCGCCCAGCATCCAGGTTCAGTAGCAACTCGACGCACCAAACCTACCGGCAAGATGGTAAGTCCTGCTTCGCCAGAGCTGGCGTTTAAGAATCGCTGCTGCTCATTCCCTACCATTCCTTGAAAAAAAGATGAGCGAGACGAAGAAACAGAAATAAGGCGGGGAGAGTCTCTGCAAGATGCTTCGGAGGGAGGACAAATACATAAAAAATATTCTGAAGCGCAAATTGCTGACTCGGGGTTTGTCTTTCTTGGGAAATTCTAGCCTTTCACCAAGCTCGTCAAGAACAGCGCTTACTACAGGTGAGTTTCCATCTCTTTGCCCTCGCCACAATGCCGATTTTCCATCACCTTTTTACTCTAGCGTATGGAGAAAATGCAAGTCTTACTGACGGCAAATCCCTTAATACAGCCGCTACCAAACCAAGTTCAAGCGCCGCCGGCAAGGAAAGACCGACTACTATGCTCGCAAGCGCCTGATCACCCAGGCCAAGAACAAGTACAATGCGCCCAAGTATCGTATGGTCGTCCGCTTCACCAACCGCGACATCATCACCCAGATTGTTACTGCCGAAATCACCGGTGACAAAGTCTTCGCATGTGCTTACTCCCACGAGCTCAAGCGCTACGGCATCGAGCACGGCCTGACCAACTGGTCTGCCGCCTATGCCACCGGCCTCCTCCTCGCCCGCCGCACGCTCAAGAAGCTCGGCCTCGATGAGGACTTCGTCGGCGTCGAGGAGCCCGAGGGTGAGTACAGCCTCACCGAAGCCGCTGAGACCGATGAGGGCACCCGCCGTCCCTTCAAGGTTGTTCTCGACGTCGGTCTCCACCGCACCTCAACCGGTGCCCGCGTCTTCGCAGCCATGAAGGGTGCGTCTGACGGCGGCATCCTGATCCCTCACTCCGAGAGCCGCTTCCCCGGCTACGATATCGAGACCAAGGAGCTGGACGCTGAGACTCTGCGCCGCTACATTTTCGGTGGCCACGTTGCTGAGTACATGGAGACGCTTGCCGATGACGACGAGGAGCGCTACAAGTCTCAGTTCCAGAAGTACATTGATGCCGAGATCGATGCTGGTGATCTCGAGGAGATCTATGCTGAGGCCCACAAGGCTATCCGTGCCGATCCGTTCAAGAAGGATGAGGATGCTGGATCCAAGAAGACCAAGGAGGAGTGGAAGGCTGAGAGCTTGAAGTATCGTACCAAGAAGCTTACTCGTGCTGAGAAGGAGGCTCGTGTACAGGAGAAGATCCGGGAGTTGGCATAGATGGGGTGTACCACATTTTTCTCTTTCACCTATCTCTGATTTGTTTCTTTTTAATGTGAAGGGATCTGGCAAAAAATCCTTTTACATACAACAAAGCAAGCGTCAGATTTGAAGAGCAAAAGCAACAAAAAGCAGAATGATATGACTTTGGTAATGAATGAAGTGCTCAGAAACACCTTATGCTCAACCTTTTTTTTTATATGCTTTCTCATCCCCAACGGCAACACTTAGCTGGATGGACGGGTCATGATTTTAATTGGAGTGAACGGGCTGGGCTATGATGCTATTTTTCTTCACTCTTTTGTACTCTGGGTTCATGGAGTTGCTTTAACTGCTACAAATGGTATCAAAGATTTTTTTTTTCCCTTTTCCACTCCGAGCCAACCAAGAGAAAAATAAAAACACAAGAAGCCGAATCTTCATGTTCAGGGCTCCATGGCAAAGAGAAAGAAAAATGAATATCTCCAGCGCCCTGCTTCAAATCTGAAAATCCAAACCTCTTCATTCATCCTTCAGCCAATACCCCTATAACTTCTTCGGCCTTTTTTCCCCTTCATTCCACAATTTACCGAGCCAAGCTATCATCGTTTAAATTTCACAATCATTGAAACTGTGAACTCTGTAGAGCTAACAGCCCTCTGCCAACGGGACCGCACAAGGAAAATTAGGTCCTTTCCATCGCTCCTTGAAAATGCATTTACTATTGACGCTCTATTATTGCAATGCCATTCCAACAACCATGCTTTACACAAAGAGAAAACTGCACCCACGATCTGATTAACATCACAAAACCTGTAACATCACAGAACCTGACTGAAAACAGCTTTCTACATACCAGAAAATGAACAAAAAAGTTTAGAAGGAGAAAGATAGTGCTGCTGATTGATGCATACAAGTCAGCCAGTTTCCCCACCTTTGCTTACGTAGCGTAGTCCGGTTTTCAACGCCGTTTTAAGCCCATACGTCATTCACGTGACCCTCAGCTTACTCATAAACGTGCCTTTGTCCGATATCGACAACGAGTACTGTAATGAGCATTCGGAGAGGCGTACAGCAGCTCTACATCAACTGAAGGCGGTTCTCAAAGAAAAGTTAGGCAGAGAGCAGGTGCCACCTCCATTTTGGGCCTTCTGTCAGGTCTCGGACGTATCCAGACTGCAAGAGATGGTCTTCATTGTGGAGCAGGCCCCCAACGCCAAAATAGCGCAGCTTTGCCTGGAACCGACAATTAAGGATTGTGATTCGGCTGTAGCCCGATGTTAGTTTTGCGCATCCTCATACTCATAGAGAAATTCCATTTCTAAACTAAATTCCCATCAGGGCTACAAAACCTAAGTGCGATTAATACTACAAGCTCCGGTACAGATCGTTCAACAACAGCGAGCTTAATGTTTGTTAATCTTCATAGAGCTAGATTGGACTTTGCTAACGGGTTTGTTACAGTGCAAAAAGCGCGATCAGAACAAGTGCGTGCTTACTGGATGGGAGGAACCAGATGCTGCGCATATCTATCCACAGTGCCTTATAAAAGCATCTGGGCGCGAACCAAGAGCAGTTGAGAGATTCTGGGATATCCTTGGCTTCTTTTTGGGAGGAAGAACGTGTGGAGCAGTGGAAAAAGGAGATATTCAGTGACCCACAGAACTTGAAGGAACCAAATGATGGTTGCTTTAACATGGTCAGCCTTGATAAGCATCCACACGCTCTCTGGGGAGCTGGTCGTTTTGCACTGCGACTCATCGAGATCTCTGCAGATCTCAAAGAACTAAAAGTTGAATTCCATTGGCAACCGAAATGAGACAGAAGAAATTGATCTTCTTACAGAGCCAACAACGTCCGGGGTTTGTACAAGTATGGGGGACGAGGTTTGCCAGTCCCTATAGGTACCTACAAGGAGGATGGTGAACCGGAATACAGGCCTATCGCTTCAGGGGATGTGTTTTCTCTGACCACAGATGATCCTGACAAACTGCCACTGCCCAGCTGGCCCCTCCTTGAAATGCAGTGGCATTTACAGAGGATTGCAGGGATGAGTGGGGCCGAAGCAAGCGAGGACTTGGACCACAATGTTGATGATGATGATGATGATGATGATAATGATGCAAAAGAGATAACCACACATGATCGTGACGCCACTGTACGGAGTGTTAGAGCCATTTCTGAGTGGCTACGGCTTCTACCAGAAAAAGAGCAATCTACATCCCACCCACGCCTGTCAATCCCCGTGTAGGAGCCCGGTTAGCTCCCGAATAGTGACCAAGAGAGAGAAGGCCAAGCGGGTGCTGGCCGGAGGTTATGGCTCATTACGCTGTAGAGCTAGCAAATGGAGGAGGGCGAATTTCGAGAGAAGGTTGCCACGACGGATATAGGAAGAATTGCTCCGGGTGGGAAAATAGAATTCATTCATATTGTCAGTTGATGTCCCGTTTCCCGCCACGGCGCCACGGCGCCACTGCATTTGCATTTGGAGTTTACGGACTTAGACCGTCTATTGCTTTCAAATCAAAGAATCTCTCCTTAGGAGTCTCCATCCGGCCTCCGTGAGGCCGTGTAGTTGTGTGCGTGCCTTGTGTCAGTCGAATGCTGCTGTGCAATAATACTTTTTTTTTTTTTTTTTTTTTTTTTTTTTTTTTTTTTCTTTTTTTTTTTTTCCAGCGCACCGCATACGAGCAACGCCCCCTAGATTTCTCTTCCGGCGGAAAAATATCGACATTGCAGCTCTATCAGTTATTACTGTTGGTTATTTCGCTAGGCGAGTCCACCTGTATGACGGCGAATTGCGGGCGCCAGAGCCAGTCTGACCCTGCAAGCTGAACGGATTATTTGCTCAGAATGGCTTGGCAACAACCTAACTGTTCCTGTCGTTCGACTGGGCTTTTTATCCCTTGTGTATTCGGGAAAGGAACAAAAAACCAGGAGGCCAGCGGCGGAAAGGGTTGTATTGAACTAGGAACGATCCTTTCTCTTTAAAAAATAAAATAACCGTGGGGAAGAGGTTGAACCTCGGTCTTTTTTTGCTGCCAAATTGGGCTCTATATTTTGCCGTAATAAATTCAGCTGCGGGAGGACATGCATTGGAAATTCGCCCTGAGACAGCACTGTAAGGACTAGGAATGCACTGATGAATACCGCACTATTTTAATAATAATAAGCCTAACAATGTAGAAGCAGGAAGTCTGTAGGGCACTTATTAAGGTGATTAGGGGCGTTGCACTCATTCATTAGGGCTTTGAACAGGGTCTGGCGCGTCGCCGCCTGCTCATATCTGATGATGACGTCATTTGAGTTCCCCAGACTTCATCGATACATTCCATATTCGATACTGAGATACTTACAATGGAAGACCGATAGCTACCGCATCTCTCAAAGATATGGATCCAGACTGATACTAACCTATTGATGATTCTCTCCTCGCGTCCCCCTTTCCCACAGCCTTATGCGACTGAGCTTCTAGAGGCCTCCGGTTATCAGCTTTGCATCGTCAGGCTGGCAGTTTCAACCAAGATGTTTAATGGGGGTGGGGTGAGGTGAGGTCATTTGTAGGGCAGAAAGCCTGATGTATTGTTTATAATCGCTAGATACACGATTTAGTTACAGATGGGTGATAGGAGTGTCTTGCTCAGAGGCTGGATTCCATCCATGTGAATCCCTTCGATGAGGCTTCAACCAATATCCCGCTACCACCCTATCATTTTCCATGAGGCTCATTTCGTCTCCATCAGCCAGAGACTATAAGGCTATGGGAGAAATCCCCGAGCCAATGCCAGCGGTCAAATTGTCTTTATAACCCTTCCCTTTCTCGTAGCTACTCTTCGTAGATGATGAAAGAAGAGGAAGTGATGAGTGATGAGAGGACAGACACTGAACAGGTTCTTAGATGGTAGGTACTTGTAAGATTAGGACGCCAATCGCTCACTGGAGATATTATATCATCAATGTCATCCCCCGATTATAGTGTTGTGAAAACCTCTTGCAATATCATAAGTTTTACTACATGCAGTCGTATACGTCGATATCGACGTTGGGGGCAAAGCTATGCCCATGGTAGCTTAGAGCAGAGGCGCACGGGTACAAAAAGTTTGAAGATTACTGCAGCTTAGGAAATTTGAACAGGTTATATCAACATGTATTCATGCATTTTCTCTGTGATACATGATGAACCCAGTTGATTTCAGACTGAAAAAAAAAATGAAAAAAAAAATTCCTGTGATATCCGCAAGTTTGTTTAAAGCTGTGGAATGACACCATAGAGTTAACTATATTTCATAGCTAAAAAAGGATGTAGACCGGGCAGTGGAATAAGAAATAGATGTGTCCCCAACTGATTTACCGAGCTTCTGACTTGAGCTAACGTTAGGAGCTTGGCAGTCTTTCCAATCAGGTTGTAACTATTGTTTTTTGTTTCTTGAAAGGATGTTTGTAGTCTTTTTGTTCAGGAGCATGTAACTACTCTGTACTCCGTACTGTGCATACTATGCTGCGTAGATACAAAGAAATTAGTGACGTACAGGATACATAGTTCTTGGCGACTGATCTTTTATTTCTCTTACAAAGACTGTATACTCTACTCCGTATACTAAAGTAAATTATCCCCCGGTAAGCTCTAAAATAAGCATTATTCATGTCATCAAGGATACTTCAGATATTTAAGTTTTGAGCGTAACTTAAATACGAGAGAGCAGGGAGGGCACTTATTAGTGCGCTAAGTGGCTACACTGTCCCCTGCTGACAAAGAGACGTCTCGATAGTTAACTATGTATGGTATGTAGTTGCCATACCATACCATACCATACCCATACACATACACATTACATATTTAATATTACATACGCCCAGCCCAAGCCCGCATTCACCGCAACCAGAACCACAACACAACCACCACAAGGTTCTTGTTCTATATTCTTATTATCATTAGCGACCTCCATCATCACCATCACCTCGACTTATTGCACCCGCTCTATTGTCTCTTTCCGTTACAATCACTCCCCCGTTATGTCGTTTGTGCTCACCTACCTCATCCTCCTCTCGATGACGGAACCCGCGCAGCAGCGCGGCCTTTGAGTTCAATAGTTCGTTGTCCACTACTCCTCCGCTCGCTCCGCCCGCTCCGCCCGCTCCGCTTACCGGCCATATTTCTATAACAAATCCCCCTACCTTCCACCGACTCTTCCTCTCGCGGGTTATAATTGCCCTTCTTCTTTCATCTGTCACCTACTGTTCGCCTTCAACTAGCGCAGCAAGACCTTGCTACCCCCGCTCCCATACACGATATCTCCGTTCTTATGCTCCCTGTCGCACGCCAGCGTCGCCCCACTCCGTGCTCGTGTGAGCTTTTGCCCGGATTCTTGCCTGGAGCTCTTCCACTGCGCCCATTCCTGTGACACGCTGTAGGCTGCGATATCATTGTATACGGCCTCTTGTTACTATTAGTAATAGTAATAATACCTTCGGGGGACTTGCATTCTTTGCTTTGGGAAAGAAAGAGTTGCTGCGAATTGTCCAACCGTCTTTGCGAAATGGAAAAAGCTGACACTGTTGATGTGAGCTGGTTGCATCATTCTCAAAAAGGTACATCCTCTTCCTTCTCCGGAAACAGTGATATCGGTGAATTTGCTTGCTTTATAGACTGTCTTCTGTCTCGCCATCTTTTTTTACCTCATTCCATCATGTTGGGAGCTTGATAAAGGCTATAGAATTTACGTTGAATAACCCTAACTTGATTTACTATAGACAATCTTCTTCGAACCAAATCTGCGCCTTCAGTTCCCATAAATTCCTCACAACCAATAACTCCAGAGCCACCAGTACTTGCCAGTTCACTCCCAACAGAAAATTACGAACCCGCCAATGTCGTTTCGTCTACAGGTGTATCCAGGTCATTAACTCCTCCGGTGATGAACCCCCGGCAGCCACCGACACAGCAGAGGAAGGGGACCTTGAATGCGGTAGAGCAGAGTGAATCTACGCCTTCGCCGGCACCCTTGGCTACCAATGGGACCACAGGCAAATCATCCAGCGCAAAACAGCCTACGACCGGTCGGCGCAATTCATGGATCTCCAGTTTAAGCCAGAAATTATCTTCGAGCGGTTCGGTTTCTCCGACGCAAAGCAATGTGAAGGATGCCAATGCGAAGCAACCAGCTCAGAGTCCTCGAACAGAACTCCACAACCCATTTGGCGCATCTTTCTCTCCCAAGGAAAAGACAGACAAGCAAGATGATACCCCGACTCCCTTCGATTCTCGTTCTCCAAAGAGCCATCCTTCCTTCTTTCATAATGCCCTCCGCAAACTTTCATCTTCCTCTTCGTCCGTCGGTGGTGCGTTAGGAAAGATCGCGACACAGGGAGTGATTCCCGAACGGCGAGTTATGAATGTCGATCAGCATCGCGATAGATGTAAGATTGCTGAGCTGAACCAGGCTAAGCTCCGGCGTGTTGCGTTTTGTGTCGATGTGGAAATTGCGGGGACTTCTCGCCGGTCTGAATCCGAAGAGGAAGCTACACCGCAACAGCCTACACAGCTGTCGTCGCAACCGCCACCGCAAACGCCATCGCAGGCGGCCCCTGCGAAGAAGAAATCCACAATGGCCGATCAAATCAGAGTTTTCAAGAGACAAGACTCTAAGCCCGCCGTGGAGAAGGCTGAACCATCGCAACCGGGTGCTAATGGCGAACCAACCGAGGTCCCTTCAAGTACAGCTGCTAGCGAGACGACACCGTCGAAACCCGCTAAGGAAAACGAAAAGCCCCCTGGTACCAAAGAGCAAACAAGAAAGCAGGAAAAGAAGAAGAGGTCAGAAGAAGAGCGGAAAGAACGCAAGGAGAGAAAGAGAAGGCAGGCCGAAGCGAACGGGACCATTCCACTTCAGTTTACTCGTGACAAAGGATCGTCTTCTCTCCGTCCCACCCGAGGTCAGGATCAACCAACGACTGACCCTGTACGAATATATCGCCGCTGTTGTCAACTACGGGAAACCGGGGTTTTGAAGAAGATAGTTGAACAGATCTCTTCACCATCTTCGGGCCTTGCAGAGTCTCCTGGGACTGTTGCTGTTCTAGATCTCAGTGGCCTTTGCATGACCCTCCCTGATATTGTTACCTTCGCCGACTGGCTTGCCATCGTTCCCGTCCGCAAGCTACTATTACAAAATTGCGGCCTCACTGATGAAGCGGTGCGGGTGATCCTATCAGCGCTGCTGTCCACAAGGACGATCGAAGAATCAAGGTTACGAAGAAAGAGTGGCAGGAAACACGGCGACGATGCATCCCAGAGGGGAGAGAGAGCGGGCGTAATAGAAAAGCTGTCTTTGAAGGATAATCCCAAGATCGGCCACGATGGATGGCGGCACATCGCGCTCTTCATTCATATGTCAAGATCCCTCATCGGAATCGACTTGTCTGGAATCCCTTTCCCGCAAACTCCGGCCACCACAACCAGACCAATTAGTCCCTTATCAAAAGCCAGTAAACAACCTGCGACAGTATCCACTGTCTTCGCGAAGGCATTGTCTGAGCGACTTGCGGGAAACCACTTGGAAGAGCTAGTAATCAGCGAATGTTATCCATCTTCTGAAGATCTTTCCAAGATTTGCGATGCGGCGACAGCTGTGGAATTACGAAGATTGGGAGTTGCACACAATAACATGACGGCGGAAGGATTGGGACATGTCATTCGCTATTTGCAGGCTGGTTACTGCGAAGGACTTGACTTGGGAGGAAACAATCTGGGTGACCATCTAGGGCCGCTGTCGTCCGCCATTCAAAAAGCAAAGGATCATCCGCTCAGTGCTCTAAGCCTGGCGGATTGTTCATTGACGCCAAAACCTCTATGCTCTGTCCTCCAAGCGCTGACCTGTTTGCCTAATTTCCGATTTATCGACCTCTCCCATAACCCGAACCTTTTTGCAAGCCAGCCGGACTCTTTAACGACCTTACGACGCTATCTTCCCCAAATGGCTGAATTGAAACGAATACACTTGGCGGGTGTCAGCCTCTCTCCAGATCATGCCATAGCTCTTGCAGAGATATTACCCGATTGCCGTCGGCTATGTCACATTAATATCTTGGAGAATCCCACCATTGCCGCTTTGGCTTCAGCCAAGGACGCACCCACCCAGGAAGAAGCTTGCGCATTGTACGCGTCGTTGATGACAGCCGTTCGCATCTCACACACCCTCATCGCAGTAGATATCGACGTCCCGACGGCAGATAATAACGAAGTTGTCAAAGCCCTCGCATCACAAATTGTGGCCTACTCTCTTCGGAACCTCGAGCGTGGTGAACTTGTGGAGGAGCTTTCTGATGGCTCAACACCGGAAGAGTACCCAGTTCCCGTCCCCGATATCCTTGTGCATATTGTTGGAAATGTGGATGATGTAGGAGATGATCCTACGAAGCTGGCTCCGGATGAAGACTACGTTATTGGCGGTACTGGGCTGGTAAAGGCTCTTGGGGTTTGCCTTGGTAATGCCGACCACCATTCCCTGGAGACTTTGGGCGATATAACTCCCCCTCCCAGCGGCACTTCTACGCCACTTCGGCGCGCTAGCAGTGTTGGAAATAAAAAGCCACGGGACATGTCGAAGAACCTTCTCAATTCTGCACGGAGAATACGTGTGCGATTACAGCCGGTTCTTGTCAGGGAAGACAGGGCCGGTAATGAATCGAATTATCGTAAGTATTCCTTTTGTGTTTTTATGCTTGATTGTTACTTCATTTATTCAAACGACCATAATTTACAATTATATTTCTCTAGGACGACTACAATTCCTTGATGTTACCCTACAACGGATGATCCAACGTTTCGAAGATGAATTTCCAGATACCCGCCTTTCTACCGACTCAGACACAAGGGACACCCTTCCTCAACGGACCCCGTCCCAATCATCCGCGGGCGAATCTGCAGAACGGTCTAAACTAGATGATCCCGCAAACCTGGACGCAATTCAATTAAGCCAAAGCCCGGATCAAGATCAATATCCAGACGCAGCCATTGACGACGAAGACGGGGACCGTTACGCCATCCGCTTATCCCGTACCAGCTCAAACACATCCCTCCACTCCAAAGCCCTGACCTCCGAAGAAGGCAGGGTCCACCGTTTCCAGCAGCATGTCCGCCGGGATATTCTTAGCACCGATCTCGAGGCTGAGCCGGATACCCCCTCCCAAGGCCCCGACGAGACGCAGATCCACGCCTTACGCGAAAAGCTCGAGCGTCTCCGGAGTAGTGAGATGCAGTCTCGCATCGAGCTTGTTGGACCTGACAAGGCGCTTGAAGAGCTGGGGGCGAATATGGAAGAGTTACTTGCGCTGCGCGAACGGGATCCGGAGTCGTTTGAGAGCTTCAAGGCGAGCCAGATTGCTGCGCAGATTAATGCCGGGTTGGTGGGAGAAGGGGAGGGAGAGGGTGAACGGGAAGCAAGTGAACAACCCCCTCCCTAGATTCTATTAACCCCACAGTAAGCCCTCTTTTTTCCTGTAGGGGTGGGAGGGGGGATAAACAAATTACACTTTGTCTGCTGCAAATCTCACTCCAGGCTACGAAATTTCAGCTCCCTCTTTTCCAACTTTCCGATTTTGAGTGTGACACTTCTATTTTATTCATTGACAAATTTTTACGAAATCTTTTGCATATTTCCTGTGCGATTTCCCTCTACGCGCGAAACTTGGTCTGTACTAGGTTTGGGGGAGAACCAAACAAAGAGATTAGCCCTGGGTGCTGTTTTTCTTTTTTTCGTTTCCATTCTCACTGCTGCTAGCCGTTTCTGCGGAATGCCACTCTTCGTATATATATGTACATGTACATACGAATTGCGTATATGCACCCAACTGAAAGCTCACACACCTGTACTGTTTTGTTTCATCCATGATACACTCTTCTTTGACTCGCTTTTTCTTATTTTTATTTTTATTATTTTTATTTTTATTATTTTTTTGAGGGCAGAGGCAACCAACCCTCTTGCATTCTTCACACTTAGCACCAGGAGCACAGCGAGAAGCGAGAAAAATAACGGCCTTAACTTTTTTTCTATATTTAATATATTTTTATTCCACCTATCTATTCATGCTGATGATTTCTCGTTTTCGTTTCTTCCTCCTAGTCTCCTTTTGTTTTCCGACTGCTGACTTTCTTCCATTGTATGTCCTTGCGTTTTCAAAGGATAATGCGGAATTTTTTCCTGTCGTGTTACACATATTTAGTAGTGGAAGCGGATGCTTTATTTCACCCGCGAGATGGAATTTGCTTCAATATTTAATACGTTCATCATTCTCCATTCTATGTCATATTCTCTGTAATTCATCTTCAACAAACCTTCCCTTTCACAAGCTATTCCTAATGGGAACAATCCGGGGACGCAGATTATGTAACCCGGCAAAACCTTCGGCCCGGTAACATGATCCACCTGCCATTTCACATGCAAACCGGCGAGTCAAGTGACTTGCTTCGTCCGGGTTCCATCAACCATCTATCTGTCCATCTTCAATCCAGCTTCGGCTTCGTTCTTGTGTTTTCTTTCTTCTTTCCAGGCCTCCTGTTCATTTACCTAATTAACATTTGTTTAATTCCATACTTAATTGTTCTTCCTTTTATTTCATCGGTTTTCCTTTTACCATAATAGAGCAAAAAGCGGCACATAGATTCCTTGTCCGTCCATGACGCCATGGCATCTTAACTAGGGAGTCCCTCATCTCAACCCTTTTTCTTTGTTCAAATTAAAATATAGAGGATAGCTCAAGAAAGATAGGGCAACCAAATAATTGATTCCTCTTTTCCCTCTACCCCTACGTTCTCGCAACGTATTGACCAAATACCAGCGCCGCCATCGTCTTTCCAAAAACTCCCACCCTCCCAAAAATGGCCGCGCTATCCAAATTCTCTCTCCCAGACGCATCCCTCAAATCCCTTCTCTCCTCCCTAACCACCCACTATGTCGAACACCGCAAACTTATCTCCCGGGGCGTCTACCTAACTCTCTTCCTCGCCCTCATCAAGCGCATCCACAACGCAATCGCGGAACAAAAGGCGGCCTCCCAGCGCATAGCAGAGATCCGCGGACGACCTGGCACGAACAAGATTAACGGATCTGATAATGCCAATGGCAGCGGCGGGGCAGCTAACGGCGCGGGGCCTAAAAAGGTAGAGCTGAATTGGGAATTTGTCAAGAATCTGCTTCGTTTGTTGAAGATTATTATCCCCGGGTCGAAGAGTAAGGAGCTGCGATTGCTGATTAGCCACTCGGTGTTTTTGGTGTTGCGCACGTTGTTGAGTGTGTATGTTGCGGAGCTGGATGGGAAGTTGGTTAGTAGTTTGGTGAGGGGGAAGGGGAGGGAGTTTTTGCTTAGCCTTACGTGGTGGATGGCCGTGGCGGTTCCGGCGACGTTTACGAATTCAATGGTACGTTTTTTTTTTCCCTTTGGCGGATCTGTTCCGGAATGAGTGGGAGGGTTTATGCGGATTGCGCTTTGCTAACGTTTCGTTTGTTGTAGCTTTCCTATCACCAATGTCAACTGGCGCTTCATTATCGGAAACGGCTGACGGAATATGTGCATGGCCACTACCTGTCGAACATGTCGTTTTATACCCTATCCGCCCTAGATGACCGTATCAAAAATCCAGATCAACTTATAACAGTCGACATCTCACGATTCTCAAACAGTTTGGCGGAGCTCTACTCGAACCTCGCCAAGCCTATCCTTGACATGGCTATATATAATTATTCTTTGTCGAAGAGCGTGGGTGGCGAGGGCCTTTTCATCATGTCACTCCTTGTCCAATTATCCGCAAACGTGATGCGCGTCCTCACGCCGCCCTTCGGAAAATATGTCGCTGATGAAGCACGGCTGGAGGGCGAGTTCCGGTTCCAACATACGAGACTCATCGATCACAGTGAAGAGATCGCCTTATACCGTGGCCATGAGGCGGAGAAAAATACGTTGGATAAGGGTTATTTCACACTGATCAAACATGTGAATCGCATCTTGCGGAGGAGGCTGTACTATGGTTTCATGGAGGACTTTGTGATTAAGTACTTCTGGGGCGCGCTGGGGTTGATTTTGTGTAGTGTCCCAGTTTTCTTTAAGCTTCCTGGACAGACCGCCGAGACGATGGGGGATAGAACGGAGAGTAAGTTTCATATACACACCTCCAGGTGCTATAAATGATTTCCTTGCTAATTTTTTTTTTTATGAAGGCTTCGTTACAAATAGGCGCATGCTACTCTCTTCCTCCGATGCCTTCGGACGGGTGATGTTTTCTTACAAAGAAATTTCACAACTGGCTGGCTATACTGCCCGCGTAACATCTCTGCTGGACGTCATCGACGACGTCGCAGCAGGGCACTTCGAAAAGAAGCTCGTCTCATCTGCTTCAACGGACGAGAACGTCGCCGTCCTCAGCGGCCGTGGCACCATCACTGAAAGCGACTCCATCGAATTCGTCGATGTCCCCATCGTGTCTCCCAACGGGGACGTGCTGGTCCAGAAACTGTCCTTCACCGTCCACCCGGGCGATCACCTCCTCATCGTCGGCCCCAATGGGTGTGGGAAGTCCTCCCTCTTCCGAATCCTGGGCGGCCTATGGCCTGTGTATGGCGGGACTGTCAAAAAACCTTCCTTCGAAGACATCTTTTACATCCCGCAACGCCCCTACCTGTCCCGCGGCACGCTGAGACAGCAAGTCATATATCCCGACGGCCTGCGCGAGATGCGCGCTAAAGGGGTCACCGACGAAGACCTGTATGAGATCCTTAGCGTCGTGGAGATCGCGTCTATCGTCGATCGACCGGGAGGGTGGGATGCGGAGGAAGAGTGGCGTGATGTCCTTTCCGGCGGTCTACAACAGCGAATTGCCATGGCGAGGCTCTTCTACCATAAACCCAAATACGCGATTTTGGACGAGTGCACGTCCTCCGTGACGTTGGAGATTGAGAAGGTGATGTATGAGACGGCGGAGAAGCTTGGGGTGACGCTGATGACTGTGTCGCATCGGCGGAGTTTGTGGAAGTATCATAAGAAGATCTTGCAGTTTGATGGGCAGGGGAATTGTATTTTTACCAGCTTGGATTGGGAGAAGAGGCTGAGACTGGAGGAGTAAGTACTTCTTTACGCTGTGAAGTTCTTTGCTTTTGATTATTATGTTCGTTAACTAACTACTCGAAAACAACAGCGAGAAGGAAGAAATTGATCTCCAACTCCGTGCAGTGCCGGAGTTGGAGAAGAGGCTTTCCGAGCTTACAGCCTCGTGAACCTGCTTTTGCGGTTCACACCTTACAGTGTCCATCTACTAAATTTAACCCAACAATTTAAAATACCCCTTCTAGCCCTATCGCACAAACTGTCACATTTGACCCTCTAGGCTTCCCGTATCCTAATGCTTGGAAGACAACTGATGCTATTACGACTATTTCACGGCGTATGTGCATGTTCGGGCACAGTTGATTTACTTTATCTTCCTTTCTTATGGTTGCCATATTTCCATATCACAAAGCCACCTCCCACTTTTTAAAGCTATATATACCTGTCTGTATATTAGCTATAAACTTGGGACAGGCATTTTTATAATTTCAGCATGTTATTTTCTACCATATTTATTAGATATGTCGTGGTTTGGTGATTGGTCTTTAGTTCACATTCCCTTATATCTTTCCAGCACCTTTCAAAGATGGTAACGGAACTTTGGCAAGGAAATTCTCTCTCGCGGCAGCATAGTAGATAAAATTCAGGCATGTACATGTACATGTACATGTAAGAATTCACACAAAGATCAAATTTCTATACTCCAACAATATACAAACCAGAAGCAGGGAAACATCAATATGCCTAAGGGCTTAACACCACGAGCTTCCCGAACTGTGGATTCTCAATCGCGGCCTTCCCTGCCTTCTCATGCTCTTCCAGCTTGAACTCGCCAACCACCTCCACTCCACCGCTTTTCCCGAGCTTCAGGATGCCAGATTCAAACAGCCTCAAAAGACCCCGAACATCGGCCGCATGATACATGAATTGCGCGCGGATTGTTAAATTGTTGGCTACAGCATGGCTGTATGGAACAGCAATGTTGTCATCAGAGATGAAGCCCATGAGTACAGCCCTCCCGTACGGCCCCAACGCCATCAAGCCACTCCTCACTATCGTCGACCCGGACGCCTGAGGGGGCGAAACGTCAATAAACACATCAACGGGGCGACCTAATTGCTCCTTAAATGCGGACGAATCTGCCTCCGCGTCCCCCTTCAACTGCACAATCTTCACCCTCTCACCATGGGTAGCTCTTAACTTCTCCAAAACGTCGACGTTTCGGCCTGCAGCAATGACATTCGCGCCCATTGCCACTGCAAGCCCCACAGCCGCGCCGCTATACGACCCCGTCGCCGGCGCCACAACAACCGTCTCCCCTGCCATAAGCTTCACATTCCGAAACCCGGCAAACGCAATCGGGTAGAGAGAGATGGCAGACAGTTCCGCAGTGCTATATCCCAACTGAGTGCAGAGAGCCTGCTCATCCAGGGCCCAGCAGTTCTCCAACGGGCACCGCGCGTACTCTGCAAACAAGCCTTGACGCCAATTGTCCTCTATGAATTTCCTCCCTGTGGACGTCCACCCGTCATGGAAGCTCCAGAGGTAAATGACGTCCTTGTTATCGCGTGACCGCAATGCTGGTTCGAGCATCACCAGCTGGCCGATGGAGAAGCTGGTAGTGTCAGGCCCTGTGGCTGCCACGCGCCCGATGGCACGGGCCCCAGGGGTATTGGGGAATGGATATGTGAATGGCGTGTGGCCGCTGATGATGCGCGTAACGCTGACATCCATCGTGGCGTGAAGGATTTTGACCACGATGCTTCCGTGGATTGGGGTTGGGGTGGGCACCTCTTGGAGCTGAAGAGGTTGGGCATTGCCGGTGCGCACGAGAGCGCGCATTGTTGCGGGGAGTTGGGGGTTGGTGGTGATGGTTGCCATTTTTTCACTTTATATTATAGAAGAGAACTAGTTGGAAGCGCGTCTTTCCATGCTTTTGGGGAACTGAAACGGAATGATATGCTTTTAAGGATGGCGATTTGTTCAGGATATCAAAAGCACTTTGGATTCAGTGGGTTCCACGGCATCTTTTATACTTGAGAGAACGGAATTTGAGGAGGACATTGTTCTTTCGTTGCACAGAGAGCTTCTACCTCCGGCTGCCCCAGCAGACGGGAGAGATTCTACCCGGGAAGCATTCATCAATGCCCTAGCTTGCTTGTCTTTGACCTTCCTTTTGCAAAACTTCGCCCGTTGACGCCTGGCGATAGCTCCAAATCCCATATGCAATGCATCCGTCCTTTGCGTAATTCGTCCCCTCTGTTGTCTCGACACATGCATCCTGGATAGAAAATCGGAGCTCATGAAGAAATACGAATTAGGGTTAGACTGCGGGAATACGAAAGGAGGTTAGCGCGAAAACCTTAATTGTGGGCCTAGTCAGGCCTTCCAATTGGCGGCTGCGAAGTCATTCCTACTGACTTTACAGTGCAGTACACCGGACGTTTTTCAATTGATACGTCTACTTTAGACGGGAAAGGCCACCGTGACATCAAAAGTGGGAAAATGTTGATACAAGGACTCGTTATCAACATGGCATATCGCTTGGACTGGATGCACCATTTCCAGAACTCTTTGAACTCCAGTGATATCTGATTCATCTTGAATACGGCTCCCGTATCCTACCGATGCAATACAACAAATCAAAGAATCGAACTGATAACCCCACCTCCTAAACATCACTATGACGTCTGTTGTCGCGAAACAACACTCTGACGCAAAAGGGCGGAAGCGCAAGGCGCATAGAAAGTCCCGTCAGGGTTGTGGAAACTGCAAAATTCGCAGAGTCAAGGTCAGCCAGATGAGCTCCGTCGGTCAATAAACCAGCCTCTGCATAAAATTTACCCCAAAATATCCTTTTTCCGGTCTCTATTTTCTTCATCTAATGCAATACTTATAGTGTGACGAAGGCCGACCGGGGTGTCAAAAATGTGCATCATTCGGTGTCTCTTGCAGCTATGAGCCCGGCGCTGCTGATTTACAGCCTTCTCGGGCATCCACTTTCCAATCAGATGGCTACGGATTTTTGCAATTTCAAAATCTGTCAGCGCCAGTACCACGGAAGTCGCCATGTTCTTTGAATGATACAATCCTTAGCATGATCAACACGTCGCAAGCAGCGGCATTTTCCCCTAGACCTAGAGACTATGACAGCATACATTCCGCAGTACCCCAGCGTCCGTATCAACTGCGCGAACATGACCTGGAACTGCTCTCCATATTCCAGGCTAGAACAGCTTGTTCCATTGGGACAGATGCAACACTGCCCATCTACCGTAGAGAGTTTATTCGACTGGCATGTCAGGTATGTTCGAGTTATTCTTACGTCCTACACCGCATTCTACACCACCTAGCCATCCAATCCAACACCCCCTGCAACACTGGATTAACGAATGCGTCAAGCACCCCTTCCTCCTCCACATGGTATTAACTATGACCCTACTACACGACCGCTATCTCTCCCACTTCCCCCCCTGGCCACGCTCCTCATCACCATCCCAACTACACCTCACATCCTCACCCAAAGCCCTTTTTCACTGGTACCTCGGCACCATCCTCTTTAACACCAAACTCGCAAACCCCAGCCAAATCGACCCAAGAGAGCGCGACGCCATCTGGGCAGCCTCCGTTCTCCTTGGTGCCATTACGTTTTCATTCGTGGATGCCAGCCGGGCAGAGGACTCGTGGCCGCTGAAGCCTTCTTCGCATCTGGATCCGAACTGGTTAGCCATCAGCAATGGGAAGAGGGAGGTTTGGAAGCTAGCTGACCCGCTGAGGGCGGATAGTGTGTTTCGGGAAGCGTTGATAGGTCCTGTTCATGGGGAGACGGATCATAGCGCCCCTTCTACTGTCATTGATGGTCCTGGACTTAATGTTGATGACGGGTGGAGGTTTTGCTTCGCCTGCAGCTCCAATTACTACTCCGTGATAAGCTCAGTATCAGCATCAGACACAATCTACACCCGCACCCCACCCCACGAATTCCTCCTCCTACACCACTTCATCACCACCACATTCCCAGACCCAGACCCCAAAGTCAACCCCTATCACACAGCCCTCACAACCCTCCACAGCCTCTTCACCACCCCCTTTAAACCACATACCCCCATCGCCCCCTTCATCGCCTTCATCACGCATATAGACCCCGCCTACCGCAACCTACTGCACCACAAGGATCCGCTAGCGTTACTATTACTGGCCTACTGGTACGGGTATGTTTACGAAAACGAGAGCGAGCACGCACCCTGGTGGTTCTGGAGCCGTGCGATGGTGGAGGGTCGGGCTATTTGTATGTACCTAGAGAGGAACGAGGCGGTGTTAAGCAATAGGAATGTGATTGGGCGGGATGTAGGAGGCCTGGTAGATGAATTGACCATGAAGCAGTTGATAAGCTGGCCAAGTAGGCAGTGTGGTCTTGTATAAAACTCGAGAGAACTTGCAATTTACGGGTTTACAAACCCTATATGATTATAATCCACAGTCCCGTTAAGACAATACTTGTGTGAAAATAAATCCGAAATCACATTTGCGAAGCATTATCAGGCCAATTTCCTCGTCAGGAAGACCGGACAAGAAACTCTGCAAAATGACAAAGCTCGACAATAATAAGAATGGAATGACAAAGAGTGAATATCCAACACCACCTTGGAAAAACGTTCATCTTCCCTCTCCACCGTCTAATTAACCCCAACCAAACATCGCCAGCGGCCGCCCTACTCCGCAACGGCAACCGGTTCCACATTCCAAATAGTCTCCGCATACTCCGCAATAACCCTATCAGACGAGAAAAACCCCATCCTCGACACGCTCAAAATGCACTTCTCAAGCCATCCATCCCGATCCCGATACGCCTCATCCACCATATCCTGCGTCGTGATATAAGAATGGAAATCGTCTGAGACCAGATAGTAATCGCCATGGTCGGTGATTGCTGAAATGAGGGCTGAAAATGAGCTAGCATCACCAAAAGTTCCCGAGCGGATACTGTCGAAGACGGCGGCCAAATCGCTATCTATGGTGATGCTATCCTTCTCATAAAGATGGTTGTGACGCAGATCATCAACATCTTCAGCCAGGGTACCGAAAAGGAAGATATTCTGCTCGCCGATCTCGCGGGTTATTTCGATCTAAGGGCGGTTTTAAATTAGAGTTTAGCTCATGAGAAATCGTGGTTAAAGTAGACTCACATTTGCGCCATCACATGTGCCAATTATCAGGCCTCCATTAAGGACGAATTTCATGTTGCTTGTCCCACTGGCCTCTGTACCAGCAGTTGAAATATGCTCGCTGATATCCGAAGCAGGGCATATAATTTCCGCCTTGCTAACGTTATAGTCTTCCACAAAGATGACCTTCAAAAGATCTCCAACATCCGGATCGTTGTTGACAACTGACCCAACTTGGTTAATAAGGTGGATAATTGTTTTCGCCATCCAATATCCTGGTGCTGCCTTTCCTCCGAAAATCGAGACACGAGGAACAAGCTTTGCCCGTTCTTTGGCACTCATTGCTTTTATTTTAAGATACCTGTGTATCACCCCAAATATGTTTAATTGTTGCCGCTTGTATTCATGGATCCGCTTGACTTGTATATCAAAAAGAGCTTTCGGGTTAACAAGAACCCCAGTGGTATCCAAGATATGGTTCGCAAGCCGAACTTTGTTAGCATGTTTGATATCCGCCCATTCCTCCTTGAAATCTTCGTCGTCAATGTATGCCTCAAGCTTGTCGAGTAAAGTAAGATCCTTCAAAAAGTCGTGACCTCCTAGCCTCGAAGCAATGAGATTAGAGAGGCGAGGATTAGCCTGATGGAGCCATCTTCTAGGGGTGATGCCATTTGTCACATTGGTGAATTTGTCCGGGCCATATATCTCAACAAAATCCTTGAAGATCGTCGTCTTGATAAGGTCAGAGTGTAGCTCTGCCACTCCATTGACTTTGTGAGAGCCAATAATCGCCAAATGGGCCATACAAACCATTTTTGGCTGAGATTCTTCGATTATTGAAACTCGAGTTAACAGGTCACGATCTTTCGGAAACTTTTTCTCCACCATCTGCAGAAACTGCAAATTTATATCGTAGATAATTTGCAAATGTCTTGGAAGGAGGCTCTGGATAAGAGGAACAGACCATTTCTCCAAAGCTTCGGGCAAAACCGTATGATTCGTATAACCGAACGTTCTGGATACGATATTCCAAGCCTCGTCCCATTCCAGCCCTTCCTGGTCAATGAAGATACGCTGTAGTTCCACTATTGCAAGAGTGGGATGCGTATCGTTCAGTTGGATCGCGACGTAGTCAGCAAACTCTGACCATGCACGTTTGGTCTTCTTGAATCGCCTCACAATATCGTAGAGGGAAGCCGCGCACCAAAAGTATTGTTGTTTCAAACGTAGTTCCTTTCCACGATCGAGGTTGTCGTTGGGATACAGCACTGCTGATATGCTCTCCGCACGCTGTTGGTCAGCCACGGCGCTTTCATACTCGCCTGCGTTGAACTTTTGAAAATCGAACTCCCCACTGGCGGCCTGGCTTGACCAGAGACGGAGATTGTTGGTTGTTGGTGTGGCATAACCAGGAATGGGCATATCATAAGCCACCGCTCGAACAATCTCTCCATCTTCCCATGAATGAATAGTCTTCCCTCTTTCATCTTGATATTTCCTAACCGACCCATAAAACTGGATATCAACGGTGACATCGTGGCGTGGGAACTCCCATGGGTTGAAATCGAGCCAGTAATCTGGGACTTCAATCTGATATCCGTTGATTATCTCTTGCTTAAAAATGCCGTATCGATATCGCAATCCATATCCCCATGCAGGATAGTTAAGAGACGCCAGGCTGTCAAGAAAGCAGGCAGCAAGTCGCCCCAAGCCGCCATTTCCCAGAGCAGCATCATGCTCTTGGCTAATAACATCTTCGATTCGGAAACCAAGGTCTTTCAGCCCATCTGTAACACTTGCATTAGCAATGATGAGTTAATTAGAGGAGTAAGAATCAAACCTCTTGCAACATCCTTCATTCCCACATTCAACATAGCATTGTCCAGAGCTCGTCCCATCAAAAATTCGAGAGAAAGATCTACAAAGTCAGTACGGTCGCGAAACATGTCCAGGGTATAAATACATACAGTAAACTCGCTTCTGGTCTGCAAAGGTCTGTCGCTGTTGGGTTTTATTCCATTCAATGACAAGTCGGTCTCGAAATGCCAATGCGGTGCCAGAGTATGCCGCCCTATCGATGCAGTAAGTTCACCCGAATTGCGCATTAATCACTGAGGTTTCACCAGAGCACCTACAATTCATCGCAGTTGAAGAGAGACCGAGCAAGAGTGGTCTCGACATGGCGAACAACTTCTTTCTATACCTCCCGTTAGAAAATTTTAGAAACCCCAAACATGTTTCAGGCAAAACCAAGTGAATCAATATAGAAAAATTTCAAACAAACCATACCCCAAATTCATCTTTCGTCTCGAATTCTTTCGCAGACTACCGCCAGACAAACTATTAGAGCTCACTCAGCTATTGATAGAGGAAAGTAACCATACAAACTTGCGCCAGCTGCACTTCCAAACACAATATTAGCACAACTTTCTCTCTAGAAAATCCAATGTATAGGTTCCTAGGGCAATGGGCCATTCCGTGATCCTGAAAGATCAGTCCGTTCGGAAGTGGGGAAGTAGTACATACGCTTCTCGCAGTGGCTCCGGGATACTAGCTTCTACTTTCTTGATGTCCTGAGGTCCCAACCCGGTATATGTGCGTTTATGCTTAGGGCGGCTAAATCCAGGTCCAACGGGCCCCTGAAGATCTGATATTGGGGCTCCGACTGACGGACGACGTTCACGCGTTGGGCTAGCCATTACTTAGGAGTTAAGAGCAAAAGGAACTGCTGTTCGAATTAGATGATCTGAGAAGTTCTCTAGAGAACGCTCAGATCTACTGCGTATCTTGAACAACTTTGTTAAATGGATTCTTCTGAGAAATTATGCGGGGAAAGTTGCAAATCGCGGGGCCATTCTGACGGGTTTGTGCAACGGGTAATATAGAGAGCAATGCGAGGAGGAAGATGTAGCATTTACCTTGAAATAAAAATAGCTCGAGTGAATATTCCCGACAATTTGGAGAATATAGAAATTAGAAAGCCGAAGAAAAGAGATGCTGTAGAAACTGTCGGTGGAAGAGGTTGGTTGGCGGCTACTTATATATGAATGAAGCTGGTGGGGAAGTAAATAAGGTTCCGAAGAGGTGCAGAAACAACAGTCAAGTGCGACACACTGCTTCAGTCAATCAGTCATCCAAGAGCAATGGAGCAGAAGAGTTAACTAGTAACTAGTTATATGAAAAGCAATGTTGAATAAAATACAAAAGGAAAAGCAGATGGCGTCCTTCCTTGCAACAAGAACATATCCGGGTGGGTTAGGTTATTTAGGTTGCGATCAGACACCAAATGGGAATCCTTGGAACAAGCCCAAAGTCACTTTGAGGCCATTAATAAGCTCAGCGAGGATTTCGCCCCTCTTGGAGGGAGTAAATATGTTCCAGATCTTGTTCGAGACAAAACCCAGCTCTATCTAAGCTTCCTTGCAAAACCAGGTCGAGACCATATCAATCCTGATGATCCAATTGGATGAGAGATAACAGCGGCATGAACCTGCATTGGTGGTTTCTGATTTGATAAAACGTGCTGCCACTGGTTGGACATTGTCATGTAGACCATTCTTGAACGATGCAAGAAACAGATTTGAGGCTCCGAGTGTGAGATGAGAGCCTTGTGGGGAATTGCAAGTCGGAGAATGGAAAAAAAAAAATAATAAATAAATAAATAAATAAATAAATAAATAGATAAAATAAAATAAAAAAATAGATAAAACAGACAATAAGTAAATCTGATGGAGGTGGAAGGTTGGTTGATTGTACACTAATCTAGCCGCGCAGCATTCTATGGATAGGTGTGTGGGTCACGTGGCCTCATATAGGGCATCCGGCCAACAAAATCCATGTAGAAAATAATATATAAACATACATACAAACATACAAACGTATAACTAAAATTGAATCGGGAACAAAATGAAGTTAGAAACTGCTAAAACATCGAATTTCTCATATTTATTACAAGCAGAACTTAGGCCCCATTTCCCACCAACACCAATATGAGGGTTCACCAACCGGCCAACACTGGAACGGCGGACACCTCGGACTCTATCTGCGCTTGGAATTCAGTTACAGATTACAATGCGTTCATCTATCTATTATTCTTCTAGTTCTACAAAATAAAATCCAGGAAAATGATATAAACGCAATATCTATCCGTCGAACCATTTCATGTAAACCGAGCTCCCCTGGGCTTGAAAACGCACACCACCTCTTTAACGGAGGAAAGGTCCTTTTCGATAGGGCCAAGACTGCTCTCATCTCTCTTTTTGACCACCCGTTGCACAGCTCCCATTAGCCAATAGCCAACTCATTCCACTAAACATCACATCCCACAAACTATCCCCTGTACCTCCTCTTCATAGTTTCTCAGGCCTGAACACCGCCTTATCATGTACACAACTAGCACAAACCTTCCCATCCAGCGTCAACAGATTCCCCGTGAAATTAACAAATTTCTTCCCCGCCGCCACCAAGTGAACCACAACCCTCACCGTCGTACCCACAGGCACAGGCCTCAGGAACGTCATTGTCAACGTCCGACTGAGCGTCCCTAGCGCCAGGTCATTGTCCGGTAGGGAAAACGCCGCTGTCGACGTTAGAACGTCTAGGATCGTCGTTGTGCAGCCGCCATGCAATATCCCCAGCGGATTGCACATATTTTCTGTTACTGTGAATTCGAATTCGACGGTACCCGGTTCGACTTTCACAAGTTTGATGGCCTTCATGCATGACACATCCCAACTGGAGTTTTCGGGGTAGGCGGAGGCGATGTTGAGGAAGGACTGGACCCTTTCCCAGGGGGTGTCTTCGTTGCTGCTGACCATCTTTTGGAGGTTCGAAACGAACGAACGTGCGTGTGAGGGCTTATGTACAGGGTCGTATGAGAGGTACGGGGAAACGAGTGTGGATGTGATTAAATGTAGAATTCAGAGCTCTTCGCTTGTATAATACATCGCTTGCTTCCCTTGTGATATAACGGTAAGCGCGGCAGCCGACTTGGCGGGAGTTAAGGCGGGATACGACGTATCTAGTCGCAGGATAGAGGTTGAGTAAAGGGCCAAGTTTCTATTATTTGTTCAGCATATAGAGATTCTTTATAAATGTCCCAAGGTCTAAGAAATCAAGTCAGTGTCAGTGGGTGAACGGGTCTGTCAGTTTATGTGGGTATTCGTTTGAGCCCATTTTGATTCAACCGAGGTAGTTTTGCTCTCTGGATAAATATCCTCCAGCAAGGATAACGTTATAAGCATGGCCGAAGCGTCCTGAAAAAAAGAAAAGTGGATTCAGGTCCGCATATATCAACGCTGCTGGGCTGTGGAGCGATATATTCCACGCTCCAATAAAAGAGAACATCAGATGTGCGGGGAGATTCAGCTGAGTAAGCGCCACAGAGTTGTTTAACTTTAGCCGACTGCCGCGTGGGATTGTCAACGACAATGTTGATGGTGATGGTGATATCAAAGAAAAAGAGGGGATAACTAGATTAATTCGAGGAATTATATTCATATGTCCTGCTCACCTACAAACCCTGTTCGGTGGTTGCTCCATCAATAAAGCAATCCAACATAAATTACCAGTTCACCATGAATAACCATTTGTAACGGTGTTCTTAAAGGAGGCGAAGGATATCAAATATGCTATACTTTATCTAAATTGCACTTTAACATTTTGCCAATAGCAAGAGAATTCATGAACCATTGGAGAAAGGGTCCTTAAGTGCCTCTTCTGAACATTTGAATAGCCACAGCAATAATCTGATAAAGCTGATGCATCGTCTTAGCTGTGTGGGACTTAGCTGCGCGGGCGAACTGGGAGAAATCGACCCACAAAGAAAGAGCAGATCCAGCCATAATAAACTTCCTGTCAGTTGGCGGAGACCTTCAGGACCATGACTGTGGAAGTACATAGTGTAGAACACCTGGATGATATGGTTCGAGTGAGAGTACTCCGTAGTTTCCAGAGAGGCGTTCACACTTACACCGTCAACCACGTCCCCTTCCCGTCATTAGGAGCCTTTATTTATTTACAATAAGGCTCCTTGGTTTTGGAGTGTTATGTTAAACCCTCAAGAGCAGCCTTTTTTCCGCGTTCGACCTGGAAAGCAACCTTAGCACTACAGACGATGCAGGAGCCTTGTTAGCAAGGTATACCGAGCGTACTTGGTATTCGTTTTATCAGTCTCAGCCTAGTATAGAGACAGCATTGGTCCCGTTTTGAACTGTAGTTTGAGGCGTTTTTTATGTCTGGTTTGTGGGCTGAACAATGATAGATAGGTGACAACAACAGAGGGGTCACACAGGCTTATTTAGTTAAATAACTAAATCCCCGGCCATAGTATAGAAGCCCTTTTCAATAACTGCATCCATCCATTCAATACGACAGCCTGTCTGATAATTTTGCTGCATTTTTAATTTTATTCTCATTGTTACCTGGTTTTCTTGTAGCTATTTAACGAAATGAGACAAAAGCTAGGTTTAAATACTGCCGCCAAGATGAATCGCTCTGTGGACATTCCTCAACCAACCTCCAACCACACAGTTGTACCGAAGGCAGGCTGGCTTTTGGGACTGGGCTATATCAACAGGCCAACTGCAATCGAAGGACGTGAGGATTAGCAGTCGCCTCTCTCCGTCGAAACGGCTCCAAAAGTCAAAACGTGAAAATGAGTTCGCCCGGCAAGGAACCACATACCAGGACAAGGGGATCTTATACGCGCTCTCAAAACGCGCAGACTTCGACATGGACATTGCGGGCCATCCTGAAACTTACGACGTTCTTGGCTGCCTGTGTTGCTTTTGCATTGGGTGTGATTTTGCGTGTTCAAGATTCTCCGAATGGGTTGCGCCTCTACAGGTGGAGGGCAAGCAATTGGGAACATCGCCGGGGAAAGGTTAAGGAAGCATTTGTGAGTAGCTGGGATGCTTACACAAAATATGCCTGGGGTTCGTTATATCATGTTATTCTTTGTCAATGAGTGTAAACTTCTAAGCAAAAATGCATGGGCTAACTAGCAATTACGCATTCCTCATCCTCGCGCTCCATCAGGCCAAGACCAGTTTCACCCAATCTCCCAAAAAGGCTCGCAGATGAGCCCAAAGGGCCTGGGATGGATTATCGTTGATAGCCTGGACACTATGATGATTATGAACCTAACCTCTCAGCTGGGAGAAGCTCGTAAATGGATCCAGCGTGAACTTACATATGATCAAGATCAAGACGTCAACACGTTCGAAACGACAATTCGCATGCTAGGTGGCCTTCTCTCTGCACACTATCTTGCAGGCCAACTCCCAGACGTCGCCTCTCAACGAGACTTCATCTACTTGTCAAAGGCGATTGACCTTGCAGATCGACTACTCGGTGCATACGAATCCCCATCCGGGATCCCATATGCAAGTATCCACCTGGAGACCAAAAAGGGAATTGTATCGCATACTGATGGCGGATCTTCCTCGATGGCAGAAGCTGCGACTCTCCAGCTAGAAATGAAATATCTCGCCAACCTAACTGGGAATGAAGTCTACTGGCGCAAGGCGGAGAAAATCATGCAAGTGCTTGATGACAACGGCATGCAAGATGGCCTTCTCCCCATTTTTGTAGACCCGCAAAGCGGCCACTTTACAACTCAAGAAATCCGACTCGGGAGTCGTGGCGATTCATACTACGGTATTTCAGACAGTTATCCAAGCACACTCTAGAAGAACCCCAGGCACTAACCACACATCGACCTATTGACAGAATATCTCCTAAAGCAGTATCTGCAGACATCCGAACCCATTTATCTCGAGATGTGGTCTGAAGCTCTAGCCGGAATCCGAAAGCACATGGTCACCAAGACAAAATTCTCAAACCTGCATTTCGTCGCTGAGTTACCCTCCGGAATTGGAGGCAAATTATCCCCAAAGATGGACCATCTCGTCTGCTTCTTGCCAGGCACGATTGCACTAGGCGTAACCGGCGGACTCACGGTATCTGAAGCGAAAGAGATCCATGGCTGGAGCGACAAGAAGGAGAAGCAGATGAACCTTGCCAAAGAACTCATGAAAACATGCTGGGGCATGTACAAAGTCACGAGTACAGGGCTGGCTCCCGAGATCGCCTGGTTCAATGCGCACGATGCGGACCTGCAACCTGTTCCCGGGGAAAAGAAATCTCCTCTACCTCCGAGCAGAGACTCCATCTCCGCCTGGAAACAAGATTACATTGTCAATCCACTTGATGCGCACAATCTACAGCGCCCGGAGACGATAGAGAGTCTCTTTATGATGTGGCGCATAACTGAGGACCCCATCTACCGGCAATGGGGATGGGAGATATTCGAGGCGTTTGAGAAATATACCATCCCGCCGCATGGAGAAGGGTATGTGTCTTTGGACAATGTAAATAGTATCCCGCCTAAGGTTAGAGATAACATGGAGAGTTTTTGGCTGGTAAGTTGAACAGTTATTTATTCCTTCAAACAACAGACGCACCCACCCCCTGGGGAGAACTTAAAGCAAAAACGTAGCTGGATTACTAACGTCTGTCTAGGCCGAGACTCTAAAATATCTCTACCTCCTATTTTCGCCAACCGACCTCCTCCCACTCACAGATGTAGTATTCAACACAGAAGCCCATGTTTTCCCTCGGATTAACGCCACAAAGTTTCAAACAGGTTGGACAAGGAAGCCGAGATAGCCTTGAATTGGGTGGACTATTTGGTTACGCCTCATCCTATTATTATACTTCGCATATCACTATTAAGTTTATGGGGATATAAAGGAATCTACAGCCTGGCTATGCATGAGCAACGGTTACGTTTTTTCTTCTGGGAGGACTGGGTTGAATATAATTGTATATAACTTTCCGCTAGCTTCCGATTTGGTCTATTTCATATATCGTTTCTCTGATTCAGAAAGCTGAATGGCCAGGAATTGTATGTGACTTGGCGACCTAATGAATATGGATCAAAGGATCATAGGAAATCAAAGGCAGGTTGGTGATAGTAATGGCGATGAAGGAGATAAGGGTAAGAAAAACCAACCAAGCATGGTATAATGTAAGAGAGAAAAGGGAGAGAGAAGAGGTTTTAACCACATCAACAAAGAAGGTTCATCCCGCATGTCAATTTGTAGATGGCAGCTACCAAAACAGGTATCCTGAAAACAAAAATGTAGCATAGATATATATACCTATATAGATAAGACACATTATCCCGGACCTAAACATAAGCATCAACATAATAAAAAATAAAAAAGCACCCGATAATTCTCTGCAAAATTAGGAGGGAAAAGGAAACGAATAGTAACGAACCACACCCCATGGAAATTTTTGCCACTGTAAAAAGAGCAAACGGACGATATCATCAAAGGTTCACACAAAAAGACCAAAAAACAGTGATGAAAGAGCAAATGAATTCTACTTGAAGCCCTACAAACAGAAGGGACGTGAGGAAAAAGGGTATTATTTCTTGGGCCACCATCCCTAAATTCTTTGGTCGGCTCCCAAAAAAAAAAAAAAAAAAAAAAAGAGAGAGAGAGAGAGAGAGAGAGAGATAGGAAGAAAAGATAACGCCGAGATGGGCTGACAGGAAGAACAGTATGGTAATTTCAGGAACGGAAAATGAAGAGGGAGATGTTGCTGCATCATCTCCCTCCATCTTGAAGCTAGAAACCAGGGGTAACCAATAAAAGGTAGATGAACAAGGGAGAGGGGGAAACAAAGAAAAGTAGGAAGCAAGGCCTTCTAGCCAGCTGCTACCCACCCATCTCCCTTTTGCCCACAACCACGAAATTATTTCTACTCTGCCTTCGTGGTAGCCTCACTAGTCGACGACTTCTGCGTAGGGCCCGACAGATCCACGACCGTAAAAGGGTCGCAATGAGCCGACTCATCAAGATTGAGCGGGGAAATTGCTGGCTCGTGGGTGTGGTAGTTTACCTTCAGTTTGTCGGCGGCGGTGAGGGTTGGTGAGGATATGGGCTGGCTTGTTGTCTGTGCATCCATTGCAGACATGGATATGGCTGTTGATGGTGCGAAGGAGTCCTTGTTTTGCGACGGTAATGTTGGTAGTGGCTCGGATGGGGGAGGGCTGTTTTTCGCTGTAGTAGCAACGGCATCGATATTGGTATTAGAATTATTGTTATCGTTATCGTTCACGTCATTAGTAGTATCGCGTTCCTTGATCTTCAAATCTCGGCTTGTTCGCTGGCTCCGCGCTGTATTATTATGATTAACATTATTTTGAATATCCGGGTCAAAGGTGTGATTGCCGCTACTCCTCCATAACAAGTTGCTCCATGCCTTCTTGTGGCTAAGGTTCGTGCTCGCGCTGGACACGGAGCCACTAGGGTGATGCGTGCGGCCTTGAATCTCCTCTGAGCCCCTTCCAGGCAAGTGACTCGGATCGTCTGAGTTCGTTTTAGGAGTGATGGTCAAGCTCTGGGGCGAAACCACTGCAGTAGGCGATGACACCGGGCTGTTGCTCCCGCTGGCTTTCTTCTCCTGCCATTCCTTTCGTCGATCGTTTGCCCAGGCGCCCCAGGAACTAAAATAGGAAGATGCACGTTGTCCCGCGGCAGCGACAGTTGCCTGCGCCTGGGAAATGTCAACTACCGGCGCTTTTCGGGGGCCAAATGTCCATGATCCTGCACCGGGAGAGTTTGCAATCGTTGAAGTCGACGTCCGGGGAGATGCTACTGAGTTAGTGTCCGCTGACGCAGAAACTTCTTCGGAGTATCTCCGCTGTTGTTCGTTCTTCTTACGCTGGTTTATGTCAGCCCAGAAACTGTTGAACGCGAAGTTAACTCTCTTTTGGCCAGTGGCTAAGTGTTTGTTAAGAGCTTCGCGGCCCTCGCGAACTCGCTCATCCAAGTGTAATTCGGATATCTGTTGGGCCAGTCGTCTTTGGATATCTTGGATACCCAAGCCGCCAGCACAGGGATGGCGCGGTTCCACGATTGAGAACAAATGAGAGTCAGATGTGAGCTTGTGAAACAGAGCGTAGTTGGACGTTGTCCTCCAACGCTCGAGGAAATGTGTGCCAAATTCAGATGCCGGGTCACTTTCAACATCCAAACCTGGTGATAAAGTTCCCGAACCGCGACGCATTTCATCGTGGAGCTTTTCACAAGAGAGAAGCGCCAATAGATACTCTTCAAATTGCAGGCGAATGAACTCTTCGGAGCCCAAGTATCCATGAGTGTTAGGCCGCTCTGGCTGGTTATCATCCCAGGTTTCATAGATTGTTTGCGTCAGAAAATCAATCCATCGCCTGTCAGCTGCGGAAAGCGAAAGAGCAGATCTCAAGGACGGCGAGGTAATGTTGATTGTATCTTCGTCAAGCTACGATGCAGGTACCCATGTTAGTACAAAACAAATATTTCCATGCCAAAGACCTGCAACCCTTACATTAATAAGAATATCGCTGTACCGGTCTTTCTGCTGCAACAGCAGGGAGTTTGTGGATCCAACCACGTAAGATTTCGTGCCGTAATCCGCGAGGAGATCCAGGCGCTGGAGGGGCGTGTAGGGACCAAATATACTTCCCTTATCAAAAACTTAGTACGGAGATTCAATCTGCTGGGACGAATAAAAAAAATGGAGTGGGAAGCAAACCTTGCCGAAGATCTGAAGAGGTAAACCCATATATGCGAGTACTAAAAATCCGTCAATGAGAGGATATACAGATTACCAGTCGCTGAATTTGCTTACATGAGCTCCTCTCACTCGTTTTGAGAGACGTAGGTTTAACAACAGACTCTGCGTAGCTATCAAAGGACGGGTCTGCGCAATCTTCAAGATGGTGAATAAGGCCGGGTATTAAGGATATAAGTGAGAATTGGATCATGCAGAGTCGTTCGCAGCGGGTACCAAAGAATAGCATCTAGTGGACTGTAAGCTATATGTTCAGTCTCCTGGGGCGAAGCCAATGTCCATGAAGTACTTTTGGTTGCAGTAAAAGACATTTAAACAAGACCAGAGTCTGGTGCTTGAATTCATGGATCATCTCTCGTAATGAAAGGCCTTCCCGTAGAAAATTAGCAAGGTTGAACGAAAAAAGGAGCATTACGGAGCCACTCACCCAAGTTCTCATCTTTCTGGCCTTCATCATTATCTAAACTTTCCGCCAAGTTTTCCTGGAATATCTGCACCACGAAAGACTTAAGTGAGCTGCACATCCTAACCAGCAATCGACGCAATGGCAAAACCCATACCTTTAAAATATCCGTATCCGAGAAATCTCTAACAATTCCCAAACAGAGTCAGCAAACCAAAAAGAAAAGAAAAACAATTCCCGACCCTTAATCCCCATCTCCAACTAGTTCTGATTTCCCCAGCATCAATCCCCCCACCTTTGTGCCTTCTTGAGATCCAACTCCATCCACTAACCACTCCAAAACACATACCTCTGCGCAAACCACGCGGACGTAACAATAGACAACTTCTGCCTCAACTGCCCGAAATGCCTTGGCTCATCAATCACAGCCACCACCGCTTTCTGAACCGTCGACCTCGTCACGTCAGGGGGTCGATTGATCAGCGATGCCGAATCCATCTGGCGTGTGCATGATATTCCGAAGAGGGAAGTGGCGGGCTCCGACTCTGTTGCGCTTTGCTTGAGTGTAAAGTAGGAGAAATCTTCGGTGGAGCTGAAAAATAAATAAATAAATGAAGATTAGGGGGAGCTCGGGTTTCGGCTAGGCAACGGGATGAGTATTTTGGAAGACGTACGCATGCGCTCCATCGGACAGTGCCATGAATGGTAATAGAGACCAATCATTCTTCACAAGGACATCAGCTCCTTGCTTGCAAAAGCAATGCTCGACCTCGGGACCTCTGCGATATTTTTTATTTCCGTCAGGTTAGTAACTAACCAAAAAGAACATGCCATGAACAGAGCAGGCGCTTTTTTCGACTTCAATGCACATGCTTAACAAGAATATACAGCTATAAATATGATTTCTCCCGGATAAAGCTCGCCGCATAGCGGCATATTAAATTGAAACAATCGAGAGAAACGTCATAGAAAAGGGAAGCTCACTAACCTTGCATGATGAAAATCTATAACCAGAATAATAGGTTCGCGATCTTTTCTACGGCGCATTTTATATCCTTTTTCAAATCTCTTCTTATTTTCCGAGCAGGTTCCCCTCCGATCTTCTTTCCCTTGTTCTCTCCTTTGTTATCCTGTTGTATCGAACGACCGGGGGGGGGGGCGAGGGAGCTTGGGTAAGGAAGGAATTTTTGGGATATGAACAAACCAAAAAAGACAATCAATAAAGATGTGAGGAAGCTAGATTTTCTATCTCACTGGGGGATTTACCCTCAAATGGCAAGCTGATGATGGTGATAGATACATATTCAGCTCCAACAAACCCGGGGAAAAAGGCTGAGGATGGCCCGTTTGATGCTGTCATCCGAATCTTGGCTGGGGAGCTAGTAGAGTCACGTGGTGTGACTTAACTGCGAGATCATGAGCCGAGGATACAAAAAGCCGGACGAATATTCATCAAAGCATTTTTAAGAAACTGTTTTTTGAACTTGAGCTTGCCATTAGTAGTTCCTTTCTCCGATACGCAAAATAAGTCCCGCCTTATCTATATAACAGCAAACTAAAGCCTATGTACAGACTACAATACATACAAATAATAAATATCCTCCGTAAATCAATCCGTCCGCTTCGGTAGAGGAGAACTTGAACTAGCCGGTTGCTTGTTGATCAAAGGGAATGAAAACATGAGTAGAATACTTAAAACAACAAAACAACAGATCAAGGAAATAATCGTAGGAGGAAAAAAAATGGGGGAATTTGCCATACACTTTTTGCGGTGTGCGTGTAGGAACCGTATCATTCGGCAAGCGAGGCAGGTTTAGTGCCTAGGCTTTTATGGCTAAGGGTAGGAGATAAGAAGGCACGGCAAGCTGAGTAAGGGGTCGAGAGGATAGAGGAATAATACAAGAAAGACGATAGACGAGCATTGTAATGAGACAATCCCTTTCGCCCCGAAGTACTATCCCTCGCAAGCTCTTTAGCAAGAGAAGGTCTCAACCAACCCTATCATTCCCCAAGTAGAACATTTCAAGTTGAATAGAAGCAAAGCAGGAGGCAACCCCAACGCTTCCCAAACCACCCAGAATCAAGTGAACACCGAAAATGAGAGCTTAAGAACCGGACATGTTAATGGAGAAAATAAAGCATAGGGATAAGACTTAGATTGGAAAGGATGTGCGCAGCAGGGAATCCATCCACAAAGGATATAAAAATGCAAAATATGACAGCCAAAGTATTCAGAGGAATAGCACCATCAAATAGAGAGTTCTGTTATAAGATGTGGCAGCAAAAATAGAATTCTTAAGGCCTGCTCGCTCGCCCCAATGAAGTATATATAACGAGGCTAGAGTGTAGTGGTATATGAGCTTGTTTTTCGTTTTTGAATATATCAGGATGTATTATATAGCAATAAGACATGTCGAGAGAACAAGGGTACTTTCCGAATCTCCCAACTTTGGTGTATCTAATTTGTTTATCCTTAACCCGGTTTTCGGATTTTATTTCTCTCTCGTTTCAAAGCCCCTCTTGGAAGTTAGGACATGACCTGTTGGGCGGTCCCTTCTACGGGGTCGAGTGGCACTTGATTGTTCGGATCTTGTACGAGCTGATCAACATTGTGGTAATCGAGAATTTCAGAGTACCTAAATATCACGGATGGTTAGTTAGGTTCGTCGACAGCATTCGCTTGCTGCAGGAAATCATGGCTTTCGGATGTAGGTTATTCGTCAGAGTAATTTAGATGATGGACTGGCGGATCAATTAAATAAAAGGACGTACATCATAATCTTCCATGTGTCGACAGGGAGATCGGCGTCATTAAATGACCAATCGAATTTCTCATCTGCTACAGGCTCGTCGGTTGGGTCGTGGTATGGTGAGAGGTAGTCGTGCGCAAGAGACTCGCCAGCTGTGATACGCTTCTTTGGGTCAAAAACTAACATTCGCTCGAGGAGATCGATGGCTATTGTTGTGGTTGTCAATCAGTATCCCGTACTTCCAATATCTAAATGTGGCATCTGGTGTTTGGAAAGATAGTCTGCGTTCGTACCAAGGGGGTCTGCGTTCTGGAACTTGTTGCTTAGCGGCTGTCGCTCGCGCTTCGGCAGGGATTGGACGAATTGCAATGTCTACAATGCAGTTAGATACTTTGAAGCAGACACAAAGATAGTGGGGTCGGTAGTTCTCTGCGTACATTGACACTGCAGATGGTTTCGATCACATCATCTGGGGGGGTGCCTAGCAGCTCTGTGATAATAGAGAACTGGTTCACGTGGTCCTTGCCGGGAAATAGAGGCTTGCCTTCCAACATTTCTGCAAAGATGCATCCTGCGCTCCATACATCTACCTCAACATCATACTTTTGCCATGTGAGCATAATTTCAGGAGCACGGTAATATCGTGTCGACACGTAACCGGTCATCTGTGGGTCTTGGATACGCGCAAGACCAAAGTCGCAAATCTTGAGGTCGCAATTCTCGTTGATAAGGATGTTACTTGGCTTGAGATCTCGATGGACGACTCCTGCGGAGTGAACGTATTTCAATCCTCGCTGTATGAACGTCAGTGGGATGATATCCAACAGGCGTCTACCTCACAGGCGGCGGTGGCCATGCATAGTGAGGGCGGTGAGAGAACTTACAAGGATTTGATACAGAAAGTATTGAATGAACTGCTTTTCAAGTGGTCTTGACGTGAGTAATCTATGTAAATCTGTTCCAAGCAGCTCCGTGACGAAATATCTGTTATGTTCAAGTTTGCTCATCAGCAATTGTCCAATATGGAATTCCGACAGAGGAGTAATCTTCCGTACATATCCTCCAGCGGCGAGATGAAAATATCGCTTAAACTGATAATCTTCAAAGCAGTTAGCGTCGAAACACTTTAAATCATAGACCGTAGTAGCACCAACGTTCTCATGCCTCAAATGCTTGAGCAGCTTCAGTTCCCTATACGTTCGTTTCGCAAGCACGGGGGTACTGAAAGGTTTCATGATCTTCTTCACGGCAACAGCCTGTCCCGTCAATTGATCCTTTGCAGAGCTATACGGCGAATATCAGCGGATGTCCTATATTATTTCTATTCTTATGCCGGAAGGGCTTCCGTAGAGCGTGATATCTTTCCCGTATTCAACTCTCACTAAACGATGCGGGGGGTCAGGGGTTCAGCGTACCAGACAAGTCCAAAGGCGCCCATTCCCACAGGTTGGAGATCAGTGTATCTATCAATCATCGCTGTTAGCATTTTTTATCCCCCCCCCCCCAATCAGACCAACATAACTGATAATGACAACCAGGCGAGCAACATGGTCAGTTCCCTGCGTACCTGTTTGTGATCTCGAATGTGGTGCCAAAGATCTGAGCACGAACAAACTGCGCCATTTTAAACTGGTCCATCACTACGCCCAACTCGAAAAAAATTCAACCGGATTAAGAGGGGAAGAAAAAATGGACGTAAAGAAGAGATAATCAAGATTTGGAAGTCGATATCGTTTTCGTCGTAATCGTTAGGAGGGGGAAAATCGAGCAGACTGGGTATTTATCGGATTTCGCGTGTGAACCGGAGAGATGGGCTCAGAGATTAAGGGCGATGAACTCAGCGGGCATCAAATTTCGTTGACTGATGTCAGAAGACTGGACTCGTCGAATTCAAGCCGTTTAATTTCTCGTAGGAAAGGAAGTGTTGTGTGCCGGGAAGAAAGCGATAGAGGAGGGAGGGAGGGAGGGGTTTGCGGCAAGATAAGAGAGAGATGCGCAGAATTAGAAGCGAAAATGCGAAAACGTGTTTGGCGACGGCAGAAAAACGAGGGGCAAGATCAACCTCAGGCTCCAGACAGACACCGAAATAAAGAGCAGCCGCACCGGAGGAATGGACGGGATAAAATTACTCCTCTAACAGAGCGGGAAAAATAATACTACTAATAATAATATAAATGAAGAGTCAGGATCAGTCCTAGCAGTTAATGCGTGCAGAAAAAGAAAAGGGCAGAACTAATAGCTCCGCTTCCTTCTTCTAATATAATATGGAATGTTCTTCGAAGGCGGGACGAGGCCAAAAAAAAGAAAAAAAAAAAACTTGTTTGTCCATGCAAAATTACTATGGCTGGGCGTATTAAGGGAGGACTTCTTATAATTTACCACCGAACAACAAACCTAGACACAATTCGCCCGCTCCCCCCTAAGAGATCGGTTCCTTCTAGGATTTTCCAGGACAGAAGAATTGCGCTCGAAAGTCATCCCATGCAATGGCTGTAACTACGTCTTCTGGTCAAGGTGCCCAAATCGGCTAACGCCTCACTTGCGCAAGGATAACGGCCAAAAATACCAACGGGCTGCTCGCTATCTACCAGCGTTACGCAGTCGTCATGGCTTCTACCGCTCACGATTCAATAAATAATAAATCAAAGCAGCAATTTCCCGCCGCTGAGTCAGAATTAGCATGAATTGTCATTCGTCTCTGGCTTGGCCCTGCAATTTGTATACCTCTAGGTCGTTTATCCAGGCGGGAAAAGGGCCATTCATTCCCTGCCCCATATCTTGCTGAGAAACATGTACAGGACAAGGGCTCCGAGATAGCGGCAAGTTGGAGCTTGTACCTTGGGAGAAACAGTCCATAGCGGGGCTCAGTTGGAAAACCTGGTTTTTGCTACATAGCAAGGATGATGATGCCTTTTGCTATCTGGTGCTTCAGCTCACAGTTTGGTGTTTGCCGAGACACATTAGGATCCCATTCTCATGGGTTTTGAATGATTCTTCCTGCAGTGTGGTTCCTTGAGGTCCCTAAGTTTTCAAGAAAACCCAGCTTCAAGCCGAAGTTTCTCTTTTTTGTCGGCCTTTGAAACGCGCCAATGTCCGCAGTAAACAGACAGAACCAGCAACATCGCGTAAACAACCTGGAAGAATGAGATGATGACCTCACTGTGGAGACTGGCAGGGGAAAGGGCATGATCAGACAAGGAAACTTTCGATTCGATGATTCCTCTGTCAGACGAGACGGACTGCCTTATATTATAATAAGGCGAATTGAGTTTTACCTTAATTTTGACTCCCTTACCGTCCGTCCGCATGCCACTTATTAAACACTTGACTGGCAGCGATTTCTCCCCGCCTCGCAGCCCAGGCCATGGTCCAGAGTACTTAGGATATCAACCTTCTATCCCAATAATGGCTGACATCCGCACACTGAGAATATCCCAGGCGTGATGGGAAGAGGACCACCTTCCCGTATTATTTAAGACTGATCTCCTATATTGGTTATTATCATTATCAACTGCTTTCCGCCGCGGTACTAGCAACATGATCATGGAGAGTGATTCCGAAAAATGATCACCAGAAATCTTCTTCTTTTCATCGGATTTCATTCTGGTGTTCTACATCCAGACCTAAATGATGGAGTTCCGGTCTTCTCTTTGCTACCCAGCCCATCCCATTCCATTCCATCATGGCCATTACATCCCCGGATGTACACGTCGTATATTAGCAGGATTTACCTCATTTCTGTGCTCTTGCCTCTTGAAATCTAGGTGGTGACGGCCCCTTCAAATGACCCCTGTCTGATTCTTCCTCCTCTTCTCCTTCTTACATACATACCTTTTGATCCGAGATATGAAACTGCCCTGTTTGGGGGCGTGCGCGGTATTGCTGAGAACGAAACTTGAAGTTGACGGATCAAATGTGAGTCAAATGTATGAGGTGAGTGAAACAGTATTCCCGAGGTCATTCCCTTCCATCCATATCAGGGCATGCAAATAAATGCCGGACCATTCTCACAGGAGAGAAAGAAAGGCTTATTTATTATGAGTCGTATTCACCCTTGCTGTTCATTAATATCATGTGTTGACCCAGTAGAAAGTTTTGAAATTGCCAGGTTGCCAGCAAACAGATATCGATACCAATAGCCCCTGAGCTCAGATCATATGCGGTACATAGTAGTTCAGTCAAGAGAATCTTTTTTTTTTTCCCCTTTTCTGCCAGTTGACCTGTGTATAGAAAAGGTCATCACTGTATCCATTATCACTATCAGGAAGTGGTGGAAATAAAATCTTAAGAAGATGCTCACATTGGAACAAGAAGCAACTCATTCTATACATGCACCGATGAATTGTAGAAATAAGCAACAAATTTTTATGAAACAGCAATAAAATGTTATTTACAATTTGTAGTTAGTCACCCTTACACTTCTGATGAAATAATCTATATTACTTCATTCTATGTATGAAGTTCAGACTTCACTGAATAACATTGATACTAGAAGATTGAAGATAAAAGTGCTTTATCAGTACTTCTCACTGACATTGATATCACTGCTTTTTTTGAGTAAATGCACTTATCACAGTGAAGAGTTGAAGAAGAAAGAAGAGCAGCAACATAGAATCATGATTGAACTCAACACTTCTCTTTGAATAAGTTGGTATATAAGCTCAGAAATGGGCATGAATGATAAAGAGAAGGCAGATATGTGAATACCTAGATAGTTATATATATATATATATATATATCATCTGATATGAAATAAAGAGACATGTAGATAGCTGAAGCAGAGCTGTTAGATAAACTCAAGAAAGTTTGAATTAGAGAAACACTTCTTTCAAGAAAAAAAAGAAGATTAATATTTTCAATTTCACTCTCTATATATGAAATTCTGATCAATCTCAGACACTAATTAATAAACAGATTTTAACTAAAAAAAGCAGTTCTTCACAGCTTTGTATTGTATTTTTGAACACTCACCTGCATCTCAACATAGATCAATTTCTCTCTTTTTCTTTGTTTTTTTATATACTCTGCAATGTCGCAGATTACTGTCTATATATACTCATCTCAACTATTATAACCATACCTGTGTGTGTTGGCTATATATTTAGCACCCAATATATTCCCCCCTTCTTCCTTCGGAGCTCTAATGAATTTCCATTGTTTCTCTCCCAGGTGTGACAAGACAGAGCTAGAAAAATATTTCCGCCTGTCAAACGTTGTTGGGCGGCGGACCCCAAGCGGCAGGTGAGCGGCTGAATTCGGTGCTTAGCTCCTCTCCCTCCACCCCCACCCCACCGTAACCTAACTCCCAAGGTTTGCTTCCAATGTTCTGTCTGCTATTACACTTTTAGCCCATACTACGCTGTAGCGTATCTGTGCTGAGAGATGAAGGTGATGATGATGACGATGATGATGATGGCGCTAATTATGAGCGAGGTTAAAGTTCTCTTGTCTCGGTGACGAAACACTCATACATAGTTTATGAAAATAGTTAGAGATCTCTGCCACTCTGCCCTCTGTCTGCCAATTCTCTCTGAGACCTCTGCCTGTAAAAGGGGGTTGAAGATTGAAAGATTTACTCGCTTTTTTTTTGTCTGCCTGCCTGCCTACCTTGTAGCTCCTCAAGATGTCTCAAAGAGATCTATCTATATTATACCATCTCAAGCGGATATATAATCATATTCCTGCAAACCAAGCAGAGCAAGCACTTTCTTTCTCAGGCATGGGGGCCAAATGTGAATAGTGAGCCAATTTAGGTATGCCTGCATCAACTCAAAACACATTGAGAGGCCCCGAGTAGACAGATTGAAACTTTGTGATAATATGAAAACTTCTAACAAAAATAGCAAGAGCTAAAACAAGTGCCATACACAGTTGATGTCTTCAAGGATATAGAGAAAAAGAAGAAACATCAAACAGATTCAAATCATCATCATCACCATCACCATCATCATTATTCACATTTGAGAAGCAGCAGTAGGAGCAAAATTATGAGCAGAAGCAGCAGCAACAGCAGTAGAAGTAGGAGCAGACAGCCCAGCAGCTGCCTTATCAAACCTCGTGCTGGCATAAGGATCTGGAGATCCGCGTACAACACATTGATAGTAATAGAAAAGGTACCCACAAAAGATTCTGGTCGGGTCATAATGGGCTTTTACCCTGCAATCTTCCAGCTTCGAACACTCTTCATCAGTCTTGCAGAGGAAATAGCTCGCGCAGAATTGCACCTGCGGGTCCAGATCGGAGAGTCCCGTGCGGTAGGGTGGTTGTTCTAACCCTTTTGAGTGCGCGGCAATTGCGGGGGTGGCCCATGCAAGGGGCGCGAGTGCGGCAAGTGCGCTGAGGGCGAGGGGGAAGGGGAACTTCATTTCTTCATTTATTTCTTCCCCGTGGTCCGTGGTATGGTATGTCCTAATAGGTTCTCGTAACATGAGCAGTGCTTGGATTCGTGTGTGCGGCGAGAGGACGGACCAGATAACCTATTATGGCAGACTGTATGATGGAACGATAACAGGAGGTGACCTGGCTGAATATAAGATTGGACAATGGGGGAGGGGGGAAGAGGGGAGGACGACTTCCTTTATGCAACTTATCTCTTACAACTTAGATCTTACAAGTCTCTTCAATATCCTACAGATGAACCAATGGTTCAAAAACTCTGGGTGTTTTTGTTGGTTCCGGGTCCGCTGGAGAACCACCAGCAGTGCAGATGAACGGATTCTCTAATCATCATAGCACTCCCGAAGCTTCAACCCCAACCCAGCCCTGGGGGGTTGCATATACGGCAGGCAGATATGATGATGAGAGGACGAGCCGTGGCAACAAAAGCAACTGTTAGTCAGCCTAGCCCCTGGCCAAGCAATAGTGGAAGGAAAAAGCTCTTGAAGGCTTTTTACTTTCTTTCTCCCTTATTATGGGGATGAATAGCTTTTCTTTCCATTATTATTTCCGTGTTCCTGTTCCCGAGGTTCTTTGCTTCAGTCGTGTGAGTCGTTAAGCTGGTGACCAGAGCAAGTGCGAGAACACCTAGGCAAGCTGGGAGACACTTGAAGAGCTGCTCTCAATAGCTAACTGATTCTTAAAAGGTTTCCTCTCCAGCACACACAGAGAGAGAGTGAGGTGTGTGTGTGTGTGTTTGCTGAAAACAGAAGAGAGAAGTAAAAAAAACACGATGAGGAAACAAGTGCATATGAAAGGGGAGAGGATAAGCACACGACATGAATTTACCATGAGCCAAGAAGAATATTTCTTTTTGCGCCATGGCTCTTGCTTCACGTTCCCGGCACTTGTTGAAACCTGACGCAGTTTAAGTTCCAAGCTATCATAGATGGATAGTGGGTGGGGCCGGGAGTAATATCCCGGCCTGTCTGCGCACTAAGCTACAGTCCGTAGCTCGGATGCTCCGTACTGTACTGTCACAGCCGATCCTGTTAATTCCGAAGGCCCTCACGGCTGTCCAATTACATAGTACGACCCGCGTTAACTACTTCTCGGTCGGTGGAGACTGCCTAGTTACTCCGTAGAGAGACATGCATGATAGGACGCGGCTGATACATGCCATGCCATGGATGGCTCCTGCCACCCACCAGTCTGAGGAATCTCCCGATTGGCTCAATAATCGGCAAAGCCCGCACCACCCGCTAGGTAGCCGGGGCCTAGATGGTTTGTAAGCTACCGCTCACCGGCAACCTCTGGTCGGACCCTCGGTTAGGCTTGCCTTTTGTACGTGGGCAAATCCTGGGCCCTAGGGGATAGAAGGGTCTTTGTGGGGCAACTCAGGGCTGGCCATAGGCCATTTAGAGGGGAAGATGTGGTAATTATCATTATTTATTAATATTATTATTATTTCGATGAGCACGGGATCTGCGGGTGGATTTTAAGTTTACATACCATTTGTGGATTATCTGGGGAAGTTGAACCTGAAGATAACATCCATGGTCATATTCTCTTATACGACGTACTTAATCAAAAAGGCGGAGCGATGCATTGTTAGCGGACAGGAACAGCGATAGTAACCATGGTTTTTGCCCAGTGTCTGCATTATTGCTTGCAGAAAATGGCCTGCCGGACGGATTGATGTTGTGACTTGGTCCGTGTATGTATGTATGACTGGCAGGCAAGGGGAGATCACTATTCCGTAGTTGGTTGAGCAATGCAGACAGGTTTCAACATTGATAGATTTCCTGCTGCAACGTGCATGTACCCAATATTCCTTCCACCAGATCACTTCCATTGAAGGTTCCATTTGATGATGATATATGCTTAGCTTATGATGGGCCAGTGGAGGATTTGAGACCACGTGAGATAAAACTTCAGGGACTTATTATCTGCTGAGGTCTCCTTCGACCTGTCCCAACGGACCCAACACGATGAAACATTGAAAGGTGATAAACTGCGGCTTGTTGGCTCCGGATCGGATAACCATCCCATATGTATGTACATGTACGTCAAGTTCATGTGCTGCTTTATCTTCACTTGATTGCCAGCGAGCAGCTAGTTATTGGCTCTTATTGACAAAGTCATTCAGAGCTACAATTGATGCCAGCTTGATGTATTGTACAGTATGTACTCCGTATTTTGATTACGCGGCGTATTCAGGTCAGACGGGGTCGAGCAGCTCATTTGCTCTCCACAAAAACGCATCTGTGCGTAAATCAGATCACTCACCCACCCCACAAACCTTGAGGGGGCTACTTGATTTACCGTGTGGGGTATGTTTAGGCGCGTTCAACGGGAAGGGAAACCATACGCAGTACATACGGAGTACAAGTGCCAGGACGGAAACGACCAGAACGCACCCGCAGCTCGCCATCTCAGTTCCTACGGCAGCCTATAACCCACATTTGAGTCAAATGGAATTTTTTGGATGTTTTTCAGTATAATAAGCTTAATTCCACATAATACTCATTATATAGACACACCCCAATTACACTAGTTCTACTGTAGTTAGTATATTACAATATATGATTTAGTTCATCTTGACTTTCTGTCTATAAGCTTCATCTCATAAATCTCTCAAATTCAGGTATAGAGATACCCAGGTATAGAGACTCTCAGTATAGAGGCTCTGGGGTATAGAGACCCCCAGATTAATAAAAACCACCAGATATAACTCAGAGTATCTCAGGCTTGGCAGAATTAGCGCGAGTCTTTCTGCCCCTCTTTTCTGATTTCTGATTGGTGCCTAACTGCCATTGCGAACTTTTGATTGGTTCAAAAAGGCGGCCAGGAAAATGACACTAATTGTGCCTGGCCCCGATAGAGAGGTCTCTGAGTCGAGGCCTTCTCAATGTGGGGTCTTGATTTCAACCTTAATTACTAATACAATCAGCTTCAATCAATGCGTGCTCATTGTAACGCTAATGCTGCAGTATAAAATACCTATGTGACCCAGATGTCACTCTGGGCTGCCGTAGTTCCACCTCAGCTCCAGGTCGTAAATCGTAGACCCTGTTCAAGGGCAGAGTGAGTCGTGGCCGCAGAGTGGTCAGTCCGCTGTTTCAACCTTGTCCAGCGCATGGCCTGCAGATCATCACCCAATAATAATCCTTCTCAACCTGCTTGTCTCGCCTCACACTAAAGTCAGGAGTACGTACTGCACATATACAGGGGTGAAGCGAGGTACGTACCGTACACCTCCAATAATAATATAATAATAGTACAGTGTACAGAGTAGTTGGAAAGAAAAAAGCCCGTCGCGAGTTGCCGCAATTTTTTCCCCAATCCGATCCGTCCTAGACCCAAAATAGCGCTCGCTCTTGACGGACCGCTTCTTTACTTCCTTGTGAAGGCGGAGGCGGAGGCTTGGGGTTGAGTGAATTTTTCAACAATAACCCCCACAAGCAAGCTGGGGTGAGGAATGAGACAGTCCAAAAGTCAGGCAGGGTTCACGGACATAGTACCACTTTTTTTTTTTTCCGGGTTACGAAGCAGGTACCAGGCTGCTTTTTGAGTGAGAACTCGTGTTGGGATTTTTTTTCCCCCCCCCCCCCCCCAATTCCCTTTCCCTTCCCCCCCCCCCCTCAGCTTCCAAGGCCCACCCCAGGTCTCTTGCTTCCACGTGATGGATCCCTTTACTCCAAAAGGTGCCGTATATACCCTGCTTCCATTTTTCCTCCCCCCCAGCGCGCGCCTATTTTGTTTCGTTAGGCCTGTGAGAGCTAATCTCTAGGTCTGATATCCCTTATTAGCCGGCTATGGTCATTATCTCGCGCATTCGTTCGTCGGTGTACCGCAAGTCACTCGTCTGGACGAGCACCGGGTACTGAAAGAGAGCCGCCATGACCGCCGCGAAATCGACACCATGCAATTTATTGCAGCAAACACAACCATCCCCGTGCCGAAAATCTACAACACAAAGTTCGACAAGGAGAAACATATCTCCTACATCGTGATGGAATACATAGACGGCGAACCCCTGAACAAAGCCTGGATAAACCTAACCCAGGACCAGAAAGTCTCCACCTGCAACCAGCTAGTCGATTACCTCACCCAGCTCCAAATGTTGACAGGTGAGCGCATTGAAGCTGTGAACAGCTCTACTGTGCGCGTTGGCCTATACGAATCCCGCTGGGGCGGGCCCTTCGACAGCGAAAAGGAATTCAACGACTTCCTCGCCCAGGGCCTGCAGCAGCACAACCTAACGGACAACCACGCCATCCATTTCGCACACGGCAATCTCAGCCCCCGGAATATCATGGTCAACAAGTGCGGCCGCATCACTGCCATTCTGGACTGGGAGTGGGCCGGCTGGTTCCCGCAGTACTGGGATGTTGTCCGCATGCTCGTGGATATCCCGGGCAAGAGGCAGATGCCAGATTATGCGGAGCATCTTCGGGCCACGTTACCGTACTTGTATAAGGAGGAGTACTCGGCAATGCTGGATGTGTTTCGGGGGAGATCTTCGGGCCCTCATGGGGGAATGCCTGCTCATGCCACGTCTCGTTCCAGGTGATATCGGCCCCACCCCCCTTCTCCTGGTTTTCATTCTTTAATGTGATCATGATGTGCGCACCTGAGCTGTGGGAAGGCTAGGCCTTGTAGGTTATTTATTAATTAAAACCCCTTTTTGTGCATGAAGATGGCTTCTGGTTTTTTTTTTGTGTGGGTGGTTGATCTGTTGCATCACTGCGTTGACTTATCGAGGAAACTGCATGTTCTTCTCTCTTACGATCTCTGCTGTTCGCACTGCGATTTTGATGCTGTGAGGATTGAGTGGCGTTAGGATATTTTACTCGATTTCATGATTATATGATAGCTAAAAATAATTTTGTTCAAGATATTTTTTATTATCTCTCTCTATATATAATTTTACACATAACCATACATAGTTAACAGTAAACTAGCGGGATTACTAAAATTCGAGCCAATGGATGTAGAAGTGACAAAAAGCAAAAGGCAGCAAACAAATAGAAGCATTGTACATATTTATTTATCGTAGAGTATATACCAATGTTGCCCAATCGTCCAGACACAGCAACTCAACAAAACAAATCCTTGAAAGATAGACCCAGCTTTGGATCGGGAGTCTATATTTAGAGCCCATGCGATATTTCTTGGCGCGATCTGCATACATGTATAACTCTCGGCTCCCGCCTGTGACAATCAGGGGACCGGCAGGCAGATTTATCATTTTGCCATTCCAACCGATCAAGTCATTGGAAAAGATTGTTCAAAGGATTTAATATTTTTTATTCTACTCACTCTTCCTCAGTAATATTCAGACAATAATCGTACTGTACATGGATATAGGGCGACGACACCGGAACTTGAAAATGTAAGTTATATGTGGGAGGAAAAGGGGTAAGTAAGTAAAAGGGGTAAGAAAAAGGGGTTTGGGGAAATAAAATCAACCCCCGCCCCGCCCCGCCCCTCATCTTATTCCGAATCGAAACCCGCCTTTCACCCACGATAATCCACCGTCAACTCCCCATTAAAGACATCCCGCCCATCAAACGCAAAACTCCCACACCGTCTACACCCATGCCTATACAGGCCCCGAACATAGTGGCGCAACTGCAACACCGGAATCTCCGAGTTCGTATGCTGCGTGTACGCACACAGCCGGCCCCTGCCATTGCCATTGCCATTGCCATTGCCATTGGGGGTGCCGGGAGTGCAGCAGGCGATTTCCTGGCCCGGCTTGAATTTTTTGTAGGTGGGCATTCTGGCGATTGTCGCCTCGAGCTCGCTGAGCTGGCAGCCGGTGGTGTTGCATTCGTCTTTGCCACGGCAGTTGGTTCCTAGGGCTGTGGTGGAGGTGGAGGTGGAGAGGAGAGCGAGGGCGGCGGTGGAGAGGATGGTGGTGATTTTCATAGTTGGTTGGTGGTTGTTGGTAGCTAGCTTTCTGCTCTTATCTATCTGTGGTTGGTTGGTTTGCAATTGGTTTGATACAGTGTGTGTGTGGTGTAGGTGTATCTTTCTTCAAGATATCGTTTCTCGTTTCCTGTTCTTGGGCTTTTCAAAAAATCACTCAATCGAATCCCTCAATTCTGCTTATTATACATTCTGAATAAAGAATCCAGCCATGGAGGAGCCGTTCTCAGTATCGCATCGGCTGTATTTATACCCTCTTTTCTCAGTCCTCGCCTTCCCCGAAGAAATCTAGCCAAGGTCATCAACAAACGTTCAAATGTTCTGATTTTACAAACCTGTCATTTCCCGACTTCTCGCTCATGCACACAGAGTATACTGAAGGTTAAAAACGCTTGTATATTTATATACCTATGTCCGACTATCGCCGGGGTAGCTGCTGCTGATGTCGTTTGTTCCTTCGGAGATGGGGTGGATATTTTTACAACCAGAGCCGTGCTAAACAGTCTGGTTCGGGGAGTTGCTACCTTTTTTTAAAAGGAAGAGACAGATTCGTAGGAAAAATGGGTTATTGCAGCATTTCGTTTGCTTTTTATTAGGTTATAATCAATTTAGAAATATTACTGATGTTCTGTCTATGTCCTGTCCTATGCTTTGTATAGAATAGAGATGACTAAGTGATCTCATGAGCACAGTAGAAATTTAATAATAATAATAGGACTAGATCAGACATTGATAGGCTAGTTAGATAGGTTAGTTAGTTAGGTTAGTTAGATCTTAGTTATTTCGTCGATTAAAAAGATCATATGTGAACTCGATTATCTTGTCATCTGCTGCTTGATATTGAAAGTCTACCTTCTATACTTAAAGTTAGTCTCTTACTGGGGGAATGAATGGGGGAAAAAGGTAAGGTGGAGATAATCAAAACTTGAACGGGATGAGGATAAAAGCTACTGTGATACGGAATTAATGTATGCCAGATATCAGTAAGTATAACTATTGCTCTCAATTTCAAAGCAATGGACATGCCCGATGCTCTCGCAATTGTAGAAGCAGTACGCAATTTGTACCCGCATCGAATACCTGGCTGTACTGGGAGGGAGGCAGTGGGTGAGTGTCAGTTCAATTTTGCAGTCTGGTCTGAGTTTGCCGTCGAGCTGGCCGTTACCTCACTTTCTCGGAATCAGCTATTATTTTTACAAGCTGCACCAGACGAAATGTATGGACCTTACCTCGTGATAGACCGTCTATATTCATTCCATGTGATTTGTTTAAGAAAATCTCGAAAAATCCGAAACACATAAGCCTGTCGAACACCTGTAAAGCGTAATGAATATCCCCATTGCAAGAACCTCCTGGGCATAGTTGAAGGGAACAATGCGTTTGAGATAAGGGAAATAATCCCGTAGCCCAGGGTTTTCAGAGAGTATCCTACTACGATCCAGTATTCAGGGTACCAGCCTGCCCGGTCCCAGTCCAGCACGGCTTTAACCTCCCCACTATCCACATCAACCATGATATTGCGTGGTGAGAAATCGCCATGTGCAAAATGGATCTCATGGTTATCTTTCATTCCAGATCTTGCGTAGTGTTTAAAGAGGAGATGGATATTTGGGATCATTTAACCCAACAAGGAAGTCGTTGAATTCTTTCTCAGAATCGAATGGTCCACCTCGACGAGGAAATCGAAGCCCGACTGTTACCGGACCGCCATTTGCAGACTCAATCAGAGCCGGCGTTGTCGTGGGTCTAAGTTTTTGCACGTTGGGAGAGGAAGCCGCGGAGCTGATGACAGATGAACATCTGCTTATTGTGTGAGAGTTTTCCCCAGACTTTGCCAAGGGGTTTGCTGGGGATGTATTCCATGACAATTTGAGAAGCATCAGTCCGTCCTGTTGCCAGATCATATGGTCTTGTAGACTTTTGGGACTGGGATCGTGGTGTTGGCAGCGACAAATTTCATGGCTTCAGTTTCAGTGGAATTAGTGATTGCAGATTTCAGTATCCTGTGCTCATCGAGGCGGATGATTTTGGGCATGTCTGGAAAGAAAGCGTAGATCACTTGTCCGTAGCCATCTGTTTTATGGTTATCAAAACTATCCTTGAGATAAAGAAGTATGGAGGCAGATGCTAAAGCCCAACAATACGCACCTTTGGGAGTGAACGGGTCTGGCTCCATGTTTGCTGGTGAAGCGCTTATGTCTGAATCTTTGTCTGAATCTCTGTCCCTGTAATAGCTGAATGGGAGACAGCTGGTTACTTGGTTGTGAAGGGGATGTGGTCTCAATTTGTAGGCAGTTTTGGTTTCTCGCTACTTGCAGGTACCTATTAATAGGTTGGTGCAGTCGCACCATTGTACGGAGTACGGAGTAAGAGAAAGGAAGATCAGGGCTTCAAGAAGGAGTTGAAGAGAACAAGGAATGGATGGCAAGAGGTAGAGCGGACACGTGAACAAGACGGGGTGGAAGTAGGGGGGTGCGCTACAGACAGTATCAGAGTGGTATATATATAAATACGGAGTATACATGTACATGTACATACATATATATAATATGTTAACATCATTATTGAAAATTGTTATTCTGATAGTTAGAGGTTGAACCATGGAACAATCCAATATGTGTCAACAAAAGGTACTCAGATGCTTGTACGGAGTAGAAACTTATAGATATAATAGACAGTGAGAAATCCCAGAATTTAAAAGAATTTATATTTAATCTGACTATTGACTGTAGAAAAGGTGAAAACCACACTAAAATTTAGTATGATTTTCCACCTATTAGATCTGGAATATATTTTCTAAGTGTTTATATACAGTTTGAATTGCTGAAGATATTCATGTTTTTTTCAAGAAGTATCTTTTCTATTGTGGACTCATACAGAGTACTCTGTACAAAAGGTACCTTTTTCATTACAGTGATATTTTTAACACACTCACTATTAATAATGAGACAAGTAGTGAGTGCACTTAGCACAGTTATTATGTATGTTATCTCTGTGTGAAGCAAGTAGGGATATAAATAGCTTCTTTTCTATTTATTTTTAGATGAAATAATGAGGTGAATAGAATCATTCATTAATATTCACTCTTTTGCATATTCTCTCTTCTCTAGAAGCTGTCCAGGCATTTGTTTTGCTTTGCTTTGCTTCTTCAGACAAGACGAATTACATGTACCATAAATTGAGTTTGAAGTTAAGTTTCGAGTTTTGTTTTCAGCGTCGTTACATTATAGATTATAACTAGCTACTAAGTGCTGGGCATCTTACTAAAATCCACTCCCCGCCGCCGCCTTGCTTGTGGTGAATTTTTCTTTCGGGGTTTGGGACGGGATTTAAATAAAAATCTTCTTCTCTCCTCCAAAGAGGGAAAGGAAAGCAAAAAGAAAAAAGAAAACCATAATAATATACCCGACTCAATAACCAACCCGTTTTGGTTCTTTTTATAACTCTCTGCACTTGTCTGCAGTCACTCAGTTCCCCCCCTTCCCTCCTCACCTAACCCCACAGCTGCATGCAGCCAATTCAATAATTCATCGTCTGGCTGAGAGGAACAGGTTACAAACAAGCAGTCAGCCAACCAGTTCACTATCTATCTATCCATCGCTCGGTCCATCCCCGATAGATCTGAGTTTGACTTGAGGGCTTTGGCTAGCGTGGGTTGGCTAGCTGAGGGTCTGGGGCTGGGGGGGACGGTTGTTTGATTGTGTGCGTGTGCTGAAGAAGCACCGGCTGGGTGTTATTAGTGATTATTCGCGGGAAGGGGAGCGAGATAGGCCAAACTTTAAATGTAGTGCGCTGGGCGGCTGGTAAACTAGGGACCTGGGGAGTTCGCAGTAGTGTACTCCGTACTCCGTACGTACTCCGTATGTGTATGTATGTCCATGTACCTTGATACCCGGATTGCGTTCGAGGGCTCAAGTCGAGTCGCGGATACAGGGAACTACTATATGTACCCGGGTAGTACCAGGACGCAGACGCAGACGCACACATAGGTGCAGACATAGGTGCAGACTCGCAGGGAGAGAAATAGAGCAGATAGAAATAGAGATGAAAATAGACAATATTAATAGAGAGATACGGCGACGAGGACGGCGGGTCCGTGCGTAATTTTAAATACAAAATCTACCGCGATAGATGCAGAATACGGAGTACGGAGTACAAGGGTTGACGGTTTCATGTACTGGTAACTCTTCATGCACGAAGAGTCGAGACAAGACGAGACAAGACGACATGACAGGGGGGCAATAATCAATCGTTAGTTATTTCTACGGAGTACCACCAGGGAGGAAAAAAAAAAAAAAAAAAAAAAAAAAAAAACGTGGGAAGAACCCGCTAGGGTTGTGGTGGGTTGTGGGCCGTGGGCATCACGGCGGGCCACGTCTTTTTTTTTTTTTTTTTTTTGCGGAGTGTGGAGGCGGATGATATCGCATTCAATTGGGGATTGATAATAGTTAAAATCAATAAGTAAAAAGGAGGAGTAAGTTATGAGGGTGAGTATATTATTTATATTTATTCTTGCTATCTTCCTTTTCTTCTTCTTTCTTTTCCATTCTTCGCCTTGCATTTGCGCGATTGAGTGGCTATTGTTCGCCATAATAATCCGAATCCCGCCGCATTCGGTGAGATTGGGGGGGTGGAACACAAAAGCTGAAAGCTAATAAACAACCTAGCTAACCTTAACGGATAAAACAGGGTCTTGTCTGGCACTGCCACGGCCGCGGGTCTTGGATGATGATGGGATGATGGATGATGGTGGTTGAGGGTGCGGCTGCTGCTACTGCGACTCCAGCAGAGCAGGCATGCTCAAGCCATAGTGCAACCAGAGCAGATAATAATCTCATAGATTAAATTTTTACTGTTGCTGCTTGGTCCAATTAATTTTGCTAAATTTGCTGTGCTGGTGGGTGGTGCTGGAGGTTAGTTGTTGATTCTCTCAATAATAGTTAAACAATACTAGCAATAATTATAATATCCAAGCATAGCAAATAATAGATATAAACATCTCTCCAGGGCAAACCCAAAGCGGCGGCCTTGCCTAACCCTTCGCCCTTGGCCAGCCCCGACCGACAGCTCATCCGGGGCATCGCCAGCTTCCACACCCACCACAACCACAACCACAACCACTATCACCACATCCTCCACATCCTCCACATCCTCCACATTCCTCCACATTCCTCCAACTGCCAGTCAGTTCCAGATCATCCTCATCTATTTCCATCTCCCCTCTGCTGCTGCTGCTGCTCCCTCTCTCCCAGTTTTCGCCCAAGCTCTCCAAGCCCAGCTCGCTTTCGTCATTCCGGAGCTCTCTCTGCCTACCCTCCATCTACCCATCCATCCCTCCAGCGAGCCGTCCCAACAACCTCCTTTCCTACCTTCTCCTACAGCCTCATCTCTGCCATAGCCCATTCACTACCACTCAGTCCAACCCTGGCGTCTCTTCTCCTCCCCTCCCCTCCGTTCGCGGATTGTCCCGTTCACTCCGCTCTTCCTCCTCTTCCTACGCATCACCACCATCGTCCGTCTTTCTTCTGTCACTAGCTCTATTCGAACTGTATGTAAATTACCTCGCCTCATCCATGGGCAAAACATGAGAGCCATCATCGCCGCCTCTGCCTTCAATACCTCACCGTTGCTGACCCTTGCCTGCCCTTGCCTTCCCGTGCCGATCCTTTGGCCCCAAAACCATCTCCCTCTCTACCTCTCTCGTTCCATCGAAAAGAAAACCCCAAGAAGGCGAAAAGAAAAAGAAAAAGAAAACGAAAAAGAAAAGAAAAGCTTCCTTTGTACTAACCACCCAGCTCACTCTGTTTTCTCTCGTCTCTAGAATCCGCCAGCTTTAACTCTTCCTCCCCCAGTCAGCCTCCGTCCCGTGGCTTCCTGCCCCAGGTGGCTGGCGGCCCTTGTTTTTGCACATAATATACTCGCAATATTATATATACATACATACTTACATATCCTACCCGGCCAATCCCGACCCAATCGCGCCTATTAGCCTTCTCCGTCCTTGCTACCCGAGCCTGTTGTCGACGCCATATACCTCTTTCCACTCAAGGCCGTGGAGCGCGTTTTTCCTCCATCTTTTTCTATCTCCATAGCATCATCCGGTAAAAACACACCCCGTCTCCTTCCTCCGGTTAGGTGGTTGGCGTCATCGTCGCCAATAGTGTTGGTTTTGTCAGCGGTACTCGAGTTCGGATAAGGATGGGCGGGTGTTGTAGCTCAACTTCCGGCGGCGATGTGGAACAGAAGAAGAGGAGTCAAATGATAGACAAAGGCATTGAGGATGATATGAAGCGATTACGGAGGGAATGCAAGATTCTACTGCTTGGTCCGTAATTTCTGCCTATTTCCCCCCCTAAAACCTATGATAGATTGCACGCGGCTTTGTCAACGGTTGCGATTGATTCCGTCAGTGAGACACACACAGAGAGAGAGAGAAATGCAGAAAGAAAGAGGCAGCGAGGGAATTGTGTTCTGACGGTTCATTTTACAGGTTCGGGAGAGAGCGGGAAATCGACCATCGTAAAGCAGATGAAGATTATTCATCAGAATGGGTATTCTGTGGAGGAGCTTACCATGTGCCGCTCGACAGTTTACAAAAACCTGTTAGATTGCGCAAAGGACCTGATAGGCGCCCTGCACCATTTCGAATTACAACCCTCCAGCCCGAAAGTCAAAGAATACATGGAGTACCTAAACTCATACCAGATCGATCCCGACCCAAACACCCCAATAGATCCGAAAGTGGGCGATGCTGTGACGTATCTGTGGAACGACCCCATCATGCCAACCGTATTAGAGCACCAGAACGAGTTCTATCTCATGGATTCAGCACCTTAGTATGGCCCCTCGCCGACGTTTAGTGGCCCTACCTTTGTTTTATTTAGATGGGCCGTATAGTCTAATAATTTCTCCATAGTTTTTTCGACGAAGCGAAACGTATTACTGCGCCGGACTACATACCCAACGAGGCCGATGTTCTTCGCGCCAGAACTAAGACCACCGGTATATATGAAACCAGGTTTACAATGGGTCAATTGAGTATTCAGTGCGCTTGATCTACCCTACTTTTAACTTGGGAGCGCATAGGCGTTGATATTGACATATTTCTTCCTTACTTTAGCATGTTCGATGTTGGGGGTCAACGGAGCGAACGAAAAAAGTGGATTCACTGTTTTGAAAACGTAACATCGATAATATTCTGCGTTGCATTGAGCGAGTATGATCAAGTGTTGTTGGAAGAAAGTAATCAGGTATGTTGTTTTTCTCCTCGCTCCGCTGCTTTATTTGTGATTTGTCAATTGGTTCTAACCGCGAACCGCAAAAGAACCGCATGATGGAAAGCTTAGTGTTGTTTGACTCTGTTGTTAATTCCCGGTGGTTTATGCGAACGAGTATTATCCTTTTCTTAAACAAGGTCGACCTCTTCAGACAGAAACTCGGCCGGTCCCCGCTTAACAAGTACTTCCCTGATTACTCTGGCGGCAACGACGTTAACCGAGCTGCCAAATACCTCCTATGGAGATTCAATCAAGTAAACCGGGCGCATTTGAATCTCTACCCTCAGTATGTTCTCTTCATGATTTTACGTTCAACATCGATTTTTATATTCCTTTTAGGCGCGTCTCATACCTTTCAACTAACCCTCAATCCCTCCCTTGCTAGCCTCACACAAGCTACCGATACCTCAAACATCCGGCTCGTCTTCGCCGCCGTTAAAGAAACCATTTTGCAAAACGCCCTCAAGGATTCGGGAATACTCTGAAAAACAGAATGTCACTACCACCACCCCTTTGCCTCGATCACGATAAACACCTCTCCCCAACCACCTCCGAAACCAGTCTCAAAATGAAAAAGCCCTAATGCCTTACATGCTTCCATTGATTGGCACTTTAGCGCCATTTTCGATTATTACTTATTTATTCATATTCCTATTTTGCTTCCTCATCTGGGAGCTCGGACGGCGTTTAACTGGGTTTTTGGGAATATTCCGTTGACAACTTTCTTTTTCTTTCTCCTATTTTTGCTTTTTTGGCGCTGTCTGGTATGGCATAACAAACAACAAACCTTCCCCTTCCCACCTCCTTTTTAATCCTTTTACTTCTTTATATTTTTCTATTGCGACACGGCACAACGACGGCAGTTGGATATTTTCCACGGCTTTTTATTTTATTTTCATCTACTATTTATTTTTCTTTTCTTTCCCTTTTTTCTTGGATATTATTTCCATTTCTTCCAAGAAGCCTGCTTTTGATTTCTTAGTCCGATTCTTTGCGCAACCTGTAGTCAGCTTCGTTCATTTTTGTTCCTTTTTCATTGCTCTCTGGTCTGTCTTTTTTTTTAACTACTGTTCTCCTTCCAATTTTCTCTCGTCCCTACGCCTTATTGCGATTTCATTGCGATTTCTTGCTATTTATCAATCTATGTATGTGTCTTCCTGTTACCCCCTATTCCCGATCTCTTTCCTTGATTTCAAATCCACAGACATTTGTTGCGAGCGGTGGGCTGGAAAGAACGGGCTAACCTGGCCTCCCTACCCGTCTTGATATCTACTTCTAGTGCAGGTGTGTGTGTGCAAGTGGTGATTCAGCTTGTGTCCACCACGCCCGGGTTCCTGTCCATGTCCCTTTTGCGAGCAGGTATACTCGAGCGATCGCGCGCATCGTGATCGTGGGGCAATACCTTTTTCGCTGTTACAATCTTCCTTGTCTATATATGTATATGATTTTTATCTGGGGGAGGGGGGAAGGTGGGGTTTTTGCACCCACCATCGATTTCCCGCTGTGTTTGTATAAGCCTATATGTCCGAAGATAACGTTATTGTTCTTGATCCATTATGTAGGAAATCATTCCTATGTTACCTGTCCCTAACCCCTTCATTCTCTGGTTTTTTTCCTCTTTTCTTTTGCTTTTGGTTTTATTTTGCTCTTATGACATTTTTGCCTCGAAGCTGATTTCTTGTTCTGCCTGGATTTGTGTGAGAGTGTGTTTTCTACCTCTGGGCTTTTCCTATTGGGGGCTTTTTCTTTTTTCTTTTTTCTTTTTTTCTTTTTTTCTCTTTTTTGATGGTTTATTTTAACTTTTCTTTGCGCTCTTGCTTGTCTGATATCACTATTTTATGTATGCTGTTACAAGTTATTTACGTTTCGATTTTGCTTTGATTTTTTTTGGCCCTTTTCCATTTCACTTCATCTCGTACCGACACTTGAATTTTTTTTCTTTTTGGCTTGCATCTATGTCAATGCAAGTAACGGCTCTGTTTCTATATTCCTATATCTCCCCACCATATCTCTCTTGACATTTCTACATATACTAATCTTTGTTCACCAGAAAAAAAAGTTTGACCTTTATTTTACTGCTCTCAAACGCTTTTGACTCCCATTTCTTTTATCTTACGTTATTACTTCGCTATTAACTGACCTTTTTTTTTTCCATGAGATATATGTGTGGAGGGTTATTCATTGATTCAGTTCTTCTCCTTTCCATCTGGTTCTTCATCTATGGGTAGATATTTTCTGCTTTGTACCTATTTTATATCGTGATAACAAGAATTTTAATATCATAGCTGATTTACTCTAGTTTTTGGCAGAGTTCAGCTTCTCGATGAAGTTTCCGCTGGCTCACTCACATCAGATACGATACATGCATGGCTTCCTCAGGGGCATTGATTATCCTTATGATCAACTGGCATTGAATTGACGTGCTCCGGAAATGGGTATTCATTGAAATGGTTAGCTTTGGGGTACGCTCGCCGTTACTCTGTCGACTTAAAAAGGTATGATTCTGTTTCCCTATCTGCTTCCGCCTTTTCTCAAGGTCACTACGCTTAGAGTACGTAGCCTTTCACAGTTTCATCCTACCCGAGCTTCCTTTTACAAGTGATTTAAACCCTCTAAAGTCTTTCTCAGCCACCATCTTCAGCACCTGAATATAACTCCTCAACCCGGCGAGGTAAAACCGCACCCCCGACTTCGTCCCGCTTACATTGCTACCAAAAAGCCATGACGCAGTCCCACTAAACAGACTCCCTTCCGCAATCTTCTGGAACGTCTGCAACCACATTTTCTCACTCTCCGCCGTTGCAGTGACTGTACCAGCGCTTCCTCCACCTGTCCCAGCAGCTGCCGCAGCTTTCCTGCTCAACTGAGCTTTTCCAATCAAGAAAGAAATGAAACCTCACTTGCGTCTCGATGGCCGGAGGAACATTAGTGAACGGACCCTGTGGTCCCGTAATCACGAAGAGATTGGGGAAATTGGGGACGGAGATTCCCAGGTAGCTCGTCTGGCCTCCTTCAGCCCAATGTTCCTGTAATGTCTTCCCGCCCACGCCGCGGATTTGTAGTCTGGTGTAGCTGCCATCGACCGCGTCAAAGCCGGTAGCGAACATCACAACATCCAATTCATACTCCGTCCCATCCTGTGTCACAAGGCCCCTTTCTGCGAAGTGTGAAATGGGGTTTCCCGCACCCACGTCGACAATATGGACATTGACCCTATTAAACTGCTCGCAGTAGCCACTATCACAAAGCGGGCGCCGCGCATACCGGTCCGTGGGCATGAGAATCCTCGCCTTCTCCGGACCGTGGACGATCTCTCCAATCTTCTTCCGAATGAAAGTACACGCCGCCTCGTTCGCGACGGGGTTGGTAGAGATGTCGCTAAATCCGCCAAACATGAAATGGAACCCGTTCCCGTGTTCCCACAGCTGCTCGAAGATAGCCTCCCGCTCCGCCTCCGGCACAGACTCGTAGGCGCGCGTCGATTCCTCGAACCCGCAACCGAACAGGGAGTTCTGCACCTGCGCCATGATCGCGTCATAGTCTCGATTGATCTTGGCGCGGTGAGAGGCGCTGACGGGCCCGTCGCCGCTGGAAACAGGTCAGCCTCTTCACTTGGCCCGCAATCGCCGTTATGACCTGTTTGCCCGTGAACCCGGTGCCGATGAGGCCAACGCGCTTATCGCGCACGTCTAGATCCACCGGCCAGGCGGCCGTGTGGCATAGCGTACCCCTGAAATCTCCCATGCAGTGTATGTTCTGGAAATTCTTCTTGGAGAGAAAACCCAGCCCCGTCACTCCACTACATTAGGCGGGGTTTATTGGAAGGGTAATCTTTCTTCTCCCTCTCCCCCCCTCCCCCCCTTCCCCCCTTTCCCCCTTCCCCTTTCCTCTTTCAATTTCCCCTTTAAATTCCCCTCCGCACCTCTCACAGCCAATAACCCTCCACACTCCCGTTCCCAGCATCCTCCATCCCGCACATTCGGCGACATATGCCGCAACCAATGCCTGCGCACCACATGCGGCAGATACGCGAGTACGTCCGGCTGCGTCAGATACCGGCGGTGCCAGGGGTAGCTGCGCCGATCGGCCCTGGCCCACGAGTAGCTGTAGACGACGCTTTCGGTGTCGGAGAGGGCGCCTGGGTAGCGGTTCCAGAACCCGGTGCCGCCGATGGACCCTTCCCCTTCCCCTTCCAGGGGTTTCGTCGATTAGGTGGGCTGTGGGGGGTTGGTGGTGGTGGTCGTGCTGCGCTTGTTGGGATGGTTGGTGAGGAGGGAGTGGAGTTGGTAGGTGCCGCTGAAGCCGGCGCCCATGATGAGGGTGTCGTGGTAGTTGTGGGGGGGGGGTGCATATTGGTTTCTTTGTCTGTTTTTATTCCCTCCCCTTTTTAATAAATTTGTTCTTTGGTCGTTCTTTTGATAAAGCTAATAGGGGGGGCGAGAGGGACCGCCTTTCGCAGTAATGACCTTCCTTATACAGTTTAGCTCCTTATAAGCATGGCGTTCTGGGGCGTATTTAGTGCAACAATTAGCGTAACTTTAGCGTGTACATTAGTGTATTAAATACACGAAAACTCCTGGATAATATGAGAGCTCAGCTGGATTGATGTGTTTTAATATAATTTTTGTAATCTATTTGATCTAGGTAGCTCTAATTAATATCATTAGAATACGGAGAATTCTCTCAAAAGTTTTGATTAGTGCTAAGAATTTAAGCTGTACTTGCGGCCTCACTCACTATCCTTGCTAAATCGTTCGCTTTTCGTAATTTCCAGGATGTCGACCAACGAACATTTAGACGGGCCATCTGAGGAACGAAAGGGCTTAGTCGGTGAACTAGCTAAGGCGCTGAATAATGAGCCAGTTTTACCCGCATTCTGGGCCTGTGCCCATGTCTGCGATCTCGAGAGGTTGAGATGGCTCGTTGCGAATGCACAAAAAGCCCCATATTTTGTCGCCGCATTTGCCGACCAATGCTTCAGACTCGCTCTCGCATGGCGCCAGAGCCCCGCAGATGACCAAAAATCGCAAGTATCGGACTCGGGATCTAGTGATGGAGGGCGTCCAAGGAAGAGACTGAAACGTGCAGGAGGACCAAGAGCACTTGCTGAAGAGCGCGACAGAGAAAGATGTGTGTTTACGAAAGCAGCCCCCTACCAAGTGGCACATATCTATCCCAACTGCCTTATCGAGTCTTCAAATACACGTCGAATTTCCCACTTCTGGAACGTGCTCCAGGCCTTCTGGACCCAAGACAAGATCAACTCCTGGCGGTCGTTGATATTCCGTGATCCCGAAAACCCGCTGAAACCATTTGACGCCTGCTTTAACTTGATATGTATGAACAATACTATGCATACCTTGTGGGGAGATGGCCATTTCGCGATTCGTCCGCTAAACTACAACGACGATAAAACCAAGCTGGAGGCTGAGATCCATTGGCTGCCGAGATACAACCATGGACCGCTAGATTCCATTCCTCTTGATACTCCAACCCTGTCGAGCAGAGGTTTACAGAATTCTTCTTATAGGAATGGCGTTCAGACTGTCCCTATCCATATCGATGGCCAGTCCATAACTTCGGGTCACAAAGTCGTCTTCGAAACCACTGATCCTAAACGACTGCCGCTCCCTAGTCGAGAACTACTAGAAATGCAGTGGGCATTGAACCGTGTGTTATCTATGTCGGCGGCTGTTGAGTACCAAGGCTACGATGAAGACGACGACGATGACGACATGCTAGTTGGAGAGGCAGCTCCCAGTGTGAGGGATTGGCTTGGTTCCAACGACTTTCAGCAAGGACCCGTAGAGCGTCACTCTGAAAGCTCCTCAGACGAGCAAGAAAATTCGTTTCTTACGTCCCTCGATCCCTCTCCCATCAAAACGACCACCGCGGTGGATACTAGTGAGCAGTCTGAGGTTGAAGCGGGTGGTGCTACGGCGGGACTTTAAATTGGGTGTAGAACATAGGAGGCGGTGGTATTTGTTCTTCTCTTCTTTCTGTCTCTCACTGATATGTGTCACAGTCTACTGCTGTGTTGTGCTCTTCTATCATTTTAATCTCTTTAAGTTGCTTTACTTTTTTACTCCTCCTCTGTTTCGCTGCTTGCTCTAATAATCTGGCCAGCGTCAATTCATCGCGCATACATCCTCATTTTGTCCAAGGTGAGCATCAGTTTGTACTTCTACATTATCCCTGCCAGACCTGGTACAGCTTCAATCATCTCTATGACTCTTGCTTGCGTGAAGAAATGAAATCTTATATGCTGGTTGTTATAGGGCTGATATTCTTCTGGTATTTTAGTTTCTCTATCATGCTATTCTCTGCCTGTTCTTCCACCATGCATAGATCATCTTTAAACTCTTTAGAAAATGCAGCTTCTTGCTGATACCAGTGAAAGTGAGACATTCTATAATACACACTCTGGAGCAAGAACCCAGCAGTCTTTTATCTCCTGTAAGTTGAAAAACCGAACACTGTCTCTTCACCTCAGCAGAGTTATTCCATCCAATCTCTAGAGCTGAGTGATCTGAACGCGTTAGCCTTCAGCTGAAAATGGATCCAGCAGTCTCAAGAGCCGTCCCCTGTCAAGAGAGAGAGCCAGTCCCGCTTCAAGGTGGAACCCAGCACATGAAGATCAATGCCACGGCTTAGCAACGTAGATCTGTGAAGTCATATCAAGTAGAAGGTGCAGGTGACTAATAGAAGTCTTCTCCGGGGGAGAGCTGCAAGAGAACATGCAAGTAGAGTAGAATCATGGAATAGATAAAACAGGCGTAGAAAAATAAAGGTGGGGTGATCCTGTGACTATTTCTAAGTTTTTTCAGAGCAGTTTGACTATATGAAAATATTTACATATTCTTTGAATTAGTTTTTCTATCAGATGTTATCTCAATTAATTTAAAAGCTTTTATTATTGTAAATAGTTTACAGAGTAGTGTTAAAAACTTTGTCGGATTGCCTTCCTTGCGGGCCGACCGCTTCTGCCCACACACTCGCTACAGCCGCCGATCCACGTGATCGGCGATCGCAAGCTTCTCATAAATTATAATAAAACCAACTACTCCAAGAACTCCTCCATCAGGTTATGTCTCTCTTGTGTATAAGAATCCACTCTAATCATTGCTATATTCTTTCACTACATGCTATCATTGCATACACAAGCTATTATTCAGCTTCAAATCGCCTCATTCAGTGATTCTGTGATGACTTCACTCTGATTATTTGACTCTGTTGACTTTCCATTTGACTGCTAACTCTGCAGGCTTTTCATAGCAATGATTATCTCTGTTGATTATTCAGCTCTGTTGATCTTTTATTTGACTGCTGAACTTGTGTGTAGCCCAAGGGCTGCTAACTCTATTGGTTATGTGAGAGATAGGAATAGGGGTAAAGGATCCGCGAGGAGTGGGTTTCTTACATTTTTGAAAAATGATCATCTTTCACTGTTTATTCTGAGAAATTACTCCCATTTCACTATTCTTGAATTAAATCTGGTCATTTTTCACACCATTTCTGAAAAAAAATGATCCATTTTCAGAATTTTTTGATGCTCAGTCCTGGTGGGACTCACACCAAGAAATGTATGGGAGTCCCACCGGCCAGTCTAGTCAAGCCTACTCATACAGCTTCTCACTAGATACTACCTACGTGACGCTGCTGTTTAGCTACTGCTTCGGTTCCGCCACGTTACACCTAGTGACTCCACTAATTATTTTATCTTATATATAAGAAGCCTTTGAATCACATATATTACAATAGAAGACTTCTTTTCATACTTGAAGAATTAGATGAAAACGGCAAACAGATACTAAGCATATCAAATGAGCTAAGTCAATGTCTGCTCACATTGTATACAACAGACTGACTCTGCAGATAAAGAACTCGACAGACATTCATTTGGTTTGAAGTACAGAGTAGAGAGATCCGAATCAGCAAAGAAAATTAGTACTGTTGAGTTGGTGTTATTGTTGATGTGGTTGGCTGTCTTCTTCGCGTTTTTTTTTTTTTTTTTGCAATTTATTACTCTTGCAAATTGATGCCTTCCTAACCCCTTCTCTCCTTATTTTCCTTCTCTTTCTTCTCCGTCCGGCGCTTTGGTATCGTTTCATCCGCCTCTTCCCCCTCTTCCCAAATATATCCCCTCACCTTCGCCGTATGGATACATAACTTCTGTCTATTTCTACCTTTCACTTCCCTGCCGCCCCTTATCCTTCGCCCGCTTCATTTGTTGCTGCTGCTGCTCGTCGAATATGATTAGAAAGGGAAAAAGAGAAGAGAACAAGGCCTTTAAGCAATATACGCCAAATCGTCCCCATCCAGCCGCTCAATATACTCCTTCTCCATCAGCGCTTCGATATTCTTTTTGATATCCGGTACCTTGGGCGGGAAGCGGGCTTTCACTTGTTGGATCACCTCCTGCACGAGTTGGACGTGTTTCATCTTTTTACGGGATTTCATGATACGGACAATGGCCGACTAATATACAGTTAGCACCTAATTTTATATGTAGATAGATGAAAGTCCGGGGAAAAAAGAGAAAAGAAACGTACCTGGAGGAGAAGTTTCCTATCCTCATCAATAGTCTTGTGCGTGTCATCCGTCTCATGCTTTTGTTCCGACTTGACGGAGATGTTAAGGTTGACTTTAATCTTCTTTGCTTTGAAATTGTAGTTTAGAGAATAGGAGGTTCCAGGACATGGTTTGCCGTTCTCGGGTGAAGGGATCACAACTTTAGCTTTGACGAGGATACCAAGGTTAGGTTCGAGAGCCTCCGGCGCGAGTGCTGTCCCCTTTTCGATATCGGAGAAGCTCAGCGTGTCGCTTTCGTTAAACAGGAGGAGGATTCCCATCTGGTAGGTCGATACCTGGAATGTATATGGTACTTTTGTGTTTTTGATGTAGTTCGCACGGATCTCGCCCTTGCATAGATTCCATAGCCATGTAAGTTTGCGACCGTTGTGTTTGTCAAAGTAGAAGTTCTTAAATCGCTCTGTTGTCTTGACGATTTCCTGGGGGGGGATGAATTGGGTTGTCGGAGCGGTAAGGGGCCAGAATCCCGTTCCGAGGATCTGGAAATGGGGGTCCACTAGCTTCTTCCTGTCCTCGTCATCCAGGACCTTCTCTTGCCAATCCCGGTAGCTGGCGTTGAGATCCTTCGAGATTTGGATGTCCTGGAACATTCGCTGGAGTTTATTCGTATATTCGAAGCCACAGGCCTCTTTCAGTTTGCTAATCATGCTGGTTTCCGCATCATCAGAAACGGAGCTGACATGCACGAGGCGTTTGGCCAGCATTCTAGAATAGAACTTCTGGAAAACGTCCTTGTCTTCAATATACTTGAAGACAGTCATGATCTGAACAAGCATCTCTTCCAATTCCGACTCTTCTGGAGATTTAACTCCCTTCTTCAGAAGGGAATCAGTGTACCGAGCAAGCAGTTCAGGAGACTTCGTCGAACTTGTGCTGCAAATTGTATTACGGTTGACAAATTCTCGACAAGCATTATCCAGCGAGCGGACAAACTCCGACTCTCCCGCAAAGGCATTGTTTACCATAGATTGGTACTTGGTATGAACCTGTAACAGGGCATCAATGTAGACCTTGGGCTCGACCGCATCTCCATTAGGCGCCACTTTTTCGACAGCCGCAAGCCCAGCTTTCCGAACGTGGGTCTCAAATTTGTTACGTAACGGGTCTAAACCGTCCTTAATTCGAGAAAGCAATCGATACATACGGGCAAGATCATCTTGACGTTCGGTATCTAGAAGAGCTTGGAATTCATCCCGCAGTAGCGGGGAATGAGCAGTCACCAGGACATCCAAGCATGTTTCCGTTAAATTTTTGGTGATGTCGGGGTGAAGGTAGAGGTCAACCCGGGCCCGTTCTTCTTCGAGGCGAGCTTCCGCCTTTTTCATGTACTCCACCACGCTGTTTTCAGCTACAAACCGCTTTGACTCGTTTTCATAGTAGACTCTGGTAGCCTCTATGAAAGGCTTCTCGAAGTAGAACTGGTATACCACCAGCGTGGACTTTGTACTATCATTCTCATCGAGACCGAGGGAGACGAATGAGTCGACGATACTTTTAATTTGGGACTGTTCAATGGTTTCGCCATTCCGTTGCTTCTCCACGAGCTTCAGTACGGCATCCATGACGCTCTTTTGCACCTTCTTGAAGAAATCTTCCTTCCATTTTACCAGATGGAGGGTGTAGACGTCGTAAATATCTTTCTTCCCCTCATCAACTTCTCGTTTTACCCAATGACGGTTAAGGTATTTGAAAAGATGATTGATATATTGTGCTGCTGTGGTGTAACGAGTCCACTCGCGGATGTAAAATGCCAACAGAGATTCATCAGAATGGCTTAGGGAGGATTCGTAAACGTCATTGAGATGACGGGAGAGATATATGCCGAGGAGATTATATAGTTCCTCTCCAAGAAGGTGGGCTACACATTATACAGGTTAGAAATACTCATTTAAATTCGCGGTACAAACCAAATCACAACTCACCTCCACGATGGCCACCATGTGACGCTGGACTGCTAGGGGTTGAAATGGCTTTTTGGGAGGTGCAGAAGTTGTGAACGGCCCTATTGACGTCGTTAGTCTGCTAGGATAGTCTTGATTATTGAAAACAGGCACGAGTGTTACTGACGTGTAAACGCCCATATACTAAAGAGAAATAGCATATCTAGTTAGCATTTACTTCTTGAACTAATCCCAGGAAGGGTTAATAAACACTAACCGTAAGCATGTCAATCCCACCCTCCAACTGGGTCATAACCCGCTCGACACCCTTTTCCAGATACGCCCATCTGCCCTCAGGTTAGCTCTGATGTTCCTGAATCCTTGCTTGAAATAGCCCGTGTGTAAATTCATAAACGGTGGCGCAAAAAAACTCACGTTTCGTCAATATCATCCTTGTGGGGAGTCTGAATTCCTGAAGGAGGCATGGCTGCACTCTTGGGATGTGGTGATACTGGACTGCGAGAACGACGGCCTGGGAGTTTGAGGTGGGTTAACCTCATCGACGGAGGGGGGGGTTAGGGGGTTTCGCAGCGTCACGGTCACAAAGGCCAACCTGTTCGTAAGAGGAGAGGGAAGGTAGATAGGTGTCCAAGCCCAGTGGGTGAAGGGCGGAGGGGTAAGAGACGAGCCGGTCAAGGGAGGTATTTTGGATGTGCTATCACCAGTAGTTTGAAACGAGCGCTTGAGCTTCTTGCAAACCAAAAAAAAAAAAAAAAAAGAATAATAAAATAAAACGAGCTACCGATTGAAGGAAAGGCTCCCAAATCAAAGATCAAAAACGGGCTATGAAGCTGACAGGACAAAGAGAGAAAAGCAGAGTAGGGATGTGTCGAAGGTGCAGAAACGAGGAGAAAGGCCGTGTTTTGCCAGGCAGAACTGGCGGCGAGTTGGAAGCAGCCCGGGGAAGGGTGCTGAGGTAAGCAGGCGGAAGTTGGACAACTACGCCTGGTCAAGACTAGCGGTCATCTTTGGTCTCTTATCGATAAGGGATAAGGGACGGGATTATTGGCCGCCTTGGGATGACGTTTAATTTAATGACAGACGACGGGAAGCAAGAATTCCCTTAAATGCTATATCATGAGTAAAGTAAAAGGCAGCACCCTGCTCGATACAGGTGTTGACGAGAATACAATGCACAAATTGATATCCTATCACCCTATTTTAGCAACTATTATTGCTGGAGCCTTATATATACCTAAACCATTACACCTTCACCTCACCCCTTTTACTGAAAATGACAACCAATTTAACACCCCTATCCTCCCTCCAGGTAACCCGCCAACAAATCCCTCCCTGGCGCCACAACCCCAACACCTCCATCCAGCATAAACCCCTTTCCATCTACCACGGCGCCTTCAAACCCACCGCCACAGCGTTTGAAATCAGCCAACATCTGACAAAAATCGGCGTTGTTGAGCCCCAATGGATCTATTCCATGTACCCTTACAGCCACTTGCACACCACAACCCACGAAGTCCTAAGCATCGTCTCCGGCAAAGCAAAGCTATGTTTCGGCCATGAGGACAATCCAGAGCGTTTCGAGGCCGTTGTTGCAATCGGAGATGTCATCGTTGTCCCCGCTGGACTGGCTCATAGGTTACTGGAGGATATCGAGGGTGGGTTTAAGATGATTGGCGCGTATCCAAGAGGTAAAGAGTGGGACATGTGCTATGGGAGTGAAGAGGAGGGGGACAAGTCTGCAGAGATTAGGAAAGTGAGTTGGTTTGAGAGGGATCCTCTGTATGGCGATCGTGGGCCTGTGCTTGATATGTGAAGAGGGTTGAACGGGGTATTTTTAATTATTAAACTAAGTAATTTAGAATAAGGGAAAACAATAATGAAATCCATGCCTGAGAACGCATGCAATGTTTGTTGTATATACAGGACAAAAGAAATACACTTGGGGAAGAAAGAAAAAGACCCTTTGTTGCACTCATCATTTTTCGCCATCCCGGATCCGGCCAAAAAGGGAAAAATGTGAGAAGGTGAAACTTGAAATTGAATGACAAATGAAGAAGTGAAAAAGATGAAATAAGCCAAAATAAACGTAATATAAAAAGGATCTGAACAAGAAAGAGTGAACCAGAACAAGGAGATCAACGAGACACGCAGGGATGCATATACAGCCCAAGTATGGGAAAAGCAAATAAAAATATGCAGGGTCAAAGATGGAATTAGGAAGAAATAAAAAAACAAAAGTATAGCAAATGATGGTCAGGAAAGGAAAAGGATATTTGAAATAGGAAAAGATTTATTTTCCAGTGACTCGCTCCACAACCCTGCAGATTGCAGTTAGTATGGTTCGTCTAACAACGACATTTAAATGAACGGACGGTAATGCGAAAGGAAAAATGAAAACTTCTGCACGAACCTTAGAACACTAATAGCGAAGGTCGTAAGCCATGCAATGAGTACAACCAACAATACAGAAGCCAGGGTTTTCTGCCGGTCACAGAGAAGTCCGTTTCTGGGGTCAAATATTCCATCTACCTCCCCAGCTCGACACGCGCTCTGAATATCCGACAAACTTTCAAACGCCAGACTAAGATTGGCTGACGCAAAGACGATAAATATTAGGTCGAGGAATAGTAGTCGCAGCTTAGCCTTGGCAGGCCGGAGCCCTAAAGGTTTCCCAGTGTATTCGTCATACGTGATATAAACCAGATAGACCAGTGCTATCGAATCTACAATGATAGCCATATCTGAGGAGGGGCCTTGAGAGTGATTATATTTCGTAGCATAGTAACGGATAGAACCGCCTAGAGCTAGGGCGACGACCGAAAAGATAAAAACCGTGAGGCGGATCAAGAGCGGGACAATAGGGCTTCGTAGTAACTTGGACTGGATTTTGCTGAAAAACTTCACTTTCCGCTGTCTGAAATCCAAACTGGGTTGGCCGCCACTTTCCAAGTCCTTTTCGTTAGTGTTATGGCCCTGCCAAGGAGTCGAATAGTCCCCCAGATTCCTTTGTAACCAGTCGTGGTCAACAAGCTTCTGCTCTAGATCTGTAGACGACCGTGGGTATGCACTGGTTTTGGCAAATGTTTTCCATCTTGATTCTCGCGGAGCTGCTCCGGAGGAGTCATAGCTAGTATAAGAATCCCGCTGTTTCTCGTGCGGGGCGTAGTGGTGTTGGGCGATTCGCGCACCTGAGGGTTCTGGGGGAACCGAATGGGACGGCGGCGGGAGGCCGGTGGTCTCATCATGGACACGTACCCACGCTATTTAGAATTTTTTTAAACGTTAGAATCAGGCGGGAGGAGATGGAAGTTCGGGGGTTGGTTGGACAGGGTCTATACCTGGTATTGTTCTGGCAGAAGGGAGCGGGTTATTAGATTGAGTCCCGATGCTTGCTCCCTTCGACGGAGCTCTACTAGTTGGTCGAATGGAACCCTTGTCGTGTGAGCATCGAAATCCGGAGCGCACCTCATCACCATTTACGCTTGATCGCGCAACCGACGTGCCCGACTTCTGTCTGACAAGGGGATGGTCTACCAGGGACAACTCCGATTTCCTTCGGGGTGACACTCCACTCTGCGCATCTGGAGGCTGGGGGCGCAGATGAGTGTCTCCATAAATTGCCATAGCCTTGAGCTAGAGCTTCTGTATCCAGAGCGTGGCTGTGGTTGAAGGCGGGTGACAATCAATGGGGGTGCCGATTGTTGCCTCCCATGATTTTGGCCGCAATGACGGCGGCGAGGGAAATGAATCAATTCCCTTTTGACGTTCACCTGGGGGAGGTTCTCGGGTGGCAAGTTAAGAGGAAACGTAAAAAAAATGGCAAAAAAAATATGGACGAATAAGGAAACAAGCGTCGGGCAGTGGATAGTATGAAGGAGATGAATTGAAGAGTGACAATAATGTTTGGCGCTCAGCCTCGCAGTTTCAGAGGGTTGTCGTCCTCGTCGCGCCAATGAAGACGCCAAGACTCGCGGCTAGCTCAGAAGCCAGGCGAAAGAATTCCTGCTGGAAACCCTGACATGACGACGTCTCGACTGCGCCTCCATCAAAAACATTTTTGACTGCACAGCTCCAGCTCCAGCTCAACAAAAATATTCTACGCTAGGCTGTTGGGCAATACAGCTGAAAAATGCTTCTTCAAAAGGTGACCCGCAGCCGCGCAGAAATAAACTAGCTTCGTTCTTTTTCTCTCATCCCATTAACATCCGGAACCCAACCCCTCCCACCTCCGTGGCTTTGCGATGCGGCTGTACCTCATCCCGATTTCCACGGGACGATCTCTCCTTTACTGCAAAAGAATCGACACACGAACCGCAAAGGAGTTGAGCCGGATTGACCGTATCACCCAAAAAGCATCGGATACCTGGGCGAAGTGGGAGGAGGCGGATAAGGGCTGGAAAAAAAGCCTGGTCACCTACGGAAACCGTGTGCTCCAGCGCATACCATACGAAGAATGGGGTCTGAAGAGTGTGCCGCCATTGAGCACGAGGAGACAAACTGAAGAGCTGCAGACCCATACCCAGATTTCGCTCGTGTACCCCAAGAATGTGATCCAGCAGGGCAAGGTACTGGACTTGCTGAGACAGTTGGCTACCGAGAGACAAAGTTTACACCGAAGTCGGATGTTGTGGAGCATATGCATTGCGCCATTGACAGCTCCTATCGCTCTCATACCTCTGTGAGAATTCCACCTAGGATTCGCTAGTTCCTTGTGCAATGCTGCACGATACTCCCGCTAACTTTGGAATGTTTTCTTTTCTTTCCTCCTACGTTCCAGCATTCCTAATATCCCATTTTTCTACTTCGTATACCGCGGATGGTCGCATTGGAGAGGTAAGTTGGGCCTGTAATATCCCTGTTTTGAACAAAGCTTAGATACTGACCACACGAAAACCAGCATTGAGCGGCTCAAAACACCTGTGTTTTCTACTTGATAACAACCTGATAAAGCCGAGGTCCCTCCCGGCTTTAGAAACATTTTACGCGAAACGACCGATAATCAACAAAACTGTTTCTTCCGAAACAAATCCCAAAGACCCGGACACAGCCGAAGTGATCTTATTAAAAGAATCGGATGGCAAGCAGCTGGCGCAAATCTTGGGGCCTCACGAGCTCGTCGCGGAGGTAGAGCGAGCCGTAGGTCAAGTAAGATATATTCTTCAGGAGAAGAAAAAGGCGTGATTCAATTGGAACTATGGGCGGCCTGGCTCCGGTGGTTTGTTCGCTCTGACTATGTCGATTTTGTGCGGGCCAGCATGCCAGCTCTGCCTGACAACCGAAATCGGGACAGAATCATTTTAACAGGCGGAGCTTTGAAGCTCATAGCCGTGTTTACACGCTCCACGGATTGCGATTTTACTACAATATTTTTTTCACTCTTTTCGACAATTCTCCTTGACTTTACTTGTATATTAAAAATTAGAGCGATGATATTGATTGGGTTCCAGGGGTTTCATGTGGTATGGTTTGCATAGAAGATATTTGGTTTTTTTTCTTGGAAGTGAGGTGTGGGTTTTCCAAATTTCTTCATTTTATGCTTGATAAATGCGCTAGCCATCTCCATCCCAGGGGGTCTAGACTCCTACATTTGTTTCAGTCATGGATATGTCTCCTTTTTCTTGCTTTGGGTTGTGCTATCCACGAAGCGCCTATGTTCGAGCATCCACGAGAGGGAATTCATGATCTCACCTCACTCATATGACACGGAGCATTAATCACTTACCATTATGTCGCTACTATACTTACGGACTTTGTCTTTCCGTTTCTACAAACCAACCGCCGTCTTAATATGTATCGTCGAGCTTATACCAGCCATTTAAATTTGAATTCAGTGTGGAAAACATAAAACTAGTGGATGACTGGGAATTGTTTAAATACCAAAACCCACTCATGCACTTAACCTGTATATATCATCAGACCCAAATTCTTTTGAATATTTATCATTGCGCCTGGTGCTTGCCCCTTGCAACTCAGGGGGTTCATCCGGATGCCATCACCGGGAAATTATTTTCTCCGATAGCCGCCTGCCACACGTCGCTCTAACCACCACCACCACCTGCATTGACTAGAACTATATGAACTTTCAACCCAACCCCAACCCCATTCCCAGTACCATCTTATCCCCTGCTACATGCTCATCCATTGCTATACAGCATGTCCGAAAAGAGAATAGAGCAGTGGGAAGTCGAGCGATACTGGGAGATCTTCTCTTCCCTCTCCAATGGCCAGCCACATCTGAACAACGCGCAAGCCGCTACAGTCCTAAGAAACAGCCGATTACGAGATGAGCAACTGGAGAAGGTGTGGGATTTGGCGGATGTGGACGGAGATGGTGAGCTGGACTTTGAGGAGTTTTGCGTCGCTATGAGGCTTATTTTTGATCTTGTCAATGGGGTATGAAACCGAATCTCACACGGGGACTGCGGGGGCGTATACCATAGGATGCAGTACTGGGTGGATGCGCATTATTTCACGCAGAATCCAGGTATACATGAATGGTTCTTGCTAATTTGAGACTTTGCTTCGTTTCTTCTTTGATGGCTCTAGGAATACGCCGATGTGCCACATTCATTACCAGACTGGTTGATTCCAGAGTCGAAGGCACATCTAGTCCAAGCTTCGCGCGCCCTCACGGGAAGGCAACCGCAATTCGAGCGGGTGGAGGAGGAGGACGATACCCCTGGCCTCAAGGACGGGTTTGACTGGTACATGAGCCCAGGCGACAAATCCAAATACGAGGAGATATATTCTGCGAACAAGAACCATCGCGGGGAGGTAACATGTAAGTATAACCTATCTATCTGCTCTACTTCCTGCTAATAAAATCCCTAACATTCCAACTCCAGTCGAGTCCCTTCAACCCCTCTATGACTCCCTCGCCGTACCCGACACCGACATCCGCTCCGCCTGGAATCTCGTTAACCCTTCCGCCTCCTCCACAATCTCCAAAGATGCCACACTCGCCTTTCTCCACATCCTCAACAACAGACACGAGGGCTACCGCATCCCACGCACTGTCCCCGCCTCCCTCCGCGCCTCCTTCGAATCCAACAAAATCGACTATCAACTCGACAACGTACGCCCCGCGCAGCGATGGGGCACTGATACTGACATAGATACCAGCACCGGCCGCAAGGCTAAATTCGGCGACGCATATCTGAGCCGCCTAGGCGTTGGCGGGCGGACTACGTATCGTCCGCAGGGGACTGATTTCAGCAGCACGATACAAGATGAGGAGTGGGAGAAGGTGAGGCTGCGGCGCGAGCTGGCGGAGTTGGAAAAGAAGCTAGAGACTGCTAATAGCGCTTTGGAGTCGAGGAAGAGGGGGAGTGGCGCTGTTAATGGCGGGCCTAATTGGACGCTTATCAAGAAGGAGGCGTTGCAGTTGTTGGAGTATAAGGAGAGAGAGTTGCGGGAGCTTAGAGAGGGTACTGGTAGAGTTAAGGAAGGGGAAAGTCTGGAGAGGTTGAGAGAGGACGTGAAGACGGTTGGTGATCAGGTGGAAGGGTTGAGGGCGCATTTGGCAAGGAGGAATGAGACGTTGGCTGAGTTGAAGGACCAGATTCGGGAGGAGAAGCGGAGTCGGTGACGTGGTGTGGTGTGTGATGTTGAGACCTGCGTGGATATGAAGAGATACATTTTTTTTCCTCTTTGATTTGTTGACTTGAAGGCCTTTCTCACCCCTTTTCTATCTGTAATACTTACTATGCGGCGTCTATCCCAGCCCGTTTGTTTTACCCTATTTAAGTGTCGGGTCCATTTGCGAGTTCTTTTTTATATGCATCTTTTTTGCTTAGCGGGAATGGAATTTGGAACTGCCTGGAACATATCCTATATATAGGCTTTTGGATTTTTGATTTGATCTTTGCTCCTCCAGCGTTGTTTACTTGCGTGTATGCTCCGTTGCAGATAGATGTGTATGGCAATAGAGCTGGCTACCAGGATGGCCAAGCCATCACTAGGGACTTTGGGAATTATTGATCTATATGAGAATGCTTCATGACTACAGAAGCTTTAAACAAAAGTGGTATGGCATACCCCTGAGCAGCAGCAGCAGTCCCTCCGAAAAGTAAAGGATAAATGGTATCAAGTTGACGCAATTCGATCCTCCCTCCCCCCTCGCTAGTCACCTACTAGTAATCTCAGCCATCATACCTTCCATCTCTTTCTTCGGCTCCACAGCAAAGAAGCTATCACCTCCCTTATCCAACCCCTTCTCAGCCCTTTCATACGCCTCATCACTGCGATCAGTCAGTATATCCAGGTCCCGCTGCGAGAGGACCGATTCTGGCGTTTCCCCTTCACCACTTCCAACATCCAGGACTTCAAACTCAGCATCTCCGAGGACTTTCCGAAGCTCTTCCGCCTCAGACGACGCAGCTGCAGAGCCAGGCTCTAGCAGGCTTTTGAACTTCCCCTTTTGAATAACTAGTTTCTCCAACCTACGCTTTGAATCTGCCTTTTCGAGCAGGGTCTGCTCGACGGTACCCCTCGTTGCAAGTCGATAGACAATCACCGGCTTTGTCTGGCCAATGCGGTGCGCGCGGTCTTGCGCTTGTAGATCCTGCTGCGGATTCCAGTCCGAGTCGAAGAGGATAACCGTATCCGCGGCTGTCAGGTTGATGCCCTGCCCGCCGGCGCGGGTGCTTAGGAGGAAAATCCTATAGTCCTGGTTTGTGTTGAAGGCTTGGATTTGCGCTTGGCGATCAACTTGGCTGACTGCGCCATCGATACGACAGCAGTTCCACCCGCGAAGGTATGTCGCGTAGTCCTGCAGGAGGTCGAGTTGGGTTTTGAACTGGGAGAATATGAGGATTTTGTGGCCCTTGGACATTAGGCAGGGGATCAGCCCGTCGAGGAGAAGCATCTTGCCTGACGAGGTTATGAGGGACTCGTCAATGTGAGATGGGTCATCATCCCAGGGCCAGTAGAAGTTATGTGGAGAGTTGCAGGCTAATCTAGCCTGCATGACGGGGTTTTGGAGCTTTTTCGAAGCAATTTCCTTTTCTGTAGATATTAAGAAGAAAGATCAGACCTGGGGTGGAACTGCATCTGATAGTACGTATGCAAGACGGAAAGATAATACTTACTGGCAAGTTGAGCCGTTTTGGTTTTTTCAATCTTCTCCAATTCACACTCACTCAGCTCCGATTCCTCGGGCTCTGATTCGATTCCCTGTTCTAGTCGCCGCAACTTGGCGTTAAATTCTCGATCGCTGACCTCCTTATAGCTCAGACGACCCCTTCTACGGCGTCCAGAACCCAAAGTACTTCCGGGTGTGGATTCACGGCTGGATTTCAGGCTTTTGTTTGGAGTGGAAGACCCACTACTGGAAGGTTTGCGCTTTAGACATTCAGGTCTTGACGTCTTTGGAATTCCATTTCTGGCATTGATCCTCTCAACTGCTTTTTCTTCCAGGTATGCCCTGCTCGAACCATTCATAATTTCAAGATAGAGATCCTTCTGCTCGGGAGTTAGCGGTGCGTACAACACATATTCCCGTTTTTTTGGTAAAGATGTTTCAACATCTGTCTTCACTCGTCGGAGCAAGAATGGTTTCAAAATTGCGTGCATGGTAGACACGAGGTTACG